CAATCCTCTCACGTCCTTCATCACAGACAGATAATCGCTCCGGAATCGGTAGCAAATACGAAGCTCAGCACAAACTGCAACCTCGAGGCCCATGAACCGTAAAAAGCGGAGCGGGTTGGCATGAGCCTCCGGATTCTAGAACCGGATCATCGGATGCAAGCAAGAAAATATTTCAATGATACATGTTGCGTGTCTGGCCATGCCCATCTGAATAATAATACAAACCACTGTAAGAGAGCCGCTGCTTATTAGCGAGCTACTGTACTGAGATGTTCATATAAGATGGAGATGCCCGCCCGGGAAGCGGACCGCCACCACGGCATTGCCTATTTAGGCAACTTTTCAGGGTCCACGATGCGTTTTCTTCGACACCCTGGGCTGGGGCGCGGGATGGCATGCTGCTGTATGTAAGAGCGTTCTAGACTGCTGCTCTCTTTTATTTTTAGAGATTCAGCGAGCAAGTGAATGTCCAATATTTCCATATTTTTGTCCCAATTTATTTGCTTTGCTGTTACGTGCGAAATCGGCAAAGCTGTGCCTGCTGGAACGGTGTTGCTTAGCCGTGTAGCTGCCAGGCAACAGCTTGGTAGGTGACTGAGAGTTTTCCATAGTTTTCGGGTTTACTTGAAGAGGTAAATTTCAGTGTCCGTTTTTTGAAAGGAGAAAGTCGGTAAAGGAACGGTAATTAGTTTACATTTGCGATGGAATGGGCATATATGAACAGCAACTGCATATATGAATTATATATACGCGGGTGGAAGCACTGATATTCAAGTTATAAGAGTTAGTAGCAGTAGTAGCAGTAGAATTAGACGCAGCGTCTGAATTAAGATTCGTTCTTCTTTTAGCTGTTTATCAGAAATGTAATGCAGATAATCATTAAATACTATTAGCAAGTCGTGATATGTTGCATTAACTGTCCTTATCGTGGCTAGGAAAATTTCACAGTAATGTAAAGTCGAATTAGCTCACGTGGTTTGCATGAGAGAATATCGATTGTGTAATTTGGCGTGGAGCTTTGATAATTACGTTTGGTGTTAAGTTTGTGGATTTGGATCTTGTGTTATTAACCTGGAATTGTATGTGAGGGACCGCCTCTTTCCATTCGATTAGGTTGTCCATGTTGGCGACATAGACTCTGATCGCCGAAGTGTTTAGTCGTACTATTCTCTCCGGTTATTTCGATTATAGAGTATGCAGGTATTAAATGCGAAAGATAGGTGTTCTCATGGGGAATCAAACTCTTTTATTTTAACCAGCTGGATTATATATTTACTAGAGAATCCTCCTTGAACATTGTTGTAGTATAGAATTCGTGTGATTACCAATACCTGTCAAACGAATCTCTCCCAAGTAACCGACGCGAAACTGAACTCGACGAATTTGCATGCGTAAAGAAGATAGTTTCAAGAAGATAACCCTGTGTTTGCATTTTCCATTGAATGGCTTACTTATCCAACTTTGAGATGCAGCTTTTATCGTCACTGGGCAGGTATACAGAGATATACTAAAACTCATCTCACATAAGATGTAAACTTCCATTCTTTCTACATTCGACACCCATAGTTTGACAAGTTCTCAAATAAGCACATTAAATTAGCTGAATCTCATATACAAAAAGCTTGACTATCTTTAAGGGAATGACTCATCATTATCATCAAGTATCCATAACCCTCAAGCCTAACAGAAAATTGCTCCAAACATGACATTCATTCCACCACACATTACATCTTGCCACATTTTCCTATTATTTTGCTTTCTTTTTTTATTTTTGGTATAAGCTCTCTCAGTTCATTCAACACTTCGTGATAAACAACCCAATAGGCGACGGATTAAAATCCTGGAAATACCTAAACGAAGTGCCCCCACCATTCGCATCCGAAATCTCAAACGCAATCGCCTCCCCAGCAGGACACGCAAACGTGGCAATCGTATAGCTATGGCCCGGAGACACCGTGGTGGTTCCGAAATCCTGCTTCTTGCTCGGCTGGTTGTTAAACGTCGTGCCCTGGGTAGCGGGCTTGCTCAAACTGGCAAAGTCGAGGGCTCCCGAGCCGGAGAAGGTAAAAGATGAGGTCTTGAGGTCCTTTTGCTGTGGAAAGAGGAACACGAGGCTGCATGTCTTGCCCTTGTCGCCGCTGGGGATGTCAAAGTTGAAGATGGAGGAGACGCTGCTGGAGACTTCGCCGAAGAAGGATGTTCCTGGGGCGTTGTTGGGCTTGGTCTTATCCACGGGGATGATGAGATGGGGGAACTCATAGGGGCCGTTGAGGTTGGCTGGGCAGGTCTTTTGATGAGGCGGTGGAGGAGGAGGAGGCGGTGGTGGTGGACATCCAGAGTGACAATTATCAGCTTTGAGGGTGATCTGGTGGCAATTAACTCCTTGTCCTCCATTCAGATAGACGTTGAACTGGCCACTCTCTCCCGTCTGGCACTCCCAAAACTCTGTCTGTCCATTAAACGAGACAGAGCCGTCACAGCCAATTTTGAATCCATTGTCTGGGTTCTGGTTCTTGTCGCACTGGAGCACATGGGTAGGTGCTGTTTCACAGTCGTCAGCATGCAAAACCATGATTTAGAATCACATCCAAGACATGTTTTAAGTCACACGTGTGTGCGTCTCGTATATGCATGAGCATTATGCATGTCTCTCAAACACGAAGCAAGCAAAAGAGAAATACACAAGTAAGAGAGGATGCAAAAGAACTTACGAGTCCACCAGCAGCCGTGGCCTTTGTCATCGAAGAGCTGGGCCCCCTGCAGAGTGAAACTTGTCGAGCTCACACCACTGCCAGCTCGCACCTGGCCAGACGAAATCTCGCCAACAGGACCAGAGATGGCTCCTGAAGCTGTAAAGTGTAACTGGCAGCCAGAAGTCCGCACAACACCGGATTCAGTCAGTGCCGCACCAAGGCCAATAGCAAGTAGAGAGTATAACATGGTTGGCGAACAATGTTCTGCCTTGTGTAGTATCAAGTATGTGGTAGGTAGGGTATTATGTGTAGAAGAAAGAAGCTATCCACAAAGGCGGATAACTACCTCCCAAAAGGTTCTCGAACAACTGCTTTGAGAGATGGGGGTATCGTGTAGTGAAGAACAAGACAGACGAAGAAGAATGATGGAATAGACCATCATTATATACAAAAATATCAAGGCGAGAGAGTCCTCCTTGTCATGTCATATTCCAAATCCAGCCCTCCAAGCTCTCCTCTTACTCAAGCCACCAACTCCACGATGCCTCTTACCTCACTGCTTCTGGCCACATGCACGTCAAAAAGGACATCGTCATCCAAAGAGGAAAAGGAAAATGGCCTGAAAAAGGATCACCACCGCTAAGAGAAAATTGGCACCGTTGACCTCACCACTCCTTTGGAATACGAGAAAACGCCTCTGCGCATTTCTCATCATTCCTCCAAAACTGCCGGAAATGTGCGCCCCTCTGAGTTCTCGAATCCTTTCGGCCCCCTCCTTCTCCCAGCAAAAGAGAGCAAAACGCGAGAGAGAGAAAAAGTGGCCAAGCTTCACCGAATAAGCTAAAACACGACCAATCCGCAGGAGCCACGACCGTTGCCCGAGTACTCAAGAGTGGCAACAATGTCTTACATGGCCGTGACAGCGCAGCCGTTACAGCCGACCACCAACAGCCGCAGTATAACCAAGCAAGTGAGAACCGATTTTCTTCCATAAAATGGGCCATGCGTGTGGTATCAGGCAACAACCCACAGCAAGTAGTAGAACGCGGTGCTACCAACTAGTAATTCGAAGCCTCCTCGGCTGAGATATTTGTGTTTTTGACAGGCAGATCCCTGATTGAAAACGGGTTAGAGTTATCACTAAGCTCTGCTTTGGCCAACCGCGGCCATCCGGCTAAGATGACCGACGATCCGCTTTGTTCAGCTCCAACAGATGAGTTCATGGTTGCACGACGAGATCTTGGGGAAAACTCGTATCTGGAAAGGATAGCTCAGGACAAGGTTTCCTTCAACCTCAATCTGGTTCGGGTAGCTTGCAGTGGCTGTACAGAGTACAAACGTCACCATGGTAGCTTGTCTGTAATCATATTAGTTCAGCTTCTTCTGCCGTGCGACTCAACTCAATCCGCACTGCAGGTGGAACTAGAACCCCCTACACAAAGGCGCCAGGGAAACACTGCAAGAGTTAAGACATTGGACACTAAAATCACAGTCACGATGGCTCCGTTCAAGTTGGTAACGTTAATTCATTGGTGGGTATAATTTCGACTTGTCTAAGTCAGGTTCGCCGTGTCAGACAGTTGTAACCTCGATGCTGAAAGATGCCTATTTACTTTCCTGCTCATCCGAGCGATCGTGGTCGTGATTGATCAGCGCGTTCTTGCGGGGTTATCTCAACTCCGGCGTTTCTCTCATCATGAGTAGCCAGTTTGGACAAGACGATGAGCCCGGGGATCGACCTAGCTGCTTAGAGCGACCACGGTACACAGCTCCCGGATCGAAGCCTTCAAGCCTCTTCGCAGAGCTGTAAAGGGTTGCCTCGCCAAAGCTTGGCACACCCAAATGACGTCTCCAAGGAGCACACGCTGCATAGATCCCTGCACTCTGGCATCTAGAGCTTTCCATTTCGGTACAGGGCTCTTTCAATCCACATGGCAGGCAGGGCCACTAAGAATACACTACACGCAAACTGACATCGCGAGTTTGGTGTGTGATCGATTGCTTTGACTGGTCAATGCTTATTTGTTTATAACATTGCCAGCTCGGATATCGCGGGCCTTTTTGCAAGCCGTAGGCGATAGATCCTGAGATGTGCTGATCTTAGCTAACAGCTTATCGCGGCTAATGTTGTTCTTGAGGCCAAGACAAATTTGCTCGCAATGGAGCCCATATGCCGCAAAGATGAGCAGTAGTATAGACAGTCTCTTCTAAGAATAGTGTGCTTATTGCATCATTCAAGTTTGTTTGAGATTCCAAACTGCTATTCTCAAAATGTGGATCGATAAATTCGTATGCCCCGTCTCTTGTTCAACGACGCTGTCGCTTGTTGGAGCGACCAGGCTTGTCAGATGAGATTTGGGTAACGCGAGTAGCTTCCTTGGAAGCATCGTCATCACTCACGTCGTTAACAGACAAGACATCGTCAGAGTTGCTCTCAGCATCGCTTTGAGCTCCACTGGTAGCACCAAAAGAAGGTTTTCTTGAAGAGGCCTCTTCAGTGTCGCTGCCCAACCCCTCAAATTCACTCTTCGAGGACTCATCCCCGTCAGCTTCTTTTCCGGGGACTTCGGCGTTGGCTTCTTCAGCGTCATCCAATGTCTCGGAAGCGGGTCGCTTCCGAGGCATCTCACCCAGCTTGCCGCGGCGGCCATTGACATTGCCACTGCCCTCTTCCTCATCCTCTTCACTCAGTTTAGGAGCTGGGGTGAACCAGGGGATCTTGCCCCTCATGAAATCGTTTAGCACCATTTTCGCTACACCATCCAGGTCAGGCTCTCCTCCGCGGAGCAGACGGCCTCCTTTCCGAGCAAGTAGCTCAAGAAGCTCTGTTCCGTTTCGCCATCCCCTGATGTCATATGTCTTCTCCATATGGTTCTGCTTGACGCGGCTCAGTAGAGCGTCAATGTATTGCGCAGGGTGCTCCACCTTTTCAACACGCGCCACGCCTCGCAGGACGAGATCGGTTGGCGTATCAGTGCTTGATGGAGGCACAATACCAGGGCAGTCGATAAGGTAGATACGCTTCATTAAGCTTACGTATTGCCACACCTTAGTCTCACCAGGAATAGGGGCCACAGTGCAGACCTTCTTCTTGGACAGGGTGTTGATGATGGAAGACTTTCCAGTGTTCGGGCCACCAATCAGACCGACAGAGATTTGTTTCCTGTCTGTGTGGAGAGCAGAGAACTGTCTCAGTAGCTGGATTAAAGATCCTTTTCCGAACGAGTTGTTGATGCTTGCGTGGAAAGCAAGTGTGGGAACCTCTTTGGAGAGGGCTCGTACCCAGGCAGCCTGTTCCCATATTAGACGAGAACATCAAAAGATGAAAGATGAACATGATAAAAATTCAAAGCATAGGTTTGGAAATGTGCGTGTCTTCACTAAGAAGCTCCTTTGGATGCCGGTGAAGGCGAGGGAAGGCTTCAACTCATCAGACACACAGCCTTCTCTTGATAGGTAACCAAAACGGCACCATATCAGCCTGCAGCCGAAGCTGAGACAGTCGAGACTGCAATCGATCTCCCAATGTCGTAACAGACGGTCCTCCACGGGGAATATTGCGAGGTGTCCTGACAGGAATCATTGGGGGCATATAGCCAAGATAGGGGGATGGGTACAGAAAAAGAGGAAAGGAAAAAGGAGATAGAAACAAACTTACAGCAACGCTAGTGGGAACCAAGTCACACTTGTTGAGAACAAAGATGAGGTGCTTGTGAGGTGCCTCTTCCTTGAGGTACTTCTCAACACTCCTGCATCGAGTTCCAATAGGATCTCTGGCGTCAAGAACGTGGATGACCACATCCGAAGAGTCAATGACCTTGTAAAGCTCGTTCCAAATACGCTTACTCTGACCCTTATCAAACACAGGTTCGATAGCCATAGTAAGTGACTCGGGCTCCTCGCCATTTCCACTCAGAAGCCTGTTGTGCTCCAGGCGCTCCTCATACGTCTCCATGCTCTTCTCGGTGTCATCAGCAAGGTCATTGACAGTGCTGACCGAAAGCTTGACACGCTTGCGCTGAGCCTTGGGGCCAAAGACACCCGAAAACGGGGACGTCTCAATGGTCATCTTGGCCTTGTGCTGCTTGATGCCATTGGTGGTGTTGTTGTCCTTGCCTCCGTCGTGAATAAGACTCATGGGAAGCTTATTTGACTTGAGCAGAACCTGGTAAGGGTCCTTGGCCTTTTCAGCCATGGCCTCACGGAAGGCTGTGAGGGTGTCCTGGGAGACGACGCGAGTGTTGGTGAACCACTTGCGGTTTGGCTCGATTCGGGCGTTGGGGACGTCTCTTGACTGGAAGCTCGCAGCTTTTGTGATTTTCCCGTCCGCGTTTCTCTGAGCCTTGCCATCCTTGTACATGTTCGCAAGCTTCACCTTCTTCGCATCGCTTTAAACGCACATTGGTCAGCACACCAGTCATCGCCAGCACACAAAAATTAAGGCACAGCAGCACACATACCGATAGAAGTTCTCGCCCTTGACGCGAACATTGCCCATCCCATCTCCAGTCTTACCCTGGCGCACGCGCCGGGTGGCTTCCTTCTTTCCGGTTCCCATGATGAAGGTTTTGGCTTGCTAGCAAGCACAAAGATCTTGGGAGGAAGTAAAGAGAGCAGAGAAGATTAAAAAAAAAAGTGGCTGCAGCTACTTATCACGAACTTTTTTTTTTTTTTTCTCTCATAGGACCCCACTAGCCCACATCTCTGCAGGCTGTGGCTGGCCAACTTAATTAAGCAAAACAGGGGTGCAGCGGAAGATCGGCATTCAGTTAATCCGAGCTGCTCTCAGCGGGTTTGGGCAATTTTCTGTAAGTCGATATCGCACACCACCTTCGAGTGTGGGCAGTTGGATCTTCAATTTCGCAGCGCAACATCAGTTCAAAATGTCGCTCTATTCTGCAGGAAACTGCCTCAGGCCAGTAGTGCGGCAATTGTCGTCTGCTTCACGCGGCTTCTCAACAACCCCGACCATTCTCTCCAATGCCGTCCCACCAGAATCTCCCTCTTACATCCGACTTCCTTCCCCTCCTCAGTCTCAAACCGACGAAGCCAAACCACCTCGAGTAAGAGGTTCACTGCCAGTGCCGCGACAGGTGTTCCTTCGGTCCGAAGGCGATCGTAAAATCAAGCCCGATTATATCAACAAGACAGCCCCGAGATCTGCCAATGCGCGGGAACCCAAAAACGATTCTCAGAGATGGAAGAGAGAGATGGCTGAGACCCGAAGAACGAATCTTGAGCAAGGTTTGAAGGCACTCTATACACGCCGCGAAAAGAGCGACGCAATTAGAAATGCCCGTGTCAGCCGCAAATTCAAGGAACACAACGAGGCTGCTGCTGCGCCCGAAAGAGAAGACGACCGGCTCACGCGAAGCACCGTTCTGGACGCTATTCTGGACACCAAAACATACCCCGATCCAGAACGCTTTGCCCGTGCCCAGCGCAGCCAGGTCAAGGTCCAGAAGAAAGAGAAAGCCAAATACGAAGCTCGACGGGATGCCCTCATGGAGCTGTACATTAACGCCTCCAACTTCATCGTCCAGGAAAGCGAGCTCAAGGCTGAGATTGATGAGATTTTCAGCGAGGACTACTTCAGGAAACAAAGCCAATACTTCCAACGGTATGGTACAACCGAGAACGCTTGGGGCATCTACGGAAAGCCTCCCTCCATTGCCAATATGCTGGAAACCACAACTGGAAATTCGACCAAGCTCATGGATTACTATGAGTCCGAGTATGATCGCTCCGTTAAGCGACAGAAGAGAATTGCTGAGGAGTTTACGGGAGGCAAAATGGAGTAGCGATATTGAGAGTTATTCCTGAAAGAAAGAAAAAAAGTAGAATTCCATGCGCTCGTACTGCGCATTGCATGTATTATATATATCAGAAACAATTGCAATATTTCACAATCACGCTTCACGAATTGAAAACAGTTCAAGAGATGCTAGTCAAAATAATTTCTCAATTGCATACAATTACGAAGAAAAGGATCATTAGCGTTTAGGTCCAAACAGGGCACTCTACCAATGCCCATAAACTATCGCCACAGATACACGCATAAATTCAAAAAGGGGGTGAAATATGCTCCCTAACCATAGAACGCCAGTTGTGCAAAATTCCCAGCAAGTTTAGCTTGCCTGAAATGTTTATGTACATGTCGTAACCTGCACAAAAATGCTTCTTCGCATCCTGGGTGGAATCGAAGCTGCTCGTTTTATCGCTTCTCGACAAGCAAGATGTGCATCGCGGCATAGGCGAGAACGACGAAGGAGGCGGCAAAGATACCAAGGTTTCTAATATCGGACCAAAGGGCGCCGTTTTGGAATCCAAAGGAGCTGAGAATAGCGGCACCAGGGACAGTAATATCAAGGCCGTACTTTTTGTCTACCAGTGTAAGCTCTATGACTTCGTTGACAATAAGCGATTCAAAGCCATAGTGGAAAATAGAGAGGGTCTGAAGCCACAGAGCACCCTTTGGCGTGGCATCGTGATTGAGAAGGAAGCCGGCGAAGAGGAGACTGAACAGCATCACCAAACTACCAATCAAATTGGCTACACCACCGTCCTTGCAAACAATGCCGATAAACAGACAGATGGCTGCTGCTGCCAGATTGAATAGGACCAAAACAAGCATGAACTTGAAGAAATGTGCCGAATCTGGCACCAAGCCTGTCATTGGGTAGATGATGGAACCCATGAGAATCGGCGGAATGATTCTCAGGGGAATAATGTCGAACAGGACCTTGGCGGCAAAATAAGTGGCCGGAGAATAATAGCCGTTGGCTCGCTCTCGGGTGAAAAGGAGTCGCTCGCTGGCAAATACATTGAGACTCGTAAGAGTACTGAAGCCGAAGAGAGCCAGCAGAAAGAAGAATAACCCAAGACGGTTTTGGAAGCCAGGAATATCATCAGTGAGGCCATAGAACAGATATCCGGAGAAAACCGCCAAAATGATCGCAATTGCGTAGTGTGTGAGCATAAGCATTGGGTTGCGGTAAAGATTCTTCCAAGTTCTTCCAGAGATGATGATAAACTGGCGCAGGTATCCAATCCGAGCGTATCCTTTTCCAACAGCGCTAGTGTAGATGTTTGGTCCGTCTGCAGCATAACCGTTCGTATTTGACCCATTTGCCGCTTCGGCTCCACTGATTGCTTGCTGGATGTCATCGCGGATAGAGGCAGCAATATGAGACTTGGCAAAAGATCGAGTGATGATGTCGAGATCGGTTCCTGTCATAGCCGGAGGGGGTAAGTCATGAGGATCATCGAGCTGGTGGCTGGGCTGAGAATTTATGGGGTTGCTCTGGAGCCGGTAGCCATCTTGGTTCTCTCCTCCGGCATCTGAAGACGCGGCAGTGCCAGGGGCTTTTCTACGCGTAAAGAGCTCTCGTTCCTGTCGTACCTTGACAGAGTCGCGGCGTCGATTCTTGGGACGTAAGGATGGCTCGGTACTAGCCTCGCCAGCGCTTCCAATGGTGGTGCTTGCAATGGATTTGACAGCCTGCGTACTGCTTGGGCCAACACTTCCACCGTCGGCATCAATTCGTCCGTCATCTACCGTCTGGTTGCTGCTCGCATGCATAGTAAGATCCACAAGGTAGTCGGCAATGTTGAAGCCCGGGGGACATTCATAGCCAATATCATCGAAGTATTGCTGGCATTCGGAAAAAAGTCCAGAGTAAACCAATTTGCCTTGAGCCAGCAAGATGAGCCTGTCAAAAAGCGCAACGATGTTGGAGCGAGGTTGGTGGATGGTGAAAATAACGGTTCGCTTGTAGTTTTTGGCCATGGTAACAAGGCATTCAACGACATTGTACGCATTATAAGCATCCAATCCACTCGTCGGCTCATCGAGGAAGAGGATAGAGGGGCTGGTGACCAGCTCGCAGGCAATCCCCACGCGTCGTTTCTCACCACCAGAAATTCCACGGCCCTTGCCTTCTTCAGAACCAATGAGAGAGTCTCTAATGTGGTAGATTCCTAGCTCTTTTTCAACCTCAATAACTCTCTGCTCCTTGGCAGCACGACCCATGTCCCGAGGAAGTCTCAGCAGAGCGCTGTTGAGGATCGTCTCATGGACGGTAAGCGTGGGTAGCATGGTGTCCTCCTGATCGACGAATCCAACCACATTTCTATAATCAATATCATTGACCTTTTCACCATTGACAAAAAAGTCTCCGCTGACATGGCCACGCTTATTCTTTCGAGCCAAGATATCCAAAAACGTTGTCTTTCCCGCGCCAGAAGCTCCCATGATGGCAGTCACCTCCCCTGGCTGGCAAACTCCTTGTATTCCAGTCAAGATATTCTTTCCATTGAGAGTATAGGCAACGTTTTGGAAGAAGAGAGTGGCAGGCTTATGATCCACCATGAGCTTGGTGCTCTCATCGTCGGAATCCTCCAGGCGAATTGCTCCATAACGCAGCCTGCGGCGAGACAAATACCACGTTCCGATGATGACAGCTGCCAAAAAGAGCGAAGATCCTCCAATAACACCGGCAATGAGGGGCGTATTGATTTGCTTAACCGGACGGTGATAGCCCGGCACTTCAGTCTCGTACAAGCACTCGCCCGCTTGGCAGTCTAGAAGAATACTAGAGTCGCCGATTAAGCTGGTGATGAGATCGTCCATTGCGGGTTCCCTGAAAGCACAGTCATGAGCACCGCCGCCCTTTTGAGTACACTCGAATCGGCCAGGGCCATTAATTGCTTGGTCCAGGAAATCGGTAAGGTCGAGCGAGCCATCCTTGCCGCACATCATACGACCAGGGATACAACTGCAGCTAATGTGGTCGCACTTGTATGATGTGGTATTCTTATCGGTGCCGTACTGTGCACCAGACGCACAATCTGACAAGTGGCAATAGAAAGATTCAACTTGATCGATCCAGACTAAAGAATGAGCGGTCAGCAGATGCATCAAGGCGTAGCAAAGGGCACAGAAAACCAACATTGGAAGTCGCAAGTTTCCTCCTCTTCTTTGCAGGTAAATGTAACTTCAGGCTTTTGCTTTCCAAGCAAGTCGGCAATCTTCTTGTTCGTGACTTTGCAGACCTGGTTGTTGTATTTAACGAGTTCACCATTCTGGTAGCAGATACCTCCGCTGCCAGTCTCCATCAGGGCATTACAAGCTTGGTTCGATGTGCAGACATTGCAGTTGATGCCAGTCCAGCCTTCGTCGCATTCGCAAGACGAGCCCGATCGCATCGGTCGGTCTTTGCCGCGCCCCAGAGAGCCACACACTAAGCGAGGAAGCGTTAGTTAGCATATGCCTAGAAATAGAGATTATGCTGCGCCAGCGCCGAAATCAATTGGATAGCACTAGGTAGGCAATCATGAACATACATGGCTCGAGACAGTCGTCACCGCCGAACCCATCGGGACAGTCGCATTTTCCGTTGAACTCGTTGCAGCCGGCGTACTGCGCGCAGGTATGGGCAGGTAGGAGACAGTTGAAGCTGCAGAGCTATCATTAGTACGATCGTCGCCATGCCAGCGAATAGCCACTCCAGTGTCTCTCTTACCATGGCGGACAATCCTTGGGGCGGTCATCCATAAGCGCGAACTGGGCTCGCAGAGCATCGACATTGTAGCTGGAGTTGGCGTAGGCCGCCGTCAGAGAGGGCAGTAGAGCCACGAGCCCGACGAGCAGGCCTCGACAGCTGAGAGGCGCCATGACGATGAGCGCGTGCGGGTGCAGCTCTCAAGATGGCAGAGTCGATGGTGTGTGTCGATGGTTCGATGATCGAGGCAAAAGAAACGCAGGCCAGCCTGGAGGTTGGCTGAGCTGGCGCCGGGTACGTACCGCGGCCTGGTTCCTGGCGCGAAACAAGGTCGTCATCGGTGGTCTGGGGCAACCTAGACCCCCGCCTTGTCATTCATTGGTACGGCCTCCGCAGCGCTGAGCTGCAGCGCGGGAGCTTCTTTGGACCTGCTGAGCCGCCGAGCGTTACCAGGCACGTGGTGATGATCAGTGTAGCAGAGCTTGTACAGATTGGGGCTGCTGGCCGTACCTTGCGTGTAGAATCTTGGTTCCTGAGTACACCTCGGTTACGCGTATTTCCAACAAGTACAAGCTTTTGCGCCCCGAACTCTCAATGAAATGCAATTTTAATAACTCATTGACTCTATCTACGCTGCCCCGTACTGCTAACATGATGCAGGCTGCTTCTAGGCTAAAATACCAGGCAGCCAGCTCCAGTGCCAAGCTATGTGCGCATCAATGTGCTAAGCTAATGGGAGAATTCACGGTAGAAATGCTCCGCAGTCAGCCAACCCCAACAAGATGCCCTGGAATAGGCACCATGTGACTGCGCAACGCTGGAGACGCCTAGGACCCATGCTGCTTTAGCAATGATGGCGATATCGCTGTGCACTCCCAGATTACAGATGCATTACTCCCTGCTCGTAGCTGCATCAAAATGCTGGAATTACAACAGACTATAAGATTGAAAACGTGCACCTCTAGGCTGCTTTTTCTCCCGACTTCTCGTTCCCTGCTGCAGTTCGAGATGCTCTGTAGGCTATGAGAAGAGAAGGGAGTTCTTATTTCGCCTAACCTGGAGCTTGCCATGATATCTTGCTTGCACCCCCTTGAGCCATTGAAACTAACAGTCTCTTGTTAATCTGATGATTTTGCTTCATGAGAGTTATGATCTGTATATATATGGGAAGCATTGGTGTAGCTTTTGAGTGTATCGCCTTAATTCCAAGATATATCGGCGATACTAGTATTACTTCTGATGCTAAAGATACGTCTAAATGGTGAAAGCGGTTGACCAGCTCTTAGGATAGTACATGCATCGATCTCGACAACCTTTCCTAATCGATCGACAGTCTATCCTATCCAGTAAATGTATTGATTGCAGCCAATCACAATTACCTACTACTGAACAATAAGGCGCGCCTTCAACACAGTTATTCTCCGATAGTCGCTTGCATGCCCCCACATGGGTTTCTGTCTCAAAGCAACACCTCATCTTGGCCTCGGTGATCAGCAAGTCCCTGGATCAGATTGTTTATAGAGAAACCTGCTCCCCCCTACTGGGTATGAAAAGTGCATAACAAACCAGCAACATAACAAACATCATCTGTGAGAGCTTCAGGGCAGCCGCATTACAGCCAATCAACCATGGTGCGCTTCCAACGGTTTGAAGTAGAGCAGTGGATGGACGATTATGAAACAACGCCGGGGGTTCTAAACATCGCTGAGACATGCGTCGAATCCGTTTCCATTGACCAGCTGGTGCAGCTATCAAACGACAAGGCTGCGAATCCGCTTCAGACTAGTACCGTTCTTACCTATGGGGCCATTCGCGGATCGTCAACCTTGAGAGAACGCATTGCAGCCCTGTACGAAGGGGAGCAGGTGTCGAGCGACAACATTCTCATCACGCAAGGCGCAATAGCAGCGAACTTTTTAGTTTTCTACGGCTTAGTCGGCCCCGAAGACCATGTCATATGCGTATATCCTACCTATCAGCAGCTCTTTTCCGTCCCCGAGAGCCTTGGGGCGGAAGTTTCTCTATGGCGCTTACATGCTGAGAATGGCTTCCTGCCTGACATGGGCGAGTTGGAGCAGCTCGCCAAAGCAAACACAAAGGTGCGCAAAGCAGAGACCCTGCGCTCTTGATTTGTTTCACGCTAATCACCCCGCGGATGCAAAGATGATTGTCATTAACAATCCCAACAACCCTACCGGGGTACCCATCCCGCGAGATCTCATCGATAAGATCGTGGACTTTGCCAGGGCTCGAGACATCATCGTGCTATCTGACGAGGTCTACCGGCCTTTGTTCCACGACGGAATAGAAAACAACCCGAATATGCCGCCATCGGTGGCAGATCTGGGCTACGAAAAGGCCATTGTCACCGGATCTCTGTCCAAAGCATATTCTTTAGCAGGCATCCGAGTGGGCTGGATTGCGTCAAGAGACAAGGCCATCATCGAGAGGCTTGCCGAGGCCCGCCACTACACCGCGATTAGCGTTTCGCAGCTGGACGACCAGGTGGCAAGCTATGCGCTGTCGCCGGCTGTGCGTGGCCCGCTGCTAAAGCGAAATATCGACATGGCGAAGCGCAACGCCGGCATGGTCAAGGCCTTCGTGGAGCAGCACAGCGCAATCTGCTCGTGGGTGGCGCCAACCGCGGGAACAACGGCATTTGTGCAGTTCCGCAGCGAGGGCAAGCCGGTGGACGACGTTGCCTTTTGCCGCGACGTGCTGGACAAGACCAAAGTCTTTTTCGTGCCCGGCTCCCACTGCTTTGGCCGGGGCGAGGACTTTGCGGGCTATGTAAGAGTCGGCTTCGTTGGATCCTCAGCCGTGCTGGCGGAAGCGCTGCAGAAACTCGCGGCCTATGTTGGGCAGAATCTGGGCCAGTAGAAGTGGCGCATAGACCCGTATCTGTCATGTATAGCGCTGGCACTCCATATTGGGCAAGCGTCAGATGGACTCCATCGGTGCCTCAGCCTCTCAGCCCCAGCAAAAGTGCTATTTTTACAACAGGCAGGCTGCCTTTGTGTGTTTTCCATGTGCTCAGTTTGTGCGTGCGATAGACGTTGCCAAGCAATATACGTAATTTGCAGCTGTCTTGGCAGCGCAGAACCCTGCCCGCGCGGAGCCCAATAGTGCCTATTCACATGTATTCCAGTCCTGTAGGAATACGTGCTGGCTGAGCAAATGTACCTCCCGGTCCGTATTACGTGGAGCGGTATGGAGCGCCTGTAATCATCTAATTCCACGGACAATCTCTTACACTGCCCAGGAGTATCTGCAGTACCGTCAACACGAGCCGAGCGGAAGCGGACAGACGCACAGGCCGACGGGCGAAGAAGAGGCACAGCCCAGAAGCTCACAAACTCAAAAGCCACGAGCAGAAGAAGCAATGGAACAACAAGATAGTTTCCATCTTCCCCGGAAAAACTCGAGGCTGTCGTCGTCACTGCAGAGCCGTGAAATCCGCGCGCGCGCTGTCCTGCCACACTTCGGGCGTTCGGCATGGGGTCCAGCGCCTGTCTTTGCCGGCCCAGCATCCACCCCATCGGCGCTAATGACGACGCTTTGCCGCTGCAGCTTCTCCTGTTTCATCAGCGCTGGCCACGGGTCTCATTTCACACAGCCACGCTGGAATCCGCTCTGCCTGGTACCATTTATAATAGAGTCATGGAGCCCTGTTGAGCATCGCGACTTTTTTGCGTTTTGATGTTTGATCTTGTTTTCTTTATTTTTTGAGCTCTTTTTTTTTTATTAGAAATTACCTATTACAGTATTTTTTTTTGGCATTGTCCTGTTATACCTATTACCTTGTCCCCCACATACATTTATATTGCCTATTCAGGAGACGCCCGACGACCATCCCCTGAGCCTCTTGATATACGATCGAAGGATTCTTGCGAAAAAAATTCTCTTCATCTCACCTTATTGCACCAGAGTATTATTCTATAAAACTGCATCATGAAGGCCTCACCCCTGGCCGCTGCAGGCGTAGCCCTGGCTTCTACCGCCCAGGCGCAAGTCGTCCAATTCGATATCCAGAAACGAGATGGGCCGAATCTGAGAGATCTAGGCCGCCGAGCCGCCACTATCAACGGCGTTCTTTCAAATCAACAGATCCAGGGTGGATACTTCCTCAACGTCGAGGTCGGAACGCCTCCTCAGAACATTACTCTTCAGCTGGACACAGGCAGTAGCGATGTCTGGGTACCTTCTTCAGACGCCGACATCTGTACCCAGGTTTCACAGAGGAATCCTGGCTGCACATTTGGAAGCTGTAAGTAGAGTCACGCGCGTCAAATTATGCTTTTCACTTACGGCTCACTGACAACTGTTTATAGTTGACTCTAGTAAATCCAGTAGCTTGAGAACTGTTGGAAAGGACGAGTTCGATATTACCTATGTCGACAACTCATTTTCCAAGGGCGACTACATCCAAGATGACTTCCACATCGGTGGCGTGACTGTCTCCAATCTTACCATGGGCCTTGGCCTGGACTCATCCATCGCCAATGGCCTCATCGGAGTCGGCTATATCAACGACGAGGCTTCCCTCAGCACAATACGATCCACCTACCCGAACCTTCCGGTTGTCTTACAACAGGAGAAGCTAATCAACACCATCGCATACAGTCTCTGGCTAAACGACCTCGATGCCAGCGCGGGCTCCATCCTGTTTGGCGGTATCGACACGGAAAAGTACCAGGGCGATCTGACAAAAATCAACGTTCAACGTCCTGACAACAGCAATGTCTTCACCGAGTTTGCGGTCGAGCTCTTTGAGGTGCAAGCCACAAGCCCTTCTGGAACCGATACGCTCAGCACGAGCGTGGACTCCCTGGTCGCCGTTCTGGACTCGGGAACCACCTTGACCTATCTGCCGCAGGACATGGCCGAGCAGGCATGGAAGGAAGTGGGCGCCAGCTTCAACGAAGAATTTGGCCTGGCTGTTGTCCCTTGCTCAATCCGAAATGTCAACGGACACTTCTCCTTCACTTTTGCCGGTCCCGACGGCCCCAAGATCAACGTCACCATGGCCGAGCTTGCCCTCGACCTCTTCAGCGGCGGACCTCAGCCCAAGTTTTCCTCCGGACCCAACCAAGGCCAGTCTGTTTGCGAGTTTGGCATCCAGAACACGACCGGCTCTCCTTTCTTGCTGGGCGATACTTTCCTCCGCTCTGCATTTGTTGTCTATGACCTGGTCAACAACGAGATTGCCATTGCCCCGACAAACTTCAACTCCACCAAGACCAACGTTGTTGCTTTCGCCAGCAGTGGCGCTCCTATCCCGTCCGCCACCAGCGCCCCCAACCAGAGCAAATCTGGCCCCTCGTCAGGAACGGGCGGCATGTCTGCTGCTAGTGGCTTCCAGGACAGCGACAACGCTGCGCCTTATACGAGCGCCTTTTCTGGCCCTGGAGCAATGATTGTTGGCATGACCATTGGTTACACTCTCCTTGGAGGCGCCATTTTCGGCGCTGGCTGGCTGTAAATTTGCATGCCTAGCCATGCAATCTCTTCGACACGCTCTACCTACCTAAGTAGTGCTTTTAATGACTTTTTGACACGATTCAGGGCGTAATTGGCATAATAGGGATTTTTTATTTTTCATTTTTTGTTCTTATACTAGCAAGCACCGCTGGAGTTGAGGAGGCCGGCTTCTCGATCATTCGCTACAAAAACGAGCGTTTATATACCTGAGGTACATATGTGCACATAGACCTGCAGCTTAGACCATACATGTCTTATAAAAATCAATATCATTATACTTTTATAACAGAAATTTTAAACAATCCGATATTTGGCCGTAACTGAGTGCATGCATATCTTGCATGTTAGTAGCTCCACTAAAAGCAGCTATTCTGCAACACTATGGTGGTGGTCCGATTTGCGCCAGCACGTGAGGGGCGAGCCAATTGGAGGGACCCCGACAGACTAAGAAAAAAAAAGTTTCAATGCGGCCATTAAGCCGATGGCCGATCTTCAGTGCCAAACACCCACTTTGCCCGTGGACAAGCTTGCACCATGAGGGCATTTGGGACTGCCAGATGGCTTAATTGCCATCTGTTTGGGGATGCCCAGAAGGCAGCTTCTGGAGCTCGCAATTTCCAGGCTGCGATTCTGCCCTTGGCTTTCCAAAGCCAGCTGCGAGCCTTCAGCGCATCGTCTCAGCGATGTAGTGCTGCACAGGAAGCGTAAGGACTACCTACACACTCCATATGCATTGGGCGTTCAAGCTCGCGTTTTATGCAACTGGAAACAAGAGAAACAAAAGGCTGATATTTTGGACAACTACAGTTTGAAAAAAGCACAGAATGATGCTGCCAGTCTGACGCCCGAATATGTTGCCGCCAACATGGATCCCGCAGAGGCTCAACGTCTCGAAAGAGTTCGCAACATTGGTATTGCGGTACGACATCCCTTGCGATTGTTAATGGCGTATTGGAATAAACAAAAAAAAAAGAGATAAAAGAAGAAACTAAGACAATGATTATTTAGGCACACATTGACAGTGGCAAAACTACGGTAACGGAACGAGTTCTCTTCTACACTGGTCGAATCAAGGCAATCCACGAGGTTCGTGGCAAGGATTCCGTCGGCGCCAAGATGGACTCTATGGAATTGGAACGAGAAAAAGGTATCACTATTCAGTCTGCAGCTACATTCTGCGACTGGAAGAAAACGGTAAACGGAAAGGAAGAATTGTATCACGTCAACTTGATCGACACTCCAGGCCATATTGACTTCACCATCGAGGTCGAGCGTGCTCTGCGCGTGCTCGATGGTGCCGTCATGATTCTCTGTGCTGTCAGCGGTGTTCAGTCTCAAACGATTACGGTCGATCGCCAAATGAAGCGCTACGATGTTCCCAGAATCTCCTTCGTCAACAAGATGGACCGCATGGGTGCCAACCCCTGGAAAGCCGTCGAACAGATCAACTCCAAGCTCAAGATCCCCGCGGCTGCCATTCAGATCCCCATCGGCGCTGAAGACGAGTTCGAGGGTGTCGTTGACATTATCGACATGAAGGCCATGTACTTTGAAGGTCCCCGTGGTACCAAGGTCCGAGTTACCGACCAGGTCCCTGCCAATCTTCAGGAGCTTGCCGCCGAGAAGCGACAGGTCCTGATCGAGAAGCTGGCCGACGTTGACGACGAAATTGCCGAGCTGTATCTTGATGAACAGGAGCCCACCAACGCTCAGATCAAGGCTGCTATTCGCCGCGCTACTACTGCCCTCAAGTTCTCTCCTGTCATGATGGGTTCTGCCCTGGCCGATAAGGGTATCCAGCCCATGCTGGATGCTGTTTGCGACTACCTGCCCAACCCCGGTCAAATTGAAAACACTGCTCTGGACAAGTCCAAGGGAGAAGAGATGGTCAAATTGGTCCCCTACAACTCTCTGCCCTTTGTCGGACTTGCTTTCAAGCTCGAAGAGAACAACTACGGCCAGCTCACCTACATCCGTGTCTACCAGGGAACGCTCAGCAAGGGCACTTACCTGTACAACTCCCGAACTGACAAGAAGGTCCGCATTCCCCGTATTGTTCGCATGCACTCCAACGAGATGGAGGACGTCAACGAGGTCGGTGCTGGTGAGATCTGCGCCGTGTTCGGTGTCGACTGCGCCTCTGGTGATACCTTTACCGATGGTGGTCTCCCTTATACCATGTCTTCCATGTTCGTTCCCGATGCCGTCATGTCTTTGTCGATCAAGCCCAAGCGTTCTGGCGATGCCGACAACTTCAGTAAGGCGATGAACCGATTCCAGCGCGAGGACCCGACTTTCCGTGTCCACGTTGACGCCGAGAGTGAGGAGACCATCATTTCCGGCATGGGTGAATTGCACCTTGAAGTCTATGTTGAGCGTCTGAAGCGAGAGTATAAGACCGAGTGTGTCACTGGCCAACCCCGTGTCGCCTACCGTGAGACAATTTCCCGCCGTGCTGATTTCGATTACCTCCTCAAGCGACAGAGCGGTGGTCCTGGTGACTTTGCCCGCGTTGCTGGTTACATCGAGCCCAACGAGAAGCCTGACGAGAACCACTACGAGAGTCAGGTTGTCGGCGGTCACATTCCCGACAAATTCCTGTCTGCCTGTTCCAAGGGCTTTGAGCTCGCCTGTGAAAAGGGACCCCTGCTGGGCCACCACGTCATTGGCTCCAAGATGATTATCAACGACGGTCAGACCCACGTTACCGATTCTTCCGATTACGCTTTCAACTTGGCTACCCAGATGGCCTTCCGCAAGGCCTTCCCCGAGGCCGGCGGTCAGGTCCTCGAGCCCCTGATGAAGACGACCATTACCGCCCCGAACGAGTTCCAAGGAAACATTCTCATGTTGATGAACAAGCGCAATGCTACGATTAACGATACCGAAATTGGCAGCGAAGACTTTATTCTGACCTGTGACTGCAGCTTGAACGCCATGTTTGGCTTCAGCTCGCAGCTGCGTGCCGCCACGCAGGGCAAGGGTGAATTCAGCATGGAGTTTAGCCACTATGCCCCTGCCCCTCCTCACTTGCAGTAAGTTTCCACTTCATAATGCTCCCCTCTCGCCAAATCAATAAGACATATCTGTATATATCGACATACGACTAACCCCGTTAATAGGAAAGAACTGATTGCCAAGTACGAGGCCGAGCTTGACTCCAAGAGAACCAAATAAAAGCTCCGTATGGTTTATAGCTGATAAAGGCCGCTTGGTCTAGGCAGTCTCCCGGAGAAGTGCTATCATACGGCGTTTTTTTTATGATAGCCAGGGGGCTGCGTTGTACGAATACCCCTCCTGTAAAACGTGTCTTGTACTATGTATGGAGTACGGAAAAGGAGCATGCAGATGTGATTTTTGTAGTCCATCTGATGATTCTAGGATAAGCAAAATAAGAGCTGGCCAGCAAAAAAGGTTCAGGGATATAAACAAGCAATTGCTGCTAGGACTGGTAGCAGGATTAGATGCAGATAGATAGACTTGATTCATGCATGTATATGTACACTAAGACGCAATTGGACTTCACTCGCAATGAGAACCTACGAGCCATGAGTGATCTCATTTTATGTCAGCCCAGCTCGAAACAAACAGATCCGTCCAGGCCTGCATCGGTCAGGATGGAGAGATCCGTATGTGAGTAGGAGGTTAGCCCTGGCAGATTCCTATCGCTACCTACCGCTAATACTACCCGTAGGATTGATACTGCAAGGGGGCTGGCATGTGGGGAGACAAAAAGCTGCGTTTTCGTATTGACCTGTTGCGAATAGTACTAGGATCCAAGCAGCGCTAGTAGAAGCACTCGCAGTAGGACTTGTATAGCATCTCGCTTGTCTACTTTAGTAGGACCGTTTTCTCTTCATCATACCCTTACGGGAAGAAGACGTGCATAGGGCTAGACTGTCATCAAAGAGTTAGTAGACAAGGCACGGGCACATCCGAAGGGGCAGCTCGTTTCCGCCTAATCCCTGGAGCGTTTTCCCAAAGAACCATGGGCGATCTCTCATCTCATGCCGCGGCAACGTGTCGACTCGATTTTGGGCACCTTGGTACGGTAGCACATACGGCTGGCGACCTACATGGCAACGAAACGTTATGCACTAGCAGCGGGAATCTGTATGGAGAAGCTGTGGGTTAGGGAAGGGATTGTTGGTTTGAGGACCTGGCATAACGAGAGGAGGGTTCGGTATGGGGAACGTGCTTCTGGCTGGGGTCCCCCTTAACTGTTGCTGGATCATGCAGGTGATGCATACTAACATGTCTCCAACTAGTATTTGTAAGGCATATGCAAGCAAGAGCCTGGTGCGAACGATGCGCCATTGGGAAGTAGTTTATAAGTAGAAGCAGGCTGATCCTTTTGGCATTGAATATAGATAAATTTCTGTTGCGTGCTTCTGTAAGGTGGGGATATCCGAGGTTTGTCGTTATTGTACAGTACTATGTCACTTACCAGGAGCAGCAATTCTGGACTCGACTAATGCAAGGGGGCTGTCAACTTCGTATTAGTGTTCGGAGCAGTGAGTACATCAGGATCTCACAGACAATGTGACAGATGCCACCCATGCCGAGTTCCCCGTAGCCGGTACTTTCATTTTCACCACAATGCTGGACACACTGGTCTTTGAGCACGCACGCATCATCGTCGAGTCCTCAGCAGCCGAAATGAAGTTCGTCTCGATAGCTTCAGTAAGTTGCGTTTGTTTCGCCTCGTCTCCTGACATACAGAAATCCACCCCTCCAACATCCAGCAAGGGAGATTAGACGCGTCTGGTTATTGTGCAGCTATTTTAACTTGGTGGCCAATCAGATGTCGTCGCGCCATTGGGTGTGTTGCCCAAAGTGGCCACACACTCGTATGAGAGACCTCCTTGCAACCGTTATACGCCACCACATATGGAGTGAGTGATACAGCTAAACGTTAGACTGTAAATAATACCTTCTAACAACAGCAACACACGATCCTGTATTACATTAGGATGGAGGATGAAGTACTGGCAGTAACTTGGTGTAAGTACGAGCACTACGGCGAAAACGGCATGTACATGTAGATGACAGCACAGGCGTGGAAGCAGGTACTTGTTCTGGAAGGTCCCGCTATATAGGCCACCTGTCGCCCTGGGGAAACGCCGAACTTGCGCTGTAGCGGCATAGCGGATCGGCCCATCCGAACCTCATTTCTTGCAGTTGGAAAACGTTGACAACTGCCTTGTGTGGCGGGTTTGACTCGAGATCTTCGCAGTCTGGCGGGCGCGTGCGTGCAAGGCGCAGGTGGCTGATGAAGAGATGACCCGGCCTGACAGATGCAGCTGGGGTTGCTAAATTTGGAGAACAGTTGTGAAGCATGTAAGACAGATGCTTGTGCACATGTGTCTGATCAAGACACAGTTTCACTCACATTCAGCTGTTGTGCCTCGTCTTATTATACAGGTACGGCTATGTAGCTGCAGCATTACTGCTCTCAGTTGTGAAAAGAGGCCACTTCATCTCTGCAATGGCCTGGTCAAGCTAAGAGATACCCCTGATTCCAATTGACCCGTGTCGCGCCATGGATGGAGCATGGAGATATGGAGTCCCGAGCTAGGCACCCGTACCTGGACTTGTGTCGCATGTTTTACCCGCGGCCCGCCTCCAGCCTCCTGGGCCCGCGGCTTGTAGCAGTACTTGTGCCACCACACTGGATCCTCCGTTTCCTTCTCCCTTATTACAACTTGAAGTATTCGGCCTAGCTCTATTTTGTTTATCAATTTCCCTACTCGCAGACCTGCGAAGCTATTAGTATTCCTTTTTGGTTTCTTTTTTTCCTCCTCTTCCCAATCCTAATCCTCACAATCAACACCTACAGCATCGAGTGCAAACGAAAGCCTTCCCCAGAGTTTCCCCCGCGGACGCGGCCCGTCTTTCACCATGAGCGCGGTCAAGAACCTGCGAGCCATGTTCGAGAACAAAGGGGACGCGAGCCCAGCGGACGAAGATAGAGGTAGATCCCTTGGTGTTTCTAGTCCCTCTCCAACCCCAGGAGGTAATGCTCTCAGTGTGTGCTGATGTTTTGCTCCGTGATCTCTTCTTTGTTCATGATCTCCAGCCTATCATTACATGCCCTTCAAGAAGCCTGTTTGTTGTTGTCCGGCGCAGACGCTGCTGAGCTGCTCCTGTAGCTGTTAGTTCTGAGCTTGGCTGAGCTGGAGGCGTCTTTCCCCCCCAAAAGAGCTACTGCTGCCGCAAAATGCCACCCACACTCATACTGTACACGCAAGACAAAACAGAGTGCCGTCCGCTAACTCTTCTCTCGCGCCACTAGCTCTCAGCGGCTCCCCAAGGCCGCTCAATAAGGTGCGAAGCAGCTTTGTGGCCATTGAGCGCAACGGCGTCATCGGCTTGATGAGAGACAACGGCTCCGCCTCTCGCGACTCTTCCGCCCGACCCAGCCTCGACATCCCCCGCGAACCCGCCCCGACGAGCCAGGACAAACCGCCAATGTCGTCTGCATCTGTTGCCAGCATGAGCTCCGCCATGGACAAGCTGTCCGCGGGCGTTGCCAGAGCTTCCTTCGAGCTCCGGGGAGCTGTGTCGGACCAGCCGAGCCACAATCCCGACAAGGTCATGGACGAAGAGACTCCCACCGGCATTCTGTCGCCCGCAGATCCGCTCACCGCAAAGGCTGAGGCCGAGCCCGAATCTGCCCCCGAATCCTCGCCCGAGTCTGCACTTGAGTCTGCACCCGAGTCTGCTCCGGAGAATGCGCCCGAGGCTGTGCCTGCGCCTGAAGCTGAACCCGAGAAGCCGGCACCCAAGGAAGCTGCTCCCGCCAGCGGCGCTCGTCCTGCGGCGCAGAAAACAACAAAGATGACGAAGCCGGCAGCTACCAAAACTCTCGCCAAGCCTGCGGCCACAAAATCTGCCACAACCACTACAAGGACTGCCGCTACACGAACAGCTGCAGCTGCAGCTGCAGCTCCTAAACCGGCTGCCAGAGCCATTCCCAAGCCAGCGGCTACTGCTACCAAGGCTACTACGGACGCTTCCAGAAGAGCGGGCGTCAGGCCAACTCAGAGAACCGCGGAATCTTCTGCTGTAAAGAGAGAGTCATCTGCCGCGGCTAGGTCAACTGCTACTGCAAGGCCCAGGGGTGGAGCGGCAACCTCTACTGTCAGGAAACCCCTGGCCAGCAAGGCCGCCGACAATGGATCTGCTGCCGCCAGGGCGAGGACCAAGTCCCCCACCAAGCCGGTTGGCCTTCCCTCTTCTCTTGTTGCTCCCACTGCCTCCTCCGTCTCCAAGACTGGCGCAGCTGGAACGGCCCAGGCTAGACAGACCAATTCACGCCAGGGCGTGCATGCATCTGGCCGAGCTACTTCCAGCGCCGGATCAGCCAAGAGGCCTACTTCGCGTGCTCGGCCAAGCATTGGTCCCCCTCCTGTGAAACCTACCCGCGAAGCGCCTAAGAAGGCAAAGGATGTGGATGAGGGCTTCCTGGCCCGCATGATGCGACCTACCCAAGCTTCCACTAGCAAGTTCCAGGAGCCGACCACGCCTCCCAAGAAGTCCGGATCTCGAGCTGGATCCCGACCCTCCACCGCTGGAACGGTGGCATCGGGAGCATCGGACGGTAGCCACTATGATAATAGCCCCAGCAAGAAGACTTCTCCCAAGAAACTGGTTGGAAAGAAGTCTCCTTCGCCTACATTGGAGGAGGAGAAGCCCGTTGCCGAGATTAAGGAGGCCGTTGAGGAGCCTGTCAAGGAGGTGGCTCACGAAGAAAACGCCGCCGTCCAGCCCGCTGAGCCTGAGGCTCTCCCTGTGGAGGAGGCTGCCGTTGAGACTGCCAACGTTGAGACTGCTGAAGAGGTTGTTGCGATTGCTGAGGAGGCTGAGCTTACTGAGGCTGCTCCGGAGACTGTGCCCGAGACTGTTGAGGCCGTTGAGATCAAGGCTGAAGAGACTCCTGCCGCTGAATCTGCTGTTGAGGCTGTTGCTGAGCCGGAGGTTGCCAGCGTGGAGGCTCCTGTCGAGCCCGCTTCTGAGACTGTCGAAGAGCCCAAGGAGCAAGTTGCCGAGACCGCTGTCCCAGAGACCTACTAAGACGACTGTCGGTACAGCCCGCTAAGCATCCTCATAAGCAATAATCTGAAGCAATTGGAAAAAATTAAAGCAGTTTGGTGTTTCGTATGGTCGTGGGTGGCGTTTTTGTCAGATTGACTAGGTGGAGATGCTTTTTTTTGTGCCTTGTTTCTTTTGTTTGATATCGAATCCTTTGTCTATGTAATATTGGACAGGTGCTCTGTCGAAAAGGAAAGATGTAGTTTATTAAGATACCTTAGATACCTACCTGTTTATAGCGACCATTGGTGAATTCTTTGTTTTTTTTTGGGACTTTGGAATTAGTGTATAAACTGCTTTATATTTTTCTTTTGCCAAAACATGGCTATTCATGGCTTTATCAAACAGATTGTAACTTTGAAAGATTTGTGTTTTGTTTGGAATCCATTCTATTCATACAGTGAGACGTACTTTTCTCCCCCGCCATTTCTTAATGAGACGATATATATACATCATGGAGCCTCAATTTCTCCACATCGCAGTTTTCCTTTTCTCCCCTGATCCCATCTGTAAACGTTGAATTTATGACACTCGGCACATCAAAACACCCCCAACTTTCTTCGCCAACGCCTCCCTAACCTCCAACACCCCTCTCGACGTCGAAACAAACATACACTCGCCCACCCCCAGTCCCTGCACCATCCCGCCCTTGACTTTCGTCGGGAACCCCCTCGTCAGCCTCCCCAGCTCCTGCACATCCACAGTCATCAGCCGCGACGGCTTGCTAATCACCGAGGCCTTGTTCAGCACGGGCCGGCCCTCCCAGTACTTGAGGCCGAGCCAGATGCGCATCTGCGCGACGGTGGCGTTTGTGACGGGCTCGGGGACCTGGGCGACCATTTGCTCGGCGGTGGGGGGCTGGGCGCCCGCGCGGTAGACGGAGGAGAAGAAGCCAGAGCGGTGCAGGGCGAGGGCGAGGTGCAGGTTGTATTTGTTGTTGGCGATGGAGGTGAGGCCGAGGCGGGCTTTGGAGGCGTTTTGGAGGTGGGAGCACATGTGTGCGATGTTGAGTATGGACGGCATGGTGGGCGGGTGTTTATGTGCGTGATTTGTGTATATATGCGTTTGCGTTGCTTAATCGTCGTCGGGAGAAGAAATTGCTGCAAAATTCTGGATTTGAACTCCTGGTTAGATCTTTTTTACTCGGTTTGAATGTTCTTGGCTTTTCTGTTCACTCACAGCGCATCGCCTGCTTTTGGCCAATTGCCCTTCTTGGGCGGCTATAAGGGATTCCCAAGGCAGGAGAGAGTAATCCTGGCAAAGATGCGCTTTGCAAGGGTTGCGGCGATCCAGGCAAAGCTGGAAGGAGATGGGGGGCTTTTCTTTTCGAGGTTGTCGCGATTCTTTCGATATGGTGGTGCTAGTGCCTTGGAGCCGGAATCGTCAAAAATTTGGAGATTGGTGACTAAGCAGACTCGTACTATCGCAGACGCATGCTAATACACCGTGGGGTAAGAGGATGATTCTTCAGATTTGCATCTCCATCGAGAGAGACAAAAAAGGTCAATTGCTAATGATGATTATTATTATCAAGATGAAAATATTAAATCTATTTTTTGCATGAGTTGCTACTTGTATAATAACTAGAGTTGAGGTATCCAAACATCCTGGCTTTGTATCAGACTATGCCGCCCATAACCTTTTGCAAATATCTATACTATCGCGTGAGAATCTATCAGTATTAATTCCAACTAAACAGCCCACGCACAAACGATAGGAGAGATCCGCGGCGCTTATACATCAGCACAAGCGCCGTCAAGACAACCGGGCTTGAAACGAGCGCAACGAAGCTCTGCATCAGAATCTGGCCCTGGCGGTCACTCTTGCGGATCACGTCGGCGTATCCCTCGTTGCCGAAGCTGACTCTGGAGTACTTGGTCTGCCAGCCAAAGGACGGGAAGTGAACGCTCATAAACTCTTCGAGATACTTGCGCAGCCTGTAACGCCGTGAAAGAACGGACGATCTCATCTCGACGTAGTTTTGGAGCGCCAGGTTGTTAATGGCGTAGGCGTCCTCAGCCCGGACGGCCGAGTACTCTGCCAAGGCGACAGAGCGCTGGAAAGCAGACGTCTCGGCAGAATGGATGAGCTCCCCGTCAGGATTGTTACTCTCGTCGAGGTTTGTGTGCTTATCGAGGATGGAGAAGAGGATGCGAACGTCTTCCATGCCGGCATTCATGCCCTGGCCGTAAAAGGGCACCATGGCGTGGGCGGCGTCGCCAACGATGACTCCAGAGGAGCCATGGTGATAGGGCTTGCACTTGAGGCTGATTAATGGTAGGTGAGGGTTTGTCTCAAAGGACTTGATGAGATCCGGCCCTGGTATTAAGGCCGTAACTCCGGGGAAGTGCTTGTCAAAGAAGGCTGGCAGAGACGAGGGATCTCTCTCCAGCTCAGAAATCTCGGCGCTGGGTATGAATAGAGTGCAAGTAAAAGAGCCATTCTAGAGCAGAAACATATCAGTAAACATGGCATTAGAAATCACTATGCGTTGTTGTATTTGTAAGCGGTAAATCCTACCTCGCTAGGAATGGCTATGAACATAAAGTCCTTGCCGGGCCAGATGTGCAAATGGTTCGGCGAAATGCGGAACTTTGCATTGGGGTCCTTTTCGTTGTCATCCACAGGACGAGGAGGCAGATGGAATTCGCACCACAGCGTGTCGATGTACTCTTGCTGGTAGTCCATTCTAGTAAACTTCATCAAGTGATAGCGAACGGCAGAGTGCGCGCCATCTGCGCCAATCATGAGATCAAAAGTAATCTCAATTTCTCGGGGGCGGCCATTGGCAGCGAAATCTTTGTCGCGTGCCTCGAACCAAGCCTTGTTGGTTTTGAAATCAGCTCCGGTCAGCTTGTGGTTGAAGAATAGCTTGACATTGGGTAAAGAGTCTAGGATGTCTAGTAACCGAGAGTTGAGGCTTCCTCGGTCGATCGCATTGATAGCCTGGGTAAGTTGAATTAGTCAAGTCTCGTAAACCGGCGAAATAAAAGATGGAAAATTGTCTAGGAGATCGGCAGGTAACGAAATAACATATAATGAGTAAAAACCAGTTGGTTGTGAAAAGTCCTTACCTGATCGTCTACACCATAGTTTTGAGAGTGCTCGTACAGACTTCCATTTGGCGACTGTCCATGAATCATTCGCCCGCGCATGGGAATAGTTGCGGACATTACATGGTCAACAAGCTGTGATTCTCCAGACTGCTTCATAGCATAAAGTCCTCGCTCAGACAAAGCCAAGTTGATGGACTTTGTGAAGTTGAGCGGCACTATGCTCGGATCACGAAGATCTACACCATAGTCGTTAGCGGAGCTGTTGGAAGCATGTGATGAACTAAATAGACGTCGTAGACTCTTTATAAGAGCCAAATAGCAACGCAATGTCTCCTCAGCTGGAAAAGGTGCTTGAAAATAGAATCACTGAAATCCCTTGAGCCAGAAAATGTAGATTTCCGAGGCACAAGTGCTGCAACAACACCAGCCCGAGTCCGGAGGTGTCGGACTCACGATACGCTGAGAAAAAAATTGTAGACACTTACCCGGCCGCAACTCGTAAACTTCGACTTGGTGGCCTCTCTTGGCGGCATAAAGCGCCGCCAACGAACCGACAGGGCCGGCGCCAACAACAACAAACTTAGTGTCCGCCATAATCTCCCAAAGCCCAAACAGCTCTTATCGAAGTAAAACTCCAGAGGTCTATTGATGGAAAAGAAGAGTATAAGATGGCCGGGAGCTCTGGAGCTATATGAACGCCCAGGCTCTCCGGCCGAAGGGGGGCGAAAGCTACATTGGAATTACTACGTCTGATCACATCATGCTAAAGACCAGCCACAGTTATTATTGGCGTGACTTCGGCCGCCTTTCGTCTTAGTGGCTTTTACTGAGCGAGTTAATATCAAACCTAGTAAGAGTGGCAGCAGTTAATTTGGATATTAAAAATCTGCAGCGGTCTTAGGTACCTTGATCCAGCCCATCTCGCAGCCATTAGAATTTCGAGCCCTTGCCGCATTTGGACGGGGTCGCAAGGCGGCTTTCCCAATTGGAATCATTGTGCTTGTTCGACGTGTTCCATCTCTGTGCTTCCGATTGCGAGAGATTTTTTTTATTTTGAGTAATGTAATCAAAAGCTGGCTATGCTTCTAATAGATGGTCTGCGAGAAATATTGGGTTCCTTTTGCATGAATGTCTGGATGCTACAAAACACCTAACTGGAAGATGTATAGCCCACTGTTATCAAAGTTTCGAGGCGAGAAGATTTAAGCAACTGATTCTGAGTTGAAAAAAGACTTGATTTATGAAGCCATGAAGTCTCTTGCAATTCCGTTTCCATGCTATTTATCTTTACTTTATGTTCCATTCACATCTGATCACCTTTGCGTAGGCCTGTTCTAAGCAACTTTTCCACCTCTCTCTAATTGTCCTTGATCGTAAGATGTAGAACCTTGGCCAGTATTATAGCGCGTTAATGCCCGTGAAAGTGCCCCGCTACACGGCTAAGTGCGGAATAACCGCCGCCTTTTCTTGTACATAGCCTCGCTAATCTGGCCCAAGTTGCTGTAGTAATTTTTTTATCTGCCGTCAACCTAGATGATAGGTTTATCCAACGTCTTGTCATATTTGTAATCGCTGGCAGCATCGTCACTTGGGGCTGCTCTCCTATCATCTCCCTTCAACCTACATACCGCATCCCGATTCTCCTTCACCATGGCCGCCGAACCTCCCACCAAGAAGAAGTGTCTAGGCGCAGACTGCGACAACGATGCTGGAGCGCTGCAGTGCCCGACATGTTTGAAGCTTGGTATCAAGGACAGCTTCTTCTGTGCCCAGGACTGCTTCAAGAGGAACTGGGTACGTACATCCAGATGGCAGCTGAGATATCGATGTAGAGGCTGACCGTGTGTGAATAGAGCAACCACAAGTCCATGCACAAGACACAAAGTAATATCCTCCACCACATCATTCCTCCGAAACCACTCTTACCAGATCCAGTCACCGGCTACTACAATCCTTTCCCGAGCTTCCCCTTCGCCGGCACGCTGCGCCCGGTCTACCCTCTGTCCGAGCATCGTACCATTCCCAAGTCGATTCCTCATCCCACTTGGTGGCAAGACGGCGACCCCAAGTACAGCCGGTCACTGATCAACCGCAACAAGATCGATGTCCACGATGCAAAGGGCATTGCTGCGATGCGCAAAGTCTGCAAGCTGGCGCGTGAGGTCCTCGATCTTGCCGCCGCCGCAGCCAAGCCAGGCGTCACGACCGATTTCATCGACGAGCTTGTCCACAAGGCTTGCATAGAGCGCGAGGTGAGTGATGACACAGCCTATCTATATGCAAAACAGGGCAAGTAAGGGCTGATCCGCCGTTTGGCATCCATCTAGTCTTACCCTTCACCCCTCAACTACAACCACTTCCCTAAATCATGCTGTACATCTGTCAACGAAGTCATCTGCCACGGCATTCCCGATCAGCGCATTCTCCTCGACGGCGATATCCTCAACATCGATATCAGCTTGTACCATGGTGGATACCACGCCGATCTTAACGAGACATACTATATTGGCGACAGAGCCAAGGCCGATCCCGACAGCGTAAGAGTAGTGGAGGCAGCACGTGAGTCTCTCGATGAGGCCATCAAGGCTGTCAAGCCGGGCGTCCTGATCCGAGAGTTTGGAAACATTATCGAAAAGGTTGCAAAGCAAAAGGACTGCAGCGTAATTAGAACGTACTGCGGCCACGGCGTCGGAAAGCTCTTCCACTGCCCGCCCAACGTCCCGCACTATGCCAAGAACAAGGCTGTGGGCGAGTGCAAAGTTGGAATGACCTTTACCATTGAGCCCATGATTGCTCTGGGCAAATACAGAGACATTACTTGGCCCGATAACTGGACCAGCACAACCATTGACGGAAAGCGAACAGCCCAGTTCGGTACGTTTACAAGCCACATTGTCTTGGAGAATCCATTGTTTGTGAGACAGGTTGCTAATACTTTTTGCAGAGCACACACTTCTTGTTACGGAAGACGGCTGCGAGATTCTTACGGCACGGACGGCCGACTCGCCTGGGGGGCCGATTCCTATGCCGGAGAAGGTGGCCAATGGAGAGTAATTGACGCAATGTACGATCAATGTAAAGCTTTGAGGAAGTGATTGAATACCATTATTATGTAGCGTATTGTATGATGTGGGCATCCTAGAAGTTAGCGATAGGGTTCTGGCGTCGTGGTGTGCTCCGGATGCAATAGATTGAATCGCTTTTTCTCTGCTACAAGGGTCGCTGTAGGCTTTCAGGCATTGATGCTGGGTCCTGCATGATTTATGCGTGACGCAAATTGGAGAAAGCCAGGTTCGTTCCTTGTCATCGCGTTTGTATAGAAGCTTGCGTAAGGTGGTTGTGGAAAATAAGATAAACCTGCAACGTATATCACATCTTTGTTGTAGAGAGTAGAGACTGAGCTGTGCTGCCCCATGATACAGCCGATACACATATGTAGCTGCTATGTGGGGTTGAGAAGTGTATGTGTGCCCTGCACCGGTGAATTCACATGAAAATGGACGGCCGTTGGAGCTTCTGCGGTGCGTCGTGCCACTAATGCGCCGTAGGATTGCACTAGACAGACGTTGGTAGAGCTCGGTTGGATATCGCCCAAGTCGGATGTGTCTGCTGATTGATCGAGACGCAGCCGCAGCTGCAGCAATGAAGATAGCAGGCCTAGAGGATGCCCGTTAATAAATTGAGCCCTTCATGATAGCTGTAATGTCTGGCTGCCTGCCTATCAATGTACTTGACATTACTCGAGGCTTCATGTTAGTGCTTGCTTTGCTGGAGAAGCGCTGAAAGTCCCCACCGGCCAATCCGGCCGAGCTGGTTGGCTGCTGGGACCAGCTCAAAAATCTTCCCCCAGGCAGGTTTCGATTCCGTATATCGCCACAAATACCACTAATTCCAGTTGAGGTCAGTCACCACCAGGTTTTCTGTCTCTCGCCAGGCCGCCCACAAACCCGCGTTCTCCCTCCCTCTCCACCGCTGAATCGCATCATTCGCCCGTGACGCTTAAGGCCACCTCGCATCTTTCCAGCCCGTGCTCGCAGCATTGCTTTTGCCTCGTTTCCGCACCTTGCTACGGTGAGCACCGACCGCACGCAGCAGCCTCTCCGTTCCGGGCACGAGCTTTATCACGAACCCCCACTAATTCCAAGCAGCTCCCCCTCCCTCCTGCACGCCGCGCCAACCTTGTCCAATTTGCGCCAGAGCTCAAAGCTTGCGACGACCGAACCGACAAGAAGCACCTCCAGCTCTTCTTCTGCCGCCTCTCCCCTCCGAACTACCACTTCACGTAATCCTCAAAGACCACCGGCATGATGTCTGGCGAAGCGTGGCTGTTCCTTTTGGCGGTGTTGATCAACGCCGTCAACCTGTTCCTGCAGGTGTTCTTCACCATCATGTACAGTGATCTGGAATGGTATGGCATCCCGTGTTACCGCTCTCGACGTCCGACGCATGCGCGCAAGGAAATGCGTCTTATCGACGGTCTCTCTATGACCCATGTCTGTCCATGGCTAACTCGGCTTTTCGCAGCGACTATATCAACCCCATCGACCTCTGCAACCGCCTCAACGCCTACATTCTGCCCGAAGCCGCCGTCCATGGCTTCTTGACCTTTTTGTTCTTGATCAACGGATACTGGGTTGCCCTTATTCTTAACCTGCCCCTGCTTGGATACAACATTAAGAAGTGAGCTGCCCTCGAGCCAGATTATTGCCGCAACATGGAATAGGTTTTTTTCTAACGAGCTTTGAACCAGAATTGTTGACAACACCCACTTGCTTGACGCCACCGAGATTTTCCGAAAGCTCAATGTCCACAAGAAGGTACGTCGCCACGTAAAGGATACTCGACTCTCTTTTGCACACGGCTCTAACAATTGTATAGGAGTCATTCATTAAGCTGGCTTTCCACTTGATCATGTTCTTCTTCTACCTCTACAGCATGATTGTTGCTCTCATCCGCGATGAGTCTTCGTAAACCGTGTCGAATGACTGACGAAACTACCCTATCCCACCATACGATACCATTATCTCTGGCAGGACCGATAAACTAAACATGACGGGATCTCTGACGAGGAGCCGGTAGGGCAAGACACGAATGGGAAATGGGCCGTGGATGTTTAGAACTACGATGGAGCTGGCAAAGCGGTGAAGCAGCTGTTGATGAGGAAGAGACGGGCTTTACCTGCAGCTTTAAGCACAGCGTCTGGTGACTTACAAGCGCTTGCAGCTTAATACATGGGGGGCGATCTTTCTCTCTCTTCTTACGAGAGATGATTTTTTTTTCGCGGCTTGGGTTGTATAGCCTCCTGCTTTGCTTATTTTTTCCGGTAGGAGAGCTGGGCATTTTTTGAAGCTATGTGGAGTAATGATGGAAGCTTTGAGTACTAGGGAAGACAAAATCTAGTTAATAAAGTCAATTGTAAATTCTGCAAAGCGCTCTCGTCTTTGGTTTACATATCGTACATGTCCCGTTTTGGGTTGCATCCCAACAGCCCCCTCCATCGTCATAGCTCGGCAAGCTACAGCTGCTTTGGAGCATCATAGCGTTTCTAGTGCATCACGTGACGTGGTTTTCTCTGTCAGACGCGCCACGGTTCTGCCCATCAAAGCGGCTTGTCTTTTGATCGCATGCCCTCGATTGAATCTGCAATTGCGGCGCCCTGTCGCAAAATCGAAAGCATGGCGGACTTTGGAGAGTACCCGCCGAATATGGCGCCCCAGGATGCCCTCGTGGTGCGCCAACAAGCAGAGCCGGACCACGCTGTCGTTCCTTATACTGCCGAAGATCTTTCGCGGCCAAAAGCCGGCCCAGCAAATCCGTACAAGGACGCAACGACCACCCTCAAGCGCAAAAATGTTCTCACTGGCCATGCTGAGGAGACTTTTGTGAGCGAACATACCTTCCGGAGCAAACACAGGGCTATCGAGAGGAAAGGCGGACCAGGACGACAATATCAAAGCGGCGCAGACATCAAGGCCGAGGCGGCGAATCTACGGGCTGGTCGAGAGAAGAAAGGCGACGCAACTATCGCTGAGGGCGCGGGAGCGTATGTTGGACCTTGGGCTAAATTTAAAAAGCAAGAATACGAGGTTGTTGGTGAGGATGAAGAGCTGGCAAGCGACGAAGAATACGATGAGATCGACGAGGACGAAGTTGTCGAGAGTGGAACCGTCCTACAGGCGCCTGCTGGTGCTCTTACTCGACGTAAGGAAGTCGAGGAATTGGGAGACGAGACGACGACGTTCCACGGCTCCGAAGAGTACGATTATCAGGGCCGAACGTATATGCATGTGCCGCAGGATTTGGACATCGACTTGCGCAAGGAGCCTGGTAGCGCCACCAACTTCATTCCGAAGAAGCAGGTTCACGGCTGGAAGGACCATCAAGGGGCTGTCAATGCGCTGCGGTTCTTTCCCGGCTCAGGACACTTGCTTCTATCAGCTGGTGCGGACACCACAGTCAAGATTCGCGATGTGTATCACGACAGGGAACTGCTGCGGACGTTTTCTGGCCACTCCAAATCGGTGTCGGATATCTGCTTCAACAACTCGGGAACGCAGTTCTTGTCTGCTTCGTATGATCGCATGATTAAGCTCTGGGACACGGAGAAGGGTGTTTGCATCAACAAGTTTACCACTGGGAAGACGCCGCATGTTATCAGATTCAACCCTGATCCGGAGCACTCGAATGAATTCCTTGCCGGCATGTCAGACAAGAAGATTGTTCAGTTCGATATACGTACGCCGAACGAAGTGGTTCAGGAGTATGACCATCACTTGGCTGCCATCAACACCATTGTCTTTGTCGATAACAACCGGCGCTTCATGACGACATCCGACGACAAGTCGCTCCGTGCATGGGACTACAATATCCCCGTGCCCATCAAATACATTGCCGAGCCAGACATGTACCCTATGACGAGGGCAGCACTGCACCCATCCGGCAAATACGTCGCCTACCAAAGCTCAGACAACCAAATCCTCGTCTACGGAGCCAACGACAAGTTCCGCCAGAACAGGAAGAAGAGCTACCGGGGCCATAACAACGCTGGTCTGGGTATCGATCTGGACTGCAGTCCTGATGGCCAATTCCTGGCTTCTGGTGACCAGGCCGGCTATGTCTGCTTCTGGGACTGGAAGACGTGCAAGATGTATCATAAGCTGAAGGCGGGCAACCAGGCGGTGACGTGTGTGCAGTGGCATCCTCAGGAAACGAGCAAAGTTGCTACTGCTGGGTTGGATGGAGACATCAGATACTGGGATTAAAAAGCGAGCATGGTCTATGGCGTTGGGGTTTGGATATCTTAGAATTTTGCCGGTTATGGAAATAAACCGTCATTATGAGGCAGCAATAATTTTATGACGTTGTAGTTTTACTTTAATGATACTCTCTGTTTATATGTACATATATCCCATACATCCTGATTTGACCTTTTCTAATATCAGTCCCTACGCCTTCTTAATACTTGTCAAAGCTGCGGCCAACAAAGCAAAAGGAATTACCGCAGATAGATTTCAGCTTCTGTTATTTCCAGGGCTATGCGTTCGTATGAAGGCCAAACCAAAGTGGTGTCATAAATTGAATTGTCATTCTCTTGTTTCGTGCGCCTGAAATCGATGAGATTCTGGCGTGGCGGATCCATGAGGAACTTTTCGTGTAGAGAGAAGTTCATGCTCCTCGGAGATTGGAGGGGCAAGTTGTGCCATTTTCTTGTCGAATGATCTTGAATAGATATGCCGCCTGGTTTGAGTTGCTCAAACTTGGTCGGGGGCCTGCCAGGAAAACTTTCTGTACGCGCTGCTCAGGAAACGTCTCTTGGTTTACCAAAATGGGGGCCTTGGCTGCTGTTTTAGTCGCGAGCAAGCGAAGGCAATTCAGGATGCTGCTCGCCCTTATTACTATTGAAGATGCACAATGAAACAGAACAAAGTGTAGTATTGTGATGATGATGAAGCTAGGTTCCAACTAGCTAGACCCAGTCATTCCACTTCCTCCAAAGGTATTCCCATAACCGGTTATTCCATTTCATCTCCCTTTTCCCTGCGCACCACATATTCATCCTCCCTCAGCAATATTCCATGCTCTTCAACGAGCGCCATGAAACGCTTTTCGATCAATTCATCAACGCGTTTCTGGAGCTGGTCCTCGCTGATTGTAGCGATGGGCCCAGTTTGAGTGCCCTCGTCAAGGAGAACGGGGGCAGTCTCGACGGCAGCGGTGACCGGTTCGGCCTGAGTCGGGAGGGGTCGAGGTTCGGCTATGGTTGGTTGAACGTGGTCGGTGAAAGGACTGAAGTCATCGGCGAAAGGAGCGAGACTGAGCCCTTGACTCGTCCAGCGCCGTATTGACCCTGTCATGATGAAGGAGCTCTGTTAGACACAACACAGAACACGCAGTCGGCCCGGCAATCTGGTTTACTTACATTTCAGGTTTCTCAGGTTGTTGCGGTTTTGTAAGTCGCTGCCACTCGTATCTCGCCATTGTGGCGTACTCAAAGAGGGCTCGGACACCGGACAAGATGTGCTTCTCCCCGAGGCCTCTGGCTTTCTTGCCGTTATAGTCAACACCATGTCCCTTCCATCGTTACTCCTTTGTCTGTTAGGTGTGTCGTCCAGTTTTTCTTTTCCATATGTGAAAATTCTCTAGGGACAGACTTCTCCATTTCTGCATCTTTTTGTCCTTCAAACCATGGCGTTGGGGGTCCTCTTCTCCAATGGCCACATTTGGTCGAGCACACGAGCACCTTTTGACTTGACCCTCTCTATGCCGTGTTGCAAACTGCCAACCATGGTCAGAAATGGCCCCAGTCTCAAGGTGATGATGCCTAGATAGTTGTGGCTTCATATAGCCAGTTTTTAGTTGTGTAATAAGTCAGTTGCTATGGCGCCGTATTCTTCTGTTGCGCGTGTGGGGTGTATGTCTTGCCAAATACCATCCGATATAGTAGTTGATATGGACTGGCCGTCGGAACCATGACATCTGTTGGAGCGGACGACATCTTAGTTAAGGCATATCAACTGGTAGAGTACTGGTTTATAAGGATAGGTCATCTTCGCCGTATCGCCTGTTGACGGAGTCTTCCAATCTAAATCTCTGATGCTTTTAATCGCTCGTCACCTTGCTTTTTCGTCTTGCGGCAATATAATCCAAAACAGGCTCAGTGAGAATGAATCTGTCTCGTTCAGATAAATGGACAACCTTGTATAAAGTCCATTTTGGAGATGAGTATCTCACGCCAATGTGTTCATTGCCTCATCAAGGCGATCTGGGGGCATCGGGAGATATCGTGATTTGCAAGCCATGCGAGAGCAATAGAGCAGCCGAGTTGTAACGGCTAATGAGCAGATCATTGCAGCTGCCCTTAAAGTTGAGGCGCTTCGATGGCGTGCAACTCGCTATGGCTCAGACGAGGAAACCCAGAATCGCAGAGGTTCAAGTCCCTTCAGATAACAAACCATTCGGGAGGCGACGGTCGAAAGACAACGTATCTCGATGTATTGGTGACGTCCGGATCCGATTAACAACGTCGGAAAGTAATTGGAATGCTGGAAGGTGCTTATAGTTGATAACGAAGGCATAAGATGATGTATGTCGTGATAACGGAACGTGGTGACAAGTGTTTGTATCCAGGCAAACGAACCCCAGCAAGGCTAGTTTGCCGTTTGTTCGGATGTGTCTCAGCCATTTGAAGGTACTGCTAGCCATGGGGCACTTGAACTGTATGAAGCCGTGATCATCTGACAGTTGACTCAAACCCCCCTCCCTCTCTCTCTAGAGTCCTTGTATCCGGTCCACGCAGACCAGAGTTTGGCTCCCAATAGACTAGTAACCACGCATTTATCGAGGCGGGCTCAGGAGGCGTCTTTCTGTTCATATCCTGTAGCGCCACAAATCGTTTATCGAACGCCCTAGAATCGCGATGCGAGGCGCCCGGCTGCGAGGATGTAGCATAACCAGAAGCTTCATTTAATGCTTGCACCATCATGGATCTGTATTCCGACCTGAGCGCTCGGCTTCGGCGGGTAGCCCCCAATTGTTCGTCCGGACTGCCACGCGTGCCGTCAAAGAAATCCGCTTCATTTGCGTCCACTGCGTTCTCCCTCTCCTGGGCCAGCTCTTGCGACTTCGCTCAGAAGCTCACAATGAGTCGGCTGGAAGTAGCCAGTGCTCCTATGGCCGTGCTAGTATCGGAATGTCAATGGGCCAGTGGAAGCGCTCCATACAGGGACTCGATGGGCCGCTTTCGCTCCGCAAATTTCATTGCCTGATAATGTAACCGTCCAATCTATTATTGGGGGCACGATGTCTTGCTTCAAACGACCGCCGGCACTTGGCTTGAGAGCTAGCTTCGGTTGATAAAGTATGTTGAAATAGGACAAAGGTGCCCCTCTATTCACCATGGTAGCTCGATAAAGTCACCAACCTCATCTGGTTCCACGATGAGCGGCGGATAAAGTCTCGGCACTGGCGATGTAATTCCTGTGCAAGCAGTCCAAAGCGTACACATACTATATTCCATATGAATTGTCGACGGAGCATAAGAGAGGGGGTAGGCAGATGCCCTCAGATGATCAGCACTCATGTGAAAGCATTTGGCCCATGCTGTAGGGTGAATCTCGTTGCGCCGGCGGGCTTTGGTAAGGCCAACATACATTCGCAGCTTGATTGGTTTGGAGCTTTGCGTTCGTGTGATTGAAGTTTGTTTTCCGTAATCATTCTGGATCGTCTGCATGCCCATCTCATAGCTGTCCGGATCATCGATGTCCGCGCAGAGATGAGGTTGCGCCGCACTCCTATACCTTCTGTCATATCATCTAGTATCCCATCCATCTGCTCAAGATGGATAAGAGAGTGGCATGGATGCCGTTCCCGCCTTATATGGCCCCCGAGCAAACTGAGAACATCCGAATAGGAGCTTCATAGCCGATCCTTTTCGCCCGAACCAAGTGCTTACTACCGTCGACAATTTGGCATTGGATGCACCCTGTTCTCCGGTATAAGAGAAACATGGGCTTGATTGCCTCTTCGTTTGGTTTCCAGACCAAGCTGACTGTTTCCTGTTCGTTGTTCAAAAGTCTTTTGCTGGCTATACCCAGTGATGAAGTCTGATGTACTTCTCTGGGATCATGGGTAGATCGCAGTCAACTCAACGGCGTGAGAATATGCAAGCGCACATACCCCAGATGCTGTCCTGGCTTTCCTTGCAACTATTCTTCTTCTCCGTAGTTGCCAGCCGCACAGTCTTTCCAAATCCGAGTTCCAAGGTTGCTTCATGAAGAAGCCAGGAGCATCTACTAGACGACCAATAAGTGGTCAGTGAGCTCCCGCTTGTTCAGACTTGGCGGGATTCAGAAGGTATTTACTGCTCCTATGTGTCACGTAATTATCTCTGTAAAAGGCAGTCCTAACAATGCGCACCGCAGGTGTCGCAGTCAACGCGCTCAGGACACGCCGCACCATTGATGGGCATATCGAATCTATAAAACATGACTGGATGCAACACATCAGCAACTAAGTGTCGACCAATAAACATTGTAAGTCTCACCATGTGATAACTATACTGATGCCGACACGACGCCAGACATCGAGGCCCTAGCTAGCATCTTTCCGTTGACATTATATGGGCAGCTCGGGTTGGATGGAAGACTTGGTGATGGATATTCGGCACCTTATCGCGAGTCGTGAGACGTACCTCGCGAGGGTGGTTGAAAGAAAGAAAAGAGGGAAAGAAAACCCCAACAGGAGCAAGAGACTATAAGAGTATTTATACGCGACAGTGTCCGTGTCTGCCCTCATGATCACGCGGTAGCACAGGGGCTGATATCACGGCGAGTTGCATGACTATCATTGCTCTTTACACCGCTTTGAATGGAAAATCCCATTGATATCAAGTAGAGAAAAAGATGGAGTGGAAAAGGCTATGGAAGATAGTAGATCCAAGATCTACTTGCTAATTTCTCATATCTTCGATGAAAGGTGCGAATATACACGTACTTGAACCGCATCTCTCCTGGATAATCCACATGGATCACCTATGCGTACAATTCATAGACGACTTAGCCCCTATCTTGTGTTACAACACATCATGCGTCATCGGGTGCCTTGACCGCCTTTGCAATCAGCAGCTCCAGAATGGCATGAGCAACTTCAACAGCCGCAATCGCAGTAATCTCGCCGTTATCGTCATATGCTGGTGCTACCTCCACTACATCACCACCAATGATGTTCAAGCCTTCCAACCCGGCTAGAATGGTGAGCAGCTCGCGAGTGCTCCAGCCACCCGGCTCTGGGGTGCCAGTTGCTATGCATTCATATCCCTCCATCAGCAACTGGAGTCTACAGTTGAGACATATATCCCAAGTAAGTGGGAAGACCTACCAGGCGCAAAAGCCAAGTCCAATACGTCAATGTCAACGCTGATATAAGTATTGGTATCACCAACTCGTTCTCGGATTCTATCAATTATGGCCCGCGTTCCGTTGGTGTCAATATCCCTTGCCGTAATAATTTCGAATCCGCATCGGATATCGTTTCGGATATCCGCTTTTCGACGGGTCAAAGGAGCGCGAATACCAGCGTGGATTGAAGAATTGAGAATGAGTCCCTGTGAAATATGTCAACATTGTCGGTAAGACGGTTATATAAAACCCACTTCTTCATGAGCAATGTGTAGAAATGTGCCATGGTTTAGGCCTCTAGATAAGTATTAGTAGACGAATTGAACAGGGCTACTCTATACCTTACGCATAATCCGATATACCACCGCCTATATCAACGTTAGTAGAGATTTTCTAATGGCTTGGAGGCACTTCGTACCCAGAACAGCTGGATCCCACGTATCTGTAGAAACATTAGCAATCCAATATCTCATTGCCAATAACAGCCTGGATCTCACCGATATGACTGTCAAAGTGAATCACTGAAACCGGTCCCCATCGCTTATGTGTGGAACGCAACGCCGAAAGAGTCGTTGTATGGTCTCCTCCTAGGGTTATAATTCTTGGAATGGTTGATTCATCGGGGTGAGCCGTTGATCGTCCAGAGATGAGCCTGTGAGCCTGATCAAGCGTCTTGAGTGCTGCACGGTTGTCAAGCCATGTTAATGGGGCATCAAAACAGTCAACAATACGAGCCCAGTCATGGACAGGATCACGACCTAGTTGTTAATAGTAAGTAGATTATGCAGACACGACTTCTTGATAAGATTTCTCACCCGTGTAGATGCTATATCCATATGCCTTCCTCTGACTTGCTTTTCTAATAGCATTGGGTCCAAATCTGGCTCCCGGCCTTGCAGTAACGGCCTAGGTTCAAGCAATTAGTCTGAGACAACATCGAGAGATAGTTTGAACGAGGCATCTACGAACAGTATCGAATGGCGCACCCAGAATTGCAATATCAAACGATTTCGAAGAGCCGTCATCCACAAAGCAGTTTTCATATGGAACATGTGCGTAGGTGCCTGTGCCCGAGAAATCGTATGTCGACAAGTCAATCTCGTCAACGGCAGCGTCGGTATGAGCCCAGAAGGGAATCTGGTTACCGCCATACGCGGCGAATTGATGGGCGTAGACGCTCACAGGAGCTGTAAGCAGCACCGTAGTCAAAATACAGCGAATCATTATGAATTGATGAATAGTGTTTGAGAGATTGTGATCTCGACCATCTTCTAAATAAGTTGTGATGGAGGGGTAGAGAGCGATCGCACTTACACTATAGTTGCCGGATTGAGGGAACTACATGACGCTAAAGCGGCCATCGACTTTCTGCTGCTACTTCAGTCCTAGCGGAGGTTCATAGAGCGAATATCTTACTTTTCTAGATCAGCCGTCTAAACTCGTTTTTTTTTTGTGGTACTTATAGGATTTATCCAAGATAGTTCTATAGTCTTGTTACAGTAGCGTTTGCCAATCAATATTCAGAGAGGGCTCACTGCTTGAGTCGTCTTATCAACGGTGGTCATCTAGCGGGCATCAATGGCGGCTCTATGTAGAAACGAATTACTTCAACAACATCGTAAGTATGTGCACTTATTCTGTTAATAGAATGGCATTACTCAAGTTGAAAATCCTGTATCTTGGTCACGATTTCAACTGAATTAAAGCAACTTTGTACCAAAGCAGTTGGCGCTGTACATTTATAAAGTCAATTTTCTTGGGGCTTAGTATCAAGACAAGTGCTAGCTATTATGGTCCAACGGTTAAGACATCAGTTTGTGGTATTACTACAAACCACTGAAGACCGAGGTTCGACTCCTCGTAATGGCACATTTTTTGCCCTTTTTTAGTATCGTTTCAACATGAATCATGACTTAAACTTTTGAGTAGGACGCTGTCAGCAGTTTTCAGTGGCTGTTGTGGAGCTCACGTCATTGGAGAAAACAAGCATGCATGTGGGTGTGTGGGCATTAAGCATCCTGGACCTGGCAACGCTGCTTTTGCGGAGAATTATTTGGTTATTAATTTGAGCTACCAAGCGAATCGAATCAATGAAACCTTGCCACTGATTCTGGGAGAAAATAACATCTTTTTTTCTTTTTCGTATCTAATGTAGTTTTTTCCCCCCCAAAGCCTGTGGAGCCGTCAACGTTGGATGCTCAAAGTGTAGTTGTAGCTTGGCAGATCGTGTAAGCACGCGGAGGCTGAATATAGGTAGATGTACAAGGCCGCGAGCACTTTTTCTTCTGTTGGCAGAGCTCAATAGAGGCTCATTGTAGCCAGTGATGGAATATAATGAGTAACCATTTGAAAGCTATCCATGGTGTTGATACCATGTCAACTGCGCCATGGCCAAGGCAAATTGCGCCGCGGATCACCACACATACAGCACTGGTGCCGTATGGAACAGATTGCGATGTCGATATGATAATAATTGAATGTGAAAATCTCAGCTACATCTTGCACATGAATATATACAGCGCTGATTTAACAGTTCACATGGTAATGTTTCCTCACGGCCAGTTTCTACAACCTTTCACTACAGCTTTATCCAAAGCCAAGAGTCTCATTCAACTAGACATGGTTCGCCCCTTGCATTTTCAGCACTGCGCATCAAGCGTTTGATCTCTCTTGTTTGCGCTTGATGGCTTTAGATTCTACATCCACATAGTATGCAATGGGCGATCCGGGCGTCCCTCCTTCTCCAAGTTCGCAGGCGAGGTTTCTCGCAGCAACTCATCGTCCCAAGCCGCTGCCCAATGGTAGTTTGAGAAACGGGGATATACATCGCTACTGTGAGTCTCTTGACTCAGTCGAGAAAGAAGTCCGACCGTTTGGGATACATGCAAGGGCAAGAACACGACAGTGTTTGCACCTCGTTCATGACGCTCGTTCAAGTTGCAGACAGGCTCAAGCCCAGTAGCTACGTGCCGGGCTGAACAAATCGCAGTTACTCGCTGCTACGAGAGCGAACGCTGTTTGAGCCTTCTACTGAATCTTCAAACCTTCTGTTTTGGCCATGTGTGCTTGTGTATTGTCAAAGCATTTAAACTCTGGTGCGCATGGACGACAATCAGGAAGGCACTGTAAAATGGATCGCAGGGCAACGCGCTCTTCTTTTGTTTCTGCTACAAATCTCTACCTTACCATACAATTTCCAGACACGTACTTTGAAAAGTTATATCGCTTTATCATCAGAGTGGCATATCCATCACTTCATCATGGCCCGAAGACACGGTCAGGCTCAGCGCTTGTTTAATGATAGCCTAAGACGCTACCTGGAGTTGGGAGCATCTGGCCAGCCTGTGAATCGACTTGAGCTACTTTTGCCCCATGTTCAATTCAATGAAGTAAGTCATGGCATACTACCATTTTGCACGCAAAAGCTCAAGTGCTGACGCGCTCCGGAAGAATGGCGAAGTGATCCTCTTGCCTGGAGAGATTTTCTGTCGAATCCGGGATGACAATAACGACATTTGTCCGTTTGTAGTTGTAAGTTGAGCTCAGTCATGGTCCTTTGTGCATCAATACTAAGTTCTCTCTAGGATTACCGCCGCCGTCACGGAAAAGGCGGCATAAGATACCATTATAGATATGCTCATAACCTACCGGCCGAGAAGAGAAAGCTAACCCACAGGTACAATCACTTCTTAGAAAAGGCCGCGCGTACGAAGTTCTTCTCCAGGGTGCTATGTCGAATCGGCGCTGACCAATCTCCAGGATGGTATGATGAAGTGGTCAGAGCCAAGATGCCGCTCTGGCTCCCTCGTGATGCAACCGACTCACCTATATTGCACATCTCATTTCCTTTGTTCCTAGACGACGAAGCCAATGAAGAGAGCAATCAAGATGGCAACAGCTGAGACAGCGCCGATAGACCTGGCAGAAGTTATCAGGAAGAGAACTGGAGAAGTCAGCCCAGCATCGACCAAGCGACAGCTTACGTCTCTCTGTATTCATGGTTGTACACGTTTACGAGCGATAGTTTGTTTAGATCAAATTAATTGTTCTTTTTGCTTGAATGCTGCTGCTGTTCATTCTTCCTATCTTTTTAGTGGCTTTCTTGTGCTGCTCCGCCAAGCTCAATACATGAATAGTTAGCATGACAGGCTGCTCATTTACTCTGCCTGCTTCGTCTACCCTACAAACTTCAATCAACCCATCTACTTTCCTCACTAGAGACTTCAATGCATGAGGACAGAGAAACGAGCCATTGGCCGGTCCATGAGAAAAGCCGCAAGATCCACAAAACATTTTCGGGGTTTTCACAACAATATCAGAGCCGGTGACTGAGTATACCTCAAAACCTGAATGGTAGGCTTCGCATCTTTGAAGAGTTGAGTTGTCAGCCCGACGAAGCTTGGGATAGCCTAGTAGTTGTCGTAGTACTCGGCATTGTCATGGTCGCCCCAATCACCTAGTTGAAGCAAGTTTTTCACAAGGTACAATGCTTGGCTGAAGCTAATGACAATTCACCATCATTTTTGTCTTTAGGTCTCATCAGTATTTCGCTGAAGATGGCATTGGAGTATGTTCGCTCCTCCTCTCGACAACTCCTTCTCCCCCTTATAAACCTTTTTATCCACCAAGCCAATACCACAATTACTCGTGAATTAAATAAAAGAGGAGCTACGGCCCATTTCAAGCTCTAGATATGACATTCCCATGCTTCCATCAGGTCTAGGCGCAGATTATAGTTTCTTTCTTCAAGCCGCATACCAATCGTACTTCTCGTGACTCCAAGATATGTTTGTAACGCTATGGCCCATATTTGGCGACGCATCATAGAGCAGACAAATACCCTCGAGTCTCTTCAAACTATAATCCGTCTGAATACCAAACTACATTGGTACCATAACAATGAGGAAATGGCATCTTTGAAGCGATTGCGAAAAACCGATGGCGGATATGCTGTTGTTCAAATCCACAGGCTAAAACACCACGACTTTGGTCCTCCAACCAGTTTACAGGTTGCCAATACAGATGAATGGATGCAAAGAGCAGGATGAGCAGCGGTCTACCAGTCGAGACAGAGCAAACGTTTGTTCTTAGTGCAAACGACCCTACACACGCTCCAAGTTTCGAGTTTCCACAGCTCTATGGGAGTTACGTCGCATCATGGCCATTGGTGGCGTTGCTAACCTGGAAATCTTATCAGATCACGGTGGCAGCAATGGGAATATTGGTCACGAGAGAGAAGGTAGTATCAGGGATGAAAATAGTTGGTATATTCAATTGCGAAGTTTGGTTCAAGACATTCAAACTAGTAAAGAGCGTAAAAACAATGATGAATGCAATAACTGAAAGCGTAGAGCTGAGAAATAGAGTGGGATTGTAGAGACATTACTTTAACAATATCTTCTACTACTCCCACGTAAAAAGCATGGAGAAGATATGATGGAACCCATTCCTTGACAGCAGCTACTGCCTTTGTATTAATGTAAATGCCAATCTCATGCTAGTATTCGTGTACCTTGTATAAGCCCCCAGAAACGCCAGCAATGCATAACTCCCCCTTGTGCCCCAAAGTTCCCCGTGTAACCCTTCCACCCCTCGATTCACCCGATTCTACCAAACGGCCGTAATTATATATCTCGTCCCAAGAGTTTGTCCACACTCTTTCCCAGTTCCGATCCGATTTGATGCATCAACCTCCAAATAACACACAAACAATATAGTATTGTTTTCCAACCAAACAAGCACGCAATCATGGGCGATCAACACCCAGCTTCCTTCTTGGCCGGAGAGGACAGTCTCCTTGGCAGTCAGGACACCGAAGACAGAGCGGCTTGGACCACACTTTCCTGCACCTGCAGACCCAAAGATCGCGCCCCGTCCGTGTAGTGAGACAGTCGAACGGAGCATGGATGCCCGTGTCCACGCCGCACGAGATACAAAATCGTCGAAGCATGATGAGCCTATCCGACCGCGTGTCAGGCTCTCGGTCACGGACGATTTGACCGTGGATATCGACGTAGACGGACTGGGGCTGCAGCATGTCAAAATGCTCTGGCGATCGCACACGGAAGCAAACGTAGCACTCAAAGTTCCCTGGCTTGTAGTCATGCCCCTTCTCGCTCGGGCGATGCTGGGGGAAGTCCTTTGCCGCTCTCATGATGAACTGTGCTTTGTCTGCCGGGTCGGCCATCCTCTGGGGATCTAGAACCCGATGAAAGTATCGATTCATGGTGGATAGATGGATGAGGGCTTCGTAGTCAAGGTACGAGAAGACAGTCTTTTGGACATCTGGCGGCAGACGCTCGATCAGGGACGACGGCATGGTTCGTGAGTGCTGCCGATGGTGAAGGGCTTGCTGAGGTTGCGGGGAATGATACTGCTGTTGCTGTGGTTGTTGCTGCAGTTGCTGCTCTTGCCGTCGAGGAGGACTGTCATGTCGGTGTGGGTGTGGATGTGGATGGCTGAGCTGACGCCGATGCTGTTGCTGTTGCAGATGGCCCATTTGAGGTTGGTGTTGATGATGGCGGCTGTTGTGAGGTTGACTTTGATGGTGTTGAGGGTTGCGGTAAGGATGATAGTGGTGGACGAATCGTGAGCCAGAAGACTCGATATTTGTGCTGTGAGCACTAGGAGCTCCCAGATTCGGAAGCATAGTAGGCCTCGGAAGGACGATCATGGCGGACTAGAAGAGACTTGTCGACAAGATTTGATCTCGATAATATCATGCAAGACAAGGCATGCAGAGAGATATAAAGCTTGCAACCCCAGGGCGCCCAAGTGCTGCTCCTGGCTAATTATCCTAGATCAATCTAATAACAAGCACTTGACTACGGGAAGCGCCGCCGCAAAGGTGGCATAACAGGAAGAGAGGGGGGGTGTGGATGCGAGGACAAGGGCTGGCTCAGATGTATGTACCCAAAGTGGTATCCCAAGCATGAGCCCACATGTTAGGATTGCATACAAGTACAAGCAACCTTTCCTCACAACCGTCGTTGGCCAGGTTTCATCTGCTCCGTACAGGCTGAGACATAATCGCCTCGAATATGGGTGGTGGGCCATTTCGAGAAAACATGGCAATGGAAACGAAGCAGGTGCTCGTAGAGAGAGCGCTCCACCAGTGGGAACGCAATATCAATCTGTCCGTACAGACATTTCCTCCTACTCACTGCCACCGTCTGCGGCCGAGCGAGATTCTCAGCCAGCAGGAGTGAACGCCCCCAAGGCCCCCTCTCCTCGCAAATCCACTGACATGGGACCGGCAGTATGGTTAGCTAACTCGCTAGAGGGGGTATGAGAATCAGACAGTCGCCGACTGACAGATCCCGTAGCTTGGCAAATCTGCAAGGATACCTTACGGTAGCTCGCCGGCACTCGCAGAGTTGGCAGACAAAGGCAAGGGGGGAGGCAATATAGCATCACCTCATATGTGGGGTTGGGTATGAAGATGATGCTACTGCTGGCCACTTTTCCGCATTGGCCAGCTCCAACTCTTAGACATTTCCAGTTTATCTCTGAGCTATCCACCAACCAACACTCGCGAAAAAAAGCGCCGTTGCCAGATGGGGAGCGCGGGCCATGAAATGCTACTCAGTTCCGGTGCACCGCTCGCCGGGCCACTTCCCCGGCCTTGAAATCCCATCAAGCTCTTGGGTCATGTGTGCAAAATTAGAGTCTCAGAGGCCTAACAGTGAACCGTCCGGCCGGGTGAACCACATGGGGAGCATGTTTTGATGAGCAAGGGCCTATAAGCCATGTGCGATCCTCGTGCGTGGCTAACCAGCGACATTTCAGCTGAAACGTCGAGCAACAGCACCACAAAGTACACAGTCATAGTAGTAGATAGTAGCTGCTACTACTACAAGTACTACTTAGTAGTATATGGACTACTATAGGTATACTGTACGGTGTTGGTAGCCTCGCAAATTAAACGCTTTGACTCTCGAATCTGCTGCTGCTGCTGTTGCGGTGGCGTTAGATGCACTTGAAGCTTACTTACCGGGGAGCATAGGATTGAACGCAGGTCAACGTCCACGGCCCACTTGCCACTACTGTACTCGCACCTGCGCTCGGTATTGTTGGCGACGGCCGCTGTTTAGCGCACTCACGATCCACTTGCGGCTCTCCAGGTCTCAAAGGGGTCACTTCGATGGCAGCAAACGGCGCTGTTTTGCCATTGCTATCGCGGCCAGCGCGGTGGCCAGGCAGGGCTGCTGTCGTCCTAGCTTAACGGCGTCGGCCGCCCGTCTTGTCGACAATGGCTATCGTCCGACATGTCCGCTGGTGACAAGCATTTTTGACCGATCCAAGCAGCTGGGCCTCAGTCCGAGCGGTTCATAGTTGCGTGGATCATCCAGGTATCCCTAGCGCTAGGCTTGCCTTGATGAAGATAGGGGACAAGACCCTATCCCTTGACAAGAAGAACGCACGCAGCCTGACAGACAGGGCATCTCGCGCGTCGATCGTTATTACGGGCGACTAGCGCTAGAGATCTCCCAATGAGCTCGGCTGAGAGGCGAGAGTCTAATTGAGCATAGGCAGCGTTGCACTCATTATACCAGAGGTACTTGATACATGGCATGCGCTTCCTATTGATCCAGTCAGCCGGTAACGGGGCAATGTGCTGCCATGTCTCAGGTGCCTCAGCAATAAGTCTGTACTTGGCGGAACTGCGCCGTCTGTTGTTGAGATGAGATGGTGGCAACGGCGTGCTGTGCAGTTACGAAGTGCCCCATGCTTCTATCACAAAAGTTTCAACTTGTTTTTTTCCCCAAGTCAGTATCCCTGCAGCCATAGGCATCTATAAAGCTGGCATCGCATTGGTTAATTGTCTCCGTAGGGGCGCATGAGTGGAGTTTTTATCAGAGGTCGGCCGCCGCAAGTCTATCCCGACAGCTGGGGGCGAAAGTCAGGAAAAAAAACAACGGGGTTGCCGCAAGACAAGGCAAGGGAGGACACAGCCACGGCTCATGAACTTCTCTTCCCCTTCTTTCCCCTTTGAAGACAAGATACAGGGCTAATATCCTGCTTGGGGCCGATTGCAGTGCTCAAGTCGAGTCAAATCTCATAAAGGGCCGTTGTGGTGCGACAGCAATAATAGGTACTTGTACCTAAATGTATGTTGTAGCCTCGAACGTGTCAATGTTAACATTCTCGAATGGCCGATCAGCAAAGCCCATCGCTCTCGTTTTCCCCTCTTGACCCCCGGTCGTCATTTTTCGTTATATTTTTGAAGGAGCTAATAAGCAAGCTGGTCGCGTGGGCTGACACGGTAGAGAGCGAAGTTCACCTCATGTGATTCGTATCGATGATACTAATATCTCCAACCACCAGTGCTTATAATTCGTAGAGTACCCTGTAGGCGCTATCTAAGCGTGCTGCAGCTTAGAAGTACAAAAAGCAAACTCAATTGTGACTGATGCCAAATTGGGTAGACAGACTAGGTTGCTGAGCTGCAAGGTTGCAAGGCGTGCCTCTTTTTTCAGTGCGCAGTGGAACTCATTTTGCCCAACTGCCGGGGTTCTATGGCGGCAGGCCATGGGACCGTACTCCTCCAAACTTGGTCAAGGTGGTTAGTGATGATCATCACCTAAGCTTTTCCCTCTAAGCTCTAAGATTAGCAGAACAACAGCAGATCCTGGCGAATTCCTGAATCCTGTCCTCATGCTGTATGGCTTAGCAGCGGCAGCCAAGCAGTTTTGTCGCCCAGCAATGTCGAAGCGCAGGGTACTGATAGCCACTGTGGCAGATGCGAAAAATCCTGGCCAGTCAATGACGGGCGGCTCTAGCAGCCCAAACACCCTCCCGCGTTTCAAGGTGAGCCGCCCAGTCTAGTCCATCGTCAGATGCTACTGTAGATGTCATACGAACAGATTGGGTGTAATGAGAGCTCCCCACCACGCCAAGTCCTCATATGCAAATTGCTTCTTAAAGTAGACTGGCATCAGCTGGCGACTGTGTTTCTTTTTTCCCTTCTAATTTGACATTGCTCGTAATTGTTTCGTTCCACAATCTTCATTTCATGATCGCATTGCTTGACAAAGCGTAATCTCACAATCTTCAAATATGGGGACACTGAACTGCACGTCTGCACCTGAATCCACCCCCAGTGATTCGGGGGTCGCAGGACAAGGAGTATGTTGACCGGCACTCGCGGCAGAAGGTCGAGAGAGAACACCACGGCTCTGCCATCGTCGGGCACCCTATTGACTATGATGCATAGATTCTCCTTTCTTTCATGATCACAGCCCTGCTGGCCATCATCTTATCAGCGAGTGTTATTCTTGTGGACTTTAAAGGGAAGAACTCAACAACCAGGCGAAAGTTACTCAACGGATACAGCGACTCACAGATCATGCAAGGGATCGGCATACAGAGTAAGCGGCTCGAACGACCCCGGATATCTCCAGGTGGCACGACGCTAATGAACAAATGGCTTCGCAGGTGTTGGTCTAGCCAAGATGAACTCCCTTGTCCCGTATCATTTCTTCCTGATATGGATGCTGTCCCTCCTGTCCATGGCAACGCACAATACAACACTTCTGGCACTAGTTCGAGACTACCGCCGTGACTGGGTTCTGAGATGGCTGAGACAGTTCCTCATGTTCGTCAACTTGGCACTATCGTCAGTTTCTGGGGTGTTTGTCCTCCAGACCGTCTCCAAAGGGCTAGACAAGTCGACTCTGCCCGTTGCCTGCGTCTGGAAAGTTGACGGAGAGAAGGCTCCATCCAATGCTGGTTTATCTTATGTGGGCACCATCGCGGCAATGGCGGGAAACGTAATCATCTTTGTCCTCGCAACATGGTATCTGCATAGCCGGAAGCAGAGATTCTATAAAATCGTACAAATCGTGGGGTGGATCCTCATGACGGCCGTTGCCATTGGGGCGGCGGTACGGGTGATTTTGCTGTCTCAAGCTTTTGGACATCCGTCAGTCAAACTAAGCGACGAGGGAGAGAAGGATTGGAGCTTTGGTCAGCTTCTGTCGATGCTGCTGCTAGTTCTGCCCGTCATATCTGTGATTGAAATATATCGTGGAGAGATCAAAGTAGCGCCTCCGGTGGGAGATGATCGCCAGCGGCCGTATGATGGCGAACTGCAATCGGATCCGCACGTTCTGACGCCGTTCCAGCCAAATCCATTTTTCGGGTCTGAGACGGACCTGTTTAAGAAAAGGGGCAACAGAAATTAAAGAAAAAAGAGGGTTTGTGTGGGGGAGACGACGGGGTGCGGCACGCCCAAATTAGACTTTATGACTGATATATGGATGGGCACGGTAGAAGATTAGCACGTACAAGCAAGTAAAAGATAGAGTAGTAGGTGATGGATGGTAATTCTAATGTTCTAATGAAAGGTAGCAATTGCAATTTGTAGAGGTGGATCCGGTAGGTAGACCTGAAAACGTGGTTGCTTGTTTGAAGTGACTCCAAACTCACTTGCCGATGTAGACAGGCACTCGAGAGGAAAGAGCCAAGCTTGTGCGGAGGTACATGCTAATATCACAATTGCCAAATACCACAGCAAGCGGTATGATGTACGCTCTTCTCTACTACTACCAGTATTTTAGCCCGGTTATTGTTGCCGTGTTGTGCAAGTGTCTGGTGTCTTATCGTTCCCGGCATACGGCAGCAGCGTCCGCAGGCGTATAGACAAGTTGCACCTGCCCTCTCGGCTGGACCGCAGCGCACATTCAACATAGGGCTCTCGGTATCACTGTAGCCACCTACATGATGGCTTCATCCAGTCCAGTACGACATGTGGTGGTCTAACCATTGAATCAGTCATCACCGGAGCCTTCCACTGCCTTTCTCCACACCATCTGAAGATCGCCAGAGGAAGATCATCACAGCTCGACGTCACAATGACAGGCAATCGGACCCTCTATCTGGCTTTTGTTGCGTCTGCCTCTCTCTTTTTCTATGCGGTATTCCACCAGTGGGGCAGTGTAACGGCAGACAGCATCCAAGAGAACCTGACGTCTCATCGGTGCGTATCGTTTCTTTGGTGCGTTTTCTGTTATCGCCAATCCCACTCATCAAGAAAGCAGCTTTGGCAATGAAACTGCAGCCGGACGCCCAGACTTCGAACAGATTGCGCGCAAATATGGCACAGACAAAGTCACTACTCATCAGTACCAATTCATGTACGACAAGTATCTGTCGGCGATTCGAGACGACCAGTTGAAGGTCTTGGAGATTGGGCTTGGCTGCAACATGGTAATCGCGGGTCCTACTTTATCAGATGGACAACCTCTAACTACATGGTACACACAGGACTATGGCCCCGGAGCGTCCTATTACACTTGGCTCGAATATTTTCCCCACGTAAATCTCTACTTTATCGAGTACGATGGACAGTGCGCCCAAAAATACCAAGACAAAACCCCCAACGCACACGTCTTCGTCGGCGATCAGGCAGACACTCTCTTCCTCGCAAAGTTTTCCACAGAAGCAACCACAGACGGGCTTTTTGATATAATAATAGATGATGGCGGACACACAATGGACCAGCAGATGACTTCCCTGGAGCTTCTCTGGAAAGCCATCAAGCCGGGCGGCTTATACGTGATTGAAGATTTACAGACTAGCTACTGGGAGTCTTTTGGCGGAAACCCTTTGGGAAGGAGTTCATCTAAAGAAACTACCATTTCTTACTTGTACCAACTAGTTGACGACTTGATGATTGGGAGAAACGCAAAGCAAATCAGCCACGACTTGCTCTCCATCGACTGCATGGCAGAGATTTGTGCACTGCGCAAGAAGAAGCATATATAATGGGATTATGACTAATGGAGATGATTACGATACGACATACATAGCTATATAAAGCTAACAAGATTGATAAGATTAATCTACTTTAATTCTATTATAGTTAGTGCTATATTTTTTGAGGACCTCGCTACGCATGATCAAGAAAGAGCATCTATAAGGAATCACCAGATAACGTGGTAGTTAAGAACAGCAAGACTAACAAGATTAATGTACTTTAATTCTGTTGCATCTAATGCTAGGTATTGTTATTAAAGTCATGGCAAAAGAATCGCAGCTGATATCGCATAATTATATAATTATTCTTCCTCTCTCAAAAGAACCATTTCTTTTTCTCTCATCTCCTTCACATGATGACACACTTCACTGGAAGACCGCAGAAGCCATCCTTCTCATTCTCCTCTCTCTCCGGGATGGGCTCCGGCTTTGGGGCAGCCGGAGTAGATGAATTGGTTGGGGCTACCTTGACAGCCGACTTCTTCTCTTTACTGCCATGTAGTCACGAAGAGAGAGTCTCGGCAAAGGCCTGGCCCTGGGCGGTGGCAATTCGGAGCTCGAGCTCGGAGGGCTGGCGAGAACCATCGGCGCCGGCGAAAGAACCGGCGCCCCAGGGGGAGCCACCGTGGACCTCGGTCAGGTTGGTGACATCGGGGAAAGTCTTGGCGTAGCCGAGGGGAACGTAGATGATGCCGTGGTGAGCCAGGGTGGACATGGCGGAGAGAGCAGTGGACTCCTGACCACCGCCGGGAGTTCCAGTGGTGATGAAGAGACCGGCCTTCTTGCCCCAGTAGCCGCCGGAGGTCCAGATTCCACCGGTCTTGTCCCAGAAGGTCTAAAGAATATTGTTAGTACTATTCCCTCCTGTGCATAGATTATCGGATTGCGGGATACATACCTTCCACTGAGCGGGAAAGTTTCCATATCGGGTGGGAATGCCAAACAGGAAGCCGTCGTACTGGGTGAGGGTCGTGGGATCCTCGAGGACGGGGATATCGCTGGGCTTGGGGGGGGCGTGCATCTTGGAGAGGACTTCCTGAGACAGAGTCTCGGGGAGCTGGTAGATGTCGACCTGGGCGCCAGCGGCCTCGGCACCCTTCTTCTCGGCCTCGGCGAGCTGCTTGATGTGGCCGTACATGGAGTACTAGCGATTTGATGTTAGTCAAATGAAGTCTTTTATCGTGGAAAGCATTGCCATGTTTGTGTTGCTAGAATTGGCGATGCAATTGATGTTTTGCACGGCCAATTGATAGCTACAGGCAGGTGGAGAAGTAAAGGTAGGCCTCAACTTACGTAGACGATAGCAATCTTAGGAGCCATGGTGATTATTAGAGTTTCCAAAGTGGAAAACTGGGGGTATCTCAAAGAAAAATGGTATCAAGCAAAGAAAAGGAAGAAGCTTTTGAGTTCAGACAACTGTGAGTGACTGTGATGAGGCTTTCCAAAAGATCCGAAGAAGGAGGGAAGGGAGGACCTGAGTTCTTATACCCAGGGGAGAGAGGCCATGCAAGGACCCGGCTGAATTCCGAGACGCCTAGCCAAGAATTGGGTATTAGTGGAAAGGTTGCTTCGCTGCATCTCCAACAAGGTCGAGGCGTGTGGTGTGTGGTGTGCTTGCATATCCGCGGACGGTACCTCTAGGTCCGGCTATGAGATCACGGCATTGCGAGGTACTCGTTTCCGAAGAGACCCTCTTTTTTCCGCATCTACCTGTACCTACATACGTAGTGTACCTCGTTTTACGACACCATCACATAATGGGAGGCATCAGATCTGGGCTAAAGTCGCTGGAATGTATGTTTGGTTGCAATTGGTAATCAAGGTGAACTGGCAAACGTCAAATTGCTAGTTTCCGAGATGCCGAAATAGGAAATTAGAGCTTTGACCAAAAGGAAAAAAAAAATAAACACAGCTGCAAAAAAAAGAGACTGTAATCATCGTGTCAGCATTAATTAATGTTTGGCTGCCGATTAGTCCCTGAGTCCAGATTCGCCTCTGCGTAGATTTGCAGCAGTGCTTCAAAAACAACGACGACAATCAGCATTACTTGAGCCTGACAAACGGCCGCACCCCACCGGTGGGTTGGGAGGGGCGCCGAAAAAGTGGACGGCCGAAGCTTAGCTAAAGCTTTGCTAAGTCACCAAGCGCGCGGGATATTGAAGATGGGAGACCGATTTTCTTCTTTAAACAATGATGAGATGCCCTTTTCTTGCTTTTTCTCTCTTTGCTCGCTTACTGATGGAATAAAGATACTAATCATTGTGAAGAAGAATGATGCAATTCGTGTTCTGGACATTGCCAGCATGGCCGTGACAGCTTCTCCGGTGCTATAACATCACGATCGGATAAGGTGGGGACACGTCAATTCGAAAAAAGCTCCCCTGCGGCAACGTGGATCGGACGGTACTCTTACGATCAAAGTACAAGGCGCTACAGGCTAGAGATTAACAATGCTTGCTTGGACATTTTCTAACCGACCATCTAGTTGCTTGAGTCTTTTTCAGCCTGTTCATGCCTGGCGTTCATTCATTCTCAATCAGACTTTCTTCTCTCAGTTGCTAACTCACAACTAGAACACTCCTCCACTCACAAATCACCATCACAGCCGTACGACGCCAATAACGACACGCCGCCGTCCAAATAACTCTGTTTCCCCCCTCTTCTACCATGCATTGGCTGGAGACAAGCCCAGCTCGGCTATCTCGCCCGACCATGTACACATGGCCACGCGCCCGCAGTTGGTGCCGCTGACCGCGCATTTTGCGCCAGTGAGACCGAACGCAAACACGGCCTCAACGCCAAAAGGTTAAAAAAGAATGTCACTTTAAAATCCCCGTCTTCCCCTCTTCTTGGGGAAAAAGGAGAGATTTTAAAGTTAATAAAGCTGGCTGCACGTTTACTGTTAATATTTTTCCTTATTTTCCCTCGACTGCTCTCAGAAAAGACGGCAATGAAAAAGAGAGAGAGAAAAGGAACTGATTCTGACAAGTTGGAACATCTTTCCCGGGACTTGCCTTTCGTGAGGAAATGGTCCGAAACGGCCAGGGTCTCGACCCGATCGCCGACGCCCTCGTTCAGCCATTTTTCTCGAATCCATCTACCCCTCAGCTGCACAGCGAGGATACCACGCACGCAATTGAGTTAGAACGCCAATATTGCTAGTGATTCGCGCTGCATCCATGTGCCTGGCCACCCGCGAAAGACTATATAACTGGGCGTCCGGGAAAATCTGCAGCCCTGGCAGGGAAAGGGGGGGGAATACGGGAATACGGTGTAGTGCCGTGTATGTCCTCGTACCTCGTACAACACCTCAGCCTGCTCAGGGATCGCGAGAGATCGATGGATCACGACACCTGCTTTGTTGGTTCTAGTTCTGCTGACCGCCATTGTCTTGGATTGAAGAACGTAAACTCATCGCATCTTTCATCTTCTGACCAAGTGTAGATGTATCGCCTGCAGAGATATGCTGAAATCCCATTTTCTCGATCCTTCATTGGCCGGCCACCTGCAGTCTGAGATGTCGCAGAATGGTCCCGCTGCTATCACATGAAAATGGTAGGCCCGAATGTATGGACAAAAGGAGTAAACCAGTAGAGTGACGTAAGTACTATATAGGCTATAAATGATGAACAAGCTTCCTATGCTTTGCAGTATTTCACACACGCATACAAAATCCACATCTCCAATCATCCTTGATCTGATTCTATATACAAAAAAGCCTCCTCTGTCCCTCCTCCTTCTCCCCGTAACACCGCCCATGAAGACGTAGGATATAAGAAAGAAAGGGAGATAAAAGAAGCGCCCGCCTCAAAACAACAGACTCAAGCATGGGAACACAGCATGGCGCTTGCTTCATATTCGTTTGCACTCCCCACGCGTCCAAATCCAAAATATTAAGTATAAGTGAAAAAAAGGCTGTCCATAAATCATAGCTCATTCGATCAACACATAAAAGAGAGACGAGAAAAGGGAAGAGAAGAAAAGAGAAAAGGGCAACACGCAAAAATGAGCAAAAATATCCAAAATTCTTCGCAGTATGTATGTATCCTTTTCCTTTTACAATGGGCTCAGCTCGGCCTCTTCGGCGCCTTCACGTTCTGGTGGGCGTGCACTTGGCGGTTCAACCGTGATCGGAGGGAGGTCTCTAATTCGCAGGCTGGGCAGTTGAGGTATACCGCCAAGGCCGCGGCTAATGCGTCGCTCGTCGCGCTCTGTCGAACTATTCTGGCTCGAGGCCGACTCAAGAGACGGCGATGTCTCGTTCCGCCGGCTCCTTTGCGACTCTGATCGATGGTGTCCTGGATAATCTGGTGGTGGTTCAGTCGTTGGCAGGATTGATCGATCTTGGAAATCGTCGTCGTCCACGAGAGAAACATCTTCATAGCCCGGAGGCGGCATGGCTTCGTCGCCCAAATCCGCCTCCACAAGCTCGGGGCTCGACCCTGCCCGGGCTTCGCTTGGGGCTTCGGCAGACCGGGTCAGGGCCGGTGAGGGAAAGTTGCTATCCATGCTGATGACGGAGCTCTCGCTCATCACGCGGCTGTGCTGTTGGGATAATCGATTATCAGACACGGCGATATTCCCGGCATCTGAAAGAAGGCCAACGCGCTCGCTTTCGGTGCTATTAGCACGGATTCTTGTACCGTCATGGCGGGCCAGCCCAACGTCTGCATAAGATACGCTTGACACGGAGAGATTCCGATTCTCCTTGGCTCGTTCCATTTCGCGGCGCAGGTCGTCGATAACGGTGCTGTTGTTCGCAGCCCGTGTACGAGAGCGGATGTCCGCCAGCGCTGCGACGTCGCCTCGTGTCCGGGCTTCTTGTCGCTCAACTCTCCGTTGTTGTTGTTCGTCAATCAGTTGCCGCCGCGCAAGCCGGATCTGGTACATGGACTCCATCTCTTCGTCGCGCAAAGCTTCCACCTCTTCTTCGGTGGGTAAGTCGACAATGACATCGATGCCATCTCTCTCGCCTTCTCGTCCTATGACCTGTTCGCCTTGTGCAGCATCTTGGCGGTAAGCGGGCAGAGTCATGACCGAGCGAACCGACGTGTTGCGGTCGACGTTGCCACTTGCAGCTGCATTGTTGCGATTTGACGATGCGGGAGGAGGGCCATTAGATCGTCCAGCTCGTCCAGTCCTCGATGTAGCCGTGGCGTTGATGCCTCGGGAGTTGGCTACTTCGCTCGTATCGTGTCCCTGAGCACGTTCGTATTTGGCCTTTTTGAACTTTCTTCTCCGCCTGATGAAAAGTACGAGGACAACAACCACAATGATTGCAACGACGACGCCTATGATGATCTGTTACAGCATTTCTTGCGTTAGTAAAAGATTTTAAACCCCAATAAATGTATTCATCTTGAAAACATACAGCGCCTATAACACCACCGCCCATTCCATCCCGCCGCACTAGCGTATGGAGGTGGCGAGTCGCTTGCGACAGCTGAGCGCTGCCATCAGCACGTTGCGCCGTTCGTCTGGGTATAGGAAGATACATCCTCGCCGGCCGCGCGAGACATGTACTGGGAGGACGGAGGTCCGATGGATGGGGAGGAGAGAAGAGACAATCGCGACAGCTGGTTGTGGGAGAGTGAGATTTTTCTTTCGGTCGTTTCAGCTTCACGAGTCTGAGGTCCGCATTGGGCCTCTGCCGGAGGCGCGGCTCGTATCGTACGTAGTATGTAAGCTCCCCAGTGCGGGCGGCGCCAGCGTCTCTCCAGTGACCGAGGATCCAAGCAGATGATGTAGCGTTTCTTAGCGAGGTGGGACGACCAGGCTCGCAGCGTCGACTCTGCGGGGAGGAGCGGAAAGTATCGAGCAAGCAATGAAGTGAAGTGAGGTTACGGAGCACAGCGAGTATGACGAAAATAAAAATAAAAAACAATCAAGAGCAGAGAATACGAGACGGGGGCGGGCAGCAATAGAAAAGGAAGAAGGAAGCGGAAGGCGGAAACATGAGATGCAGGGTCGGGGCTCGCGGGACCTGCTGGCCTGACGCCAGTGGGCTTTGCAACTGTAGCTAATTCGAGGACGCCCCCGAGAGGCCCTGAGAAGGCGACCCGGCGACACGCTAAAAGTCGCCTGTCAGCCCCATTCATGACGCTTTCACAAGCAAGCCGTGGGTGCTAAGCCACCATCGACTCAGCCAGCGCTTGGTGGAAAGGAAAAGAAAGAAAGAAAAAAGGCTCCGTGTCCCGATGGCCTAACCACGTCTTAGGGCTGGCCGGAATGCCGCGTCGCAGCTGAGTCTAAGGCTGATCTGATGCATAAACGCATGGCCGAGTTGCAGCCATTCGGCAGGTTCCAAATGCTGGGCTGCGAGGCGCTGCCGATTCGCTGCCCGTGGAAATCAAAATGGGTGGCTGGCACTAGTTTTGATTCCATTGTGTCCGCCCGCAGGCGAACCCTTTGGGCTGCTGAGCTACCCGCTGGACGGGCCGTTGCTTTTTGCTATTAATGGCTGCATATAGGTAGGGCATTGGTGGAATCGGTGTGCTTTGGGTGGTAGTGCTAGTGCGCCTGTCACGCGTGCCTTTTGATCTTGAGATCGGACTGAACAAGATTTGATCTCTATTTGGTGCTACTATTCAAACACCATTTGGCACCAACAAACAAGCATCTGGGAGTTTGCAGCACAGCGATCCTTTCATGCAGTGGAGAAAGCACGACGTCAGACTGGGTAGACCAAACAACGTGTTTGCAGGCACAAACAGGGCCGGACACGTGTGCTCCGAGTTGTGGCTTTTTTGAGTTGAGTTCATGGCGGTATATCTCACAAAACTTTGATATGAAAACGTCACCCGGCGCAGAAATGCGTAAGATGGTGTAAGAGACGAATTCTTGATGAGACCGTTATCATATTGTAGCATTCAATCTTACAACTCTAGCTACTGAAGCCCTCAACCTACTAGGTTGTAATTGTTTCTATTCTTAGTATACTGCTACCTTATCCACGCCGGGCTACGTCCCAAAATTCTTGTTAGGGCGATAGGCGATAGGCATCTCCGCTATTCAATCATTGGCATACAATTCCTATCCTTCTCGGAAAACGGTTCCCTTTTGAGAAAACTCACAAGACAGTTAGATCTTTCTTTTTTCTTATTCAAGGACAATAGTAGTCCTTACAGCCAACTCAATAGTCCACGTTATGTAACTAAAACCGCCACCACGCTACTCATCGCTGATTCGCAGAAGCACCCAACCTGCAGTAAACAGCCCCTACGTCCAAATTAGCAGAGCAGCGTCAGTGCTGACATCGTCGGCTGCTAACCATATCAAAGAAGGCTTCCGTCTGAACTATCGGGATAGGGACGAAATAGGGAAGAAGTGCAACAATCTTGCATTGAAGCGTCAAACGTCAAGCGACTATCCTCTAGGCTACAAAAATACTATTCATGGATTTAGAAAGAAGAGAAAAGGCCCCCGTTACTCCAAGTCTGGATATCCCTGCTATTGCGAAAACACAACCCCTGTCTCATTCTCTACTCGTGCATATGATCGCTTCAACTCTAACCGAACTTCTTCTCAAACTTCTTCAGCATGCCCGTCACGCCGCGTTCCAGCCGTCCAGCATTCTCCTCCAGTCTTCCTTTGCTCTCCTTCTTTGGCTGATGTCCGTGGTGACCATGACCCTCAGACTCTGTCGGTCGGTACACCTGTTGATGTATGGAATAATCTGTAGGCGCCGCTGGATTATAACCTGGCGTCTGGGAATATGAGTAGTTAGAATATCCACCTGGAGGAGGGCCTGGAGGACCAGGAAGGCCTTGGCCTGCCACTGGCGGCATTGATGCTGGTGGCGGTGAGAAGCCGGGAGAAGCCGGGAATCCAGCTCCATAAGTGCCGGGCAGTCCGGGTGAGGGTAAGGCTTGCGACGGCATCGTCGTAGCTCGGTGAATCCCAGGATGAACAGGAGGAACAGGGTTGGCTGGAGGTGCTGCGAATCCCAGGTTGCCGAGTGCAGATGGCGGAGGAATGCCCGGAGTCGGGGGAATGCCGGGAGTGAAGGGCTGGCCGCGATAATCATATGCTACGGCGACTGCCAGCGGGTTGAGGGGGTCTTCATCCGGCGGAGGAGTCTTTTCACGGTGGCGAATGGCCTCGGGCGCAGCTGGAGCAGCTGGGTTGTATGCCATCGGCGCGAAGCTGGCCTGCTGAGAAGGAGGCGGCGGCGGCGGCGGCAAGGAGAAGCTTGGAGCTGTTGATGAGACTGCTGAAACGTCGCCAGCGCCGCCAATCGAGCTTTGAGAAGCCGATTGCGACGATACTGCCTCGTTGTTGTACTTGGGATCGGAGATGGCAGCCGTCTCAAGCTTCTGGATGACGGCAGTCATTCCCGCTGGCTGAGGAGGCGGACCTGGCTCATCAAGGACCTCGACCTGGGCCGGCGGAAGCACGCGCCGGACGCCGTTGATAAATTGCAGCGCATCCTGCTGCGTCCAGAAGTAGATGTCGAGCGAATGCAGCTTGTAGTGATATTTGGTCTCGTTGCGCGGGTCGTAGGTGGGCAGATGCCATTCGCTCTGGTCGACCGACTCGGCAACGGTCAAAGAGACGGTGCAGTGTTGCTTGTATGAGTATCGAACGTGTGTTTGGTCGAGAACTAATATGCGACAAGAACATGAATTAGCTAGACGTTTGTACCCCGCTGGTGAGGACGGCGCTGCTTGTTCTTACATCCATAAAAGGCATCTTGGTCGTCTGTTCCGGGGTGATTCGCAATCTCAATGCGGCATCTCCTCTCGCTGGCGCTCTCAAACAAGTAGACGTATGATCCCTGGTCAAACCGATGATGGCGAGGCTTCACATTCGCCGGGGAGTAAAAGTAGTGAACGTCTCCGAAGCTGTGTAAAAGGCAGCCTTGATGTTAGCAATTGCTGTAAGCTGCGATTGCGATTTCCATTCACTCACAGCGTAGCTACATTCTCCTCGCCTGGCCTTGTCGCCATCTTGACAGTGACCAAGAGTTGTTGGGCTACCAGCCGAAAATGCGAAGCCTTGTGTTCTGCCTCGAGATAGTAGTAGTAAGCTGATGAAGCTCTGGAGATCTGGATGCCTTCAGTCTCTGGCTGTGCGCAAGTAGCTACTTATACTGCTTGGACGCAGACTCGGCAGGCCTTATCCTAACCGGATGAATTTTGACAGGCCTTATTTTGACGAGCTTTGTTTTGGACCGCATCGTCTGTCACTTTTTGCCATGTCGACCTATGAGACTAAGGCGTCTCGGCGCTTACACGACCAAACAATGAGGGGTGTGAGCACAGCCTCTGGCCAATCGCGGTGCGTCGCGGGCTGTTCTGTCACAGACCTCTAGAACAAGGCCCCGCTGCCGTATTGACAACTGCTGATTAGCGGCGCCATACGTAATGCGATAATGGCTCTCTATGCTATTCACGTGATTCCGTGTTGCTATCGTATCCTGGCCTTCCCTCTATTTGATCAAGGACGCGTCTTGACCATCGTCGGAATTCCGCTCATGCGCGAATAGTGCAAGGGCCCGGCCTGCGCTTTTAAGTATTGTCAGTATGGTGCTGATAAATACCTTGACTCGCATTTTACACCCTGTTGCTTGACACTGCATGTTGATGGCTTCATCAACATGACTTCTGCGGAACCCACGGCGGAATCAGCGCTTCTGGAAGAGAGCGAAGATGATGCCCTTAAGACTCTCAAATATCACCTGCTTGGGCCCTCGCTGACCAAGGCGGGCCAAGACAAGGTCGACCAAAGCAAGGTCATTACCAAAGATTCTTGTCACCATGCGTTGAAACCGCATTTGTTAATACGCAGACGCAGGTTTCGGAAATTATTTATAATGCTTCCAAGGGGTCCAAGTATTTCAGCCGCGAAGAAGTCCGAGACAAAATCCTTACGAAAAAGATTGAACAAATCTTATCGCGCAAGAAGAAGCTGGACCAACAAGACCTGACACGCGATCTACGAAATGCCGACCGCCTGCTTGCGGAGCTCGAGCTCTCTAGAGACCTCACCCAGCACATCGTGCACCTTGACTGCGATGCCTTTTTTGCAGCTGTTGAGCTGCTGGATAGGCCCGAGCTGAAAGATGTCCCATTTGCAGTTGGCGGCGGCGTCCTCACCACGTGCAATTATGTTGCCCGCCAGTTTGGCTGTCGGTCTGGCATGGCTGGTTTCGTCGCTAAGAAACTCTGTCCCCAGCTCATCCTTATCAAGCAAAACTACCACAAGTACAGTGCAAAAGCCCAGGAAGTGAGAGCGGTTCTGGTCAACTACGACCCGCGCTTCGAAAGCGCCAGCATCGACGAGGCCTATCTTAATATAACAGAATACTGCGAGGAACATGGCATGGATCCGGCGGCAGTAGTGGAACAAATGAGAAAGGAGGTGCATGAGAAAACCAGCATTACCGTCTCGGCGGGCATTGCAGCCAACGCGAGGCTGGCAAAGATTTGCTCAAACATCAACAAACCGAATGGGCAATATGTCCTCCCCAGCGATAGAAATGCCATCATGGCATTCATGAGAGATTTACCAACGAGAAAAGTCAATGGCATCGGCCGAGTATTGGAGCGTGAGCTCTTGGAGATTGGAGTCAAGACGTGCGGGGACTTGTATGACCAGCGGCAATATTTGAATAGACTCTTTGGCGACAAGACATTTGAATTTCTTCTTCGGTGCTACCTGGGCCTTGGCCGCACCAAAATACAGCCTGCAGAAGAATACGAGCGGAAAAGCGTTGGAACAGAAAGCACATTCCACGATATGTCAGATCCTATCAAGCTCAGAGACAAACTTCGCTCCACAGCTGAGGCTCTCGAGAAAGACATGAAAAAGGCTGAGTGTAGGGGTCGTACGCTTTGCATCAAGATAAAACTGCATACGTTTGAGGTCTATACACGACAAGTCATCCTGCCAAAATCAATAGAAACGGCGGATGATCTCTACAACTATTCGTTGCCGATGCTTGCGAAGCTGGAGCAAGAGATGCCAGGCATGAAGCTGAGGCTTATGGGGCTTCGCTGCACGAATCTTGTCAGCACCAAGAAACCTGATACCATGGCATTCTTTGGTTTCAGGCCTCGCCGACAAGATGGGGGAGAGTCGAGCAGCACCAGCCCCGTGAAAAGAAAAGCGAGCGAGCTCCTAGAGGGAGAAGAAGAATGGGAGAAATTTGATGAAGATGATGAGCACTTCATGGAAGGCCTGGATGATGGTCTGGGCGATATACCCCACGAGCAAAGAGAGGATGAGGATGAGACGCTGGCTGATCGAAGACATGGGAAGGAGATTGTGCCCAACCCAAAGCCTGAAGGCGAAGCTCCGCCGCAGGAGGAGTGGTGGGATTGTCCAATATGTCTCCGACCTCAGGCAGCAAACGAGCGACAATTCAATGAGCACATCGACCTGTGCCTTTCCAGACAGACCATTCGAGATGCGGTCCAGGCTGATGAGCCAAAGGATACGAAGCCCATCTCGCCCGACGCGAACAAACGGCCCAAGCTGTCAGAAAAGAAGCGGGGTCGACCGCCTGTTACGGATCCAAAGCAGAAGAAGCTCACTTTTGGGTAGAGGAGCACATGACGGCTAATAAGTGATGACATCTACGGCATTGTTTTGGAGCTTTTGGGATGAAGATCTGTTGAGATGTATACATGTCCCTCGTATTATACGCATTAACCGCAAGTTGAAGCCTCTTTGGATTACACGGCGTTTCCTTGGGCCAATCACTTCCCTGGTCTTTGTAGATCTGCCAAATTCGACTGATTTTTTGCGCTATTTGAGGCAACCACTATTGAATAGGGACAATAATATGACGTATAGAGAGAATCTAGATATGATGGGAGCCCAATGGGTATCCCAAGTATTCTATATAGCCTCGGGGAATTAATGGATTCCTGACGGCTGATCAAAGCTTAACATGGATAGAAGTATTATTCATCACACAAAGAAGAGGAACGTCTCGAGGGAACGTTTCATTTGACGTTCGAGATCGGCTATGCAAGCTCAAAAAAGGGAAGAGGCTAGTACTATTTACAAATCATTATCTCGTTACAACTCCTCGTGAGTCTCGGACGTATCATCAGTGTCGGAAAGAATCGTCTTGGCGGCATCAGCAGCCTCGGCGGCGACGCTGGCAACCTTTTCGGCAACATTCTCGGCCACTGACTCTTCGGTGGGCTTCGCGGCAGGCTTCTCGGGGGCCTTGACGCCCTCGATGGCCAACAACTCGGTCTCAAAGACTATGACATCAATTAGTGGTCTGATATCTGATGCGGCGTGGGGGTTGAATTGGAAAAGCAAAAGGATGTAGATGGAGGGAACGGAGATCATACCCAAAGTTGAACCAGCTGGGATAGGACCCATGTTGCGCTGGCCGTAGCCCAGCTCCGGGGGGATCGTGAGAGTTCTAGAAAAGTGATGTAATGTCAGCCATCATGAATTGTTGAGGGGGGAGGCGAAAGAGAGATGACGTCGTGGGGCTCTTCTTACCTCTTCTCCCCAATGCACATGTCGAGAAGACCCTGATCCCATCTGTAGAGGTAATATCGCCGTTAGCTTCAGTCGCAAGGCATCCAGCTCGAGGGCATGGGGGAAGGGGAAGAGGGGGGATGCAAACCCTTTGATCACCTGGCCGGCGCCCAACTTGAAGCTGAAGGGCTGGTTGCGGTCATAGCCTGAGAAGAAGAGGGAAGTCAGCCAATATCCAAAGATCGTCGTCTCTTGTTTCCCCAACAGTGGATGATGCCAGAACGGTGAAAAGGGTGAGACAGGATGCGGCTTAGTAGGCGTATACTGACTGGCATCAAACTGCTTGCCGGAATCGAGCAGAGTGCCCCGGTAGTGCATGGACAGCTTATCGCCCTTTTGGGTCTTGCGCTCGCACTCGACGGCGTGGGTGACATCGATCTTGAGGTCCTCGGCGGCGACGACGCCAATGGCGCAAGAGGCCAGGGCGGAGAGAAGCAGGGCTGCCTTCATGGTGGCGAAAAGTTGACGGGGCGCGGACAATGGAAACGAACAATGAGGCGAACGAGGCGGTGCGGAAGGAGGAGCGTTGGGCTTCTTGGGAGAATCGGGCTTCGTTGAGGGAAGAGAAAAGAGGAGGAGAGAGAAAGAGAGCGAAAGAGAATATCTGGCCAATACGGAATGGCAACGGCGGTGGTTAAGCTGAGAGGGGACCCTTGAGGCTTGAGGCAATGTGGCCAGCTTCCCGAATCAGCGGAGAGTTGTCTGCATGCGCTTTGGCGATTGGCCAATGGGGTGGGCGTATTTTCCTCATCCACCCAATTGCCCCGCGCCAATTCTGTGGTATCCGGGGGCGCTTTAGTGCCTGGACTGGCCTGGCCTGCGCCGTATCTTCTTTACTACAGATACGGCGGCGCTACGACTCAATGGGCTTTTTGGGTCTCATGGCCCGATTATGATGAAATTTGTCTACTAGGTAGGTATTTCACCATTGCTTTTTCTTCTCATCCTTCGTGTTCAAGGGTATCGGGGTTGTTGTTTGAGAGCTTGAAGTTGTCGTCATTCAGGGGCGATTTTATGTTGGTACTGGATCTCCCCGTTCTCGCGTGACCATGCTTTGTTGGAGCCTAGGACATTGAAGTAGGGGAAGATACGAAAATTACGTAGAGATGGTAATTGGTGGGATTCTGTGTCTATGCACGAGCAACGCAGTACGTATTGGAGGACGGCATGTAGAAGGCGTATGGAGGCTGGTGAGAATAAGAACACGAGCATCTTTGTATCTACGTCATGACGTTTGATTCTGTCTTGTATCTTTTGCATCAAGGTCATGTGGGATGGAATGGGCGAATCAACAATTCGTTGAGTGGTCCCTCGATGTTTCTTTTTGTTGCGTTCTGGACCATGCGAGACACGGGAAGCGGCTCTGCATGGCCATGCATACTGTAGGCGAATCAATCCGAATAGCTGATAGAAAAGAAGCTATACGGCCAAGACTAGAGACGTTCTAGAGCTCAGCAACTACGTCATTGAGGATGCAATTCTGAAAGAAAGAAAGAAAGATTGGATTCAATGGGCTTAGAAAGGGAAGAGAAAAAAACGTGGACGACCCTGTTTGTACCTTGTCAGGTATGATGACGTAGGAAGGACCTAAAATGCCGATTGGAGAGAAAAGACAGAAGCACGGACAAAAGATGGGCTGGGCTGGATGCAAGGCTCAGTACCACATGACATTGCCCCTTTCTCGCCCTTCTTTTCTCAGCTCTTGTGTATACTGTACTACCACCATTTTGCTGCTCCTTGTTCTCCTTTTTTTTTTTTTTTTTTTTGGACTTCTCATTGTTTCCTATTTCGTCCATATTCCGTTTCGCCGCGGCCCTTCCTTTCACAGGGTCCTCGCTAGCTTCGTTTCCTTGCCTGCACGTGCTCCCACCACTTACACGAGTGAAGGGTCTCGAATGGATAGAAATATTTCATGCCTAGGAGATGGTGTAGTTGGGCATGAAGCCAAAAATTGAAAAGTTGAAGAAGAGGGGTGCAATTAATAAACTTTGCCCCCTTCTTTTCTCTTGGGTTTTGACGTATCGCGAGCGAAGCCGGACGGAGGGCTATGCCGGCAACGGTCCCCCGGAATGCGAGGCTGCATCTTTGCTTAGCTTCAATGCGCAGGCCGGTCATTCATGGCTACCTCCGGCTGTCAATGCCAAAGACGTATTATTACTCGGTTAATTTCGATAATACAAATAAATCTTATGAGACTTTTCTTTGATTGTCGTCACGCTTCTCTTTTTTTGGGTTCGCTGCAACAAGGAGCAACTGTTATGCCGACTCTCGAGTAAACAAAGAAAAAGGAGCAGGGTAAGATAGACTAGTAGCTACGCCTATCACGTCGCTCGACGATTTCTTGCATTGCACAGGTACTGCTATGGAGCACAGGCGGACAATGAGTGGCATCTGCTCCCAATCAGCTTGTATCTGCTTCAATGTGTCTGCTTAAACAGTGTTCTCTTTTTTATTTTATTGTATCATCAATGAATGGTATCGACTCGTAAACGGTAGCTTTATCGTAGTGAATAGCACGGACATGACTGATAGATGCGGCGCCAAGTACCTATAAAACCTTCGATTGGCCGCAGAGGTTCCTCGCTACTAACACGACGATACGCGCAATATGTTATCGTCCAATACATTGGCTCGTTGCACGCAAACGTGACAGCCCAGAGCTGCAAAGCTCCTGGAGCACCACATGCGCACGTCGACGCGCAGTCACTGGTGGAACCGCAGTCAATCACCAGCCACATGCCGTGCAGCAGCAGCTGCTGCAAGCCAGCAAGGAGGGGTTGTCAGAATCAAATGAGGGGTGAGCAAACATTCCCGTCTCCCCCGATTTCACCGTTGCCAAACTCCATTCAACCCTCGGTGGCCCTTTTCTTCGACTTTCTCTCTTCGTGCCCTTTCTCTGCAGCTCCGAGTCACTCGCCCACGATGAAACGACACGCTGATGTCTGCCTGACTGCCTAGCAGCGCCCACGCGTGTGGACGAGGCGCTAGCCCCCGGTGGCTTGGGGTCCGAAGACGCAGGCGAGCTTCTCCGGGCTGGTTCTGTCCAACAACCGATGCTGGTAGGCCTCAGTTGCTAGGCTGCTAGCCCGAGTCTGGCTGCCGAGCGAGTGACTGAGGTGACTGGATTGACGTTTGCCTGGCAGGTGTCAATACTGCATCTGCCCTGGGTGGCATGGCGGCCCGTATAGTCCTACTGGCTACCACTGCCAGAACTTCCACTTGCAGGCCGAGGCAGGCGGCTGTGCCATCCCAGTAAATGCCCTACACGTACCGCCGCAACCCGCCCACTCTCTCAAAATGCTCACCGTGAATCTAGACCAGCCGTGGCTCGACACTGCACCCAAATTACACTTTGCTAATCCATCCCCGTTTCTGCGGCTGCGAGCTCGCCGTCGCTGCTTCAATGCCGTGGCCATGCCCAGCTCCCTCCGTCGGCGTTCACGTCCTAGAATGCCGTGCCTCGCCCTGCACGCCAACATCCCTGTCCGCTGCGCGGCATCATGAGGCCGGCCAAACTAGAGTTACTGCCGCAAGTTACATGTTGGATTATGTCTCTTGTTTGCCACCTCTGCTCTGGGCTTGTCTCCCCTCGGCCTTAGCCACGCTCCCCGTTCTCTTTTGGCAATAATCTTTGGGTTCCCGACTATGCTTTGCTCGTCCGGCGAGATTGGCGGCCCCTGCCCCCGGTTGCCGCTTTGGGACGGCCGCGGCAGATCACCTCTTCCAAAGCCAACTCCCCTGGGGTGGACTGCTGTTGACTGACTGACTCACTCGTGGACGACGGACCGTCAGACCTAGTAAGGTTGAAAGTGTTGCTGCCTTCCCTCGCCCGTTCTGCCTATGCTGTCCTTGCGTCGTCTCGAGTGAAAGGGGCCTGTCCGTCTACTTGGTTAAGTCAAGTCGGATAGCGGCGCCAGGTTCCAAACTATAAAGTTCCATATCCCATCCTCAGGACACAGTTCTCTTCTCTTTTCCCCATCGACACCTTCAGTGTAGACAAGATACAGACAACTATTGATTATCAGCTACTACACTATTGCTACTATTCTTACTGCAAACATCCTCCCTATAATATCATTGCCACTTGATCATCTTAGAGTTGCCACAAATCCAACTCCCATTCAATCATCAACCAACGGTTTACCAAAGCAAACAAACCAACAATCAACAACCAACGCAAATCCGTGACAATGTCTAGCCGCGGCAACAGCGTCTATGTCCACCAGAGCACTTCCAGCCGCTCTTCCAGCTCATCTGGCCGCTCTGTAGCCTCTGGCCCTCGCCCTAGTACTACTACTACTTACCGCGAATACGGTGCCAGTATGCTCGCTGCCCCGACTTATCCTGCTAGGAACAGCGTACTGACAAAACCTGCAGCAGGCCATACTTCACAAGTGACTCGATCTGGCCAAAACATTATTGTCCAGCATAACAAACGCCACTATGATCCCAGCTCGCCGTCGCCTTCCTATAGGTCCTAACGAAATGCCTCTACACGTGGATACTCTTTGCTCATAGAAGGCATCAAAGCCCTTCATCTTCTTTGACACGAGCACACTGGGACACGGCGACACAATTTTGATCAACAAATTTCTTTTACACCTCTACCTCTTACACTCCCGGCTTTCCGGGCCTTACCCCACCTATTATTGGGCTCTTTCTACAAATCAGTTCATACAAATTACTACGCAGGCGTTTCAGGGCTCTTACTGGGGGAAATGTTATTTTTATACTTTTCATGCTTGGATAACTCTGAAGGAATGGCGCTATCAAGAAACATGGTGGCACGGAAACGGGAACTAGACATGGCTTATCATCTGGAGTTAAGGGCTTAAGCGAAGGATGGGTGGCGGATTCTATAGCATTGTTTTAAGGCGAAATGCAAAAGATTAAAAAAAATCTATTTTATCTCTCTCCCTTTTCTTGAGTTGTCCATCTGCTTTTAAAATGTGAAACGAAACGAAAATATAGATTTCGTATTCTGAAACACTTCTATAAAATAGACTTTAGACTTTTGTGGTGATTCTCCCGCTGCAGATGCTAATAATAAAGGATGTCATGGGTTGTCTCAAAAACAAACAATTCAACAGGGTAGTTTACTACTGCAGGAACCCCAACCAAGATCGTCGGTAAGGGAGGCAACCCGTTTTTTTTCTACATCCATCCCTTCTTTTTCTGTTTCTATTTTTGGCACGCCCGACCGCCGACCGCCGTGCGCGGGGTAGTATCTCTTCACGAGATGATTCTTCGGTCCGCGGAATGCCCTCATTTAATTTTTTGGCAATTCTTCGATAGTGGAAAAAAAAAAAGCTTTTAATAGATTCGACGTGTCAATTTTTAGATTTATTTTTAGTGTTTCTTCTGTGCTAAGAGATGGGATTGAGATAAAAGCTGTAGAGTCATAACACAACACTCTCAATATTAGGTAGCCCTGTCTTTTGCTTATGGGAAATCCTCTTGTTTCCGGGATGTCACGCGAGCTCCTAGGAAGGGGGAAAAGCAAAAAGCAGAATTCCAAGTTCTCAAACAAACAAGTTTCCCAGTGAGCCCCTCCCAGTATATGTCTGTACCAAATTGAGTCGCATTGTATCCAGCACTTGGTCGCTATACAAAGTCCTAGACAATTTACGCACCACCCTCACGCTTGGCGTATTCTTCTTCAATGGCCTCCTGGTACTTTTCCTCGGGAGAGCGGGGATCGTCGTGCAGGACGCCTTCCTTGAGGAGGGCGTCGGGAGTGGGACGGTGTGAGATCTTGTCGTTGAGCTTGTCTCCGAGCATGTGCTTCTGGAGCTGTTGATGGCGGGTATTGTTAGCCTTCTGGATCCTGTCGTTCCCGACTGGTACTGAGACCAGCAGTAGGGTGAAATAGAGTGTGAGTGAAGTCTATTCCTACCTCTTTTTGGCTGGCAAGAAGGCCTGGAGCAGCTGTGGAGTCGGGGAGAATGTTCTCTGTTAAAATGAATTAGTATCAATCCCTTGCCAGATGCAATGTCAATTTCAAGGCACCCAATCAATCAGAATTAGGTGCCAGCAATTCCCACGTTCAATGGGCAGGTGGATGGTTGGGAATCATGAGACGTACTCTCTACCAATTCGGAGCGTTCGGGTCGGTTCTTGAGGTAGGTAGAAAGCGAGTTCTTGCGGGCAGGGTTCCCGACAGAAGAAATGGGACTCTCGTCAACAACGGGCGCCTCGGGGGCCTGGTTCTCTGTGGTGTCCGCCATGGTGATGATGTCGTGTTGAGATGTTGATATTGCGTTGATTGGGGTATGTACAGGTGTAAGTGTGAAAAGTGGCGAGACTGCCCGGATCAGTGCCTTGAAGTGCCCAACGAAGCTGTCCTCGGAAAGTAGCCAATGACGTCAGGCGTTCTAGAGCTCCCTCTAATGTGTGGGGGTGGGGTGTGTGGTCTTTTCGCTGGAAGCTTAATCAACTGTAGCGGTGTTAGAGTGTTGATTGACTGAATGAAGCAGAAGTTCTGTACACCGAAGTGGGCTTTATTCTACTGACAACAAAAGGAAGAGAGAGAAATAAAAGAGGGGGGCTGCAACGCTGCTATATATCGTCGAGTCCCTCATGCAACGGCTCCCTCAGGCCACTCATGTGCTAATGAGAAGTGACCTGGTGATGGTGGATATTGGGCACGGGAGCGCTATTTTCTCTACCCCGCAGCCTTCAATTGCCCAGCTGTTGAAGCCAAAGGGCAAGGGTGCAAATTACAAGTACTACGGAGTGGTGGTGATGGAGTCGCACACGATGAATGCTTCACAGACGCGGTTTGAGAGTCCTCGACTTGAGACGACAATAGCCCGAGACAGGTTGCACCGCACGTCCAAGGGCTGTAAACTACACGCGAACAAGTAAATCAGTCAAAACGTCGAGCATTAGCGACAAGAGCCGCTAAGCCAGGCGTTGAGGCGCCCGCCTTCAGGGACCAGAAGAGCATAACTTCATGCATCCCAATTAAGGGGCGCCTAATCTTGATGCGCCGATGTTTGGTTTCAGCTACGAAACGCTCTTTAGGCGAGGGCTCCAGCAGGGCGTCTCAGGAAGGCTGGCGCCGTTGCCAGTGGCCACGCATGTGGCTTTTTGGGGAGTTGGTCAGGAACACAAGACATCCGCGGATGGCTTTCACTGTTGCTGAAATGGATGGATGGAATGGTGCGGCTCTTTTGCCTGGGCTGATCTAAGGTTATTCTCCCCTCTGCTAAACTTTTGGTGCCAGGCAATGCAGTGTCAGCAGCAGGCCACTGTGGAATTAATCTCTGGGTCGGAGCATATCGGTATTAATAGACGCCCGGCTTGGCTGATTGTCAGGAGTAATTTAGGCAACACAATTCCCGACACAGTCCACAGACAGCGTTTATACGAGTGCGTATTTGGCGCTGTGGTCGTATTCTTCAGCAGACCTGGCCCGCGTATCGTCTGCATGCAAGATCTGATGGCAACAAATCAGACGCCTTGGGGCACCTGGCTGAAAACTCGGGAATGCGAGCGTCTCCACCGCTGAGGGAGCATTGACGCGGCTCTCTGGAGTCAGCAAAGGACTGCCGCGTTGGCATATCCATTTTTTCGCTTCTTTTTATCTCTCAGGACCCAAAAGTTCGGGTTGCTGGCTAGAGCAAACAGTGTCGGAGTTCGGTAAGGTACATGGAAGCCGGGAGAACCATTGGCGGGCTACAGGTAATCTGCCACTGTATGCACTGCTGCCTTTCTCTACCTGTACCTAACGAACTGTATGAAGAAAAAATGCGAATGCGCTATGATGCGAGGCTACGGAGATGCCGGAGCAGAGCTGCATGGGCTCTCCGCGTCTGTAGAATCAAGAAAACAATCAGGAATCAGGGACCAGAGCCATTTCCCCTCGCGGTATATAAATTAAAACGCGCGTAGGCGAGATTGAAGCGTCGTCGATGCGACTTACACAAATCCCATCCCTGAAATCACGCCGGGCGGGTACGCAGCTGGTGTCAGCAAGTGGCTGTGCCCATCAGGAATCATCGCCCACGGAAAAAGGTCGGCCAGTGGCACTAAACGTCACTCGTCAGGCACCGCATCATTCGGCCGCGAATACTCGACAAGCCACATTCAAAGCCCTTTGGCGCAACCCAAGCCAAGCCAGACCAAACCACTCCCCTCGCTCAGAAATCCGGTTCCTCGTCACGCCGTTCGGCACAAGCAATTCCATTGATTAGGCGTCTGATGCTCGAATAATCCCCTTCTTCGACGTCTTTCTCTCTCTTTCATTTCCATCCCCCCCCTTCTTTCCTTCCGGTGCCGTTCCTCCATCCTCAGCCATGGTAAGACCGCTCGACTCCTGTCATCTCCCAATCTCTCTTCACCCCCACCATGGAAAAAAAGAGAAAAAAGCTTCAGCATCATTCTAACGCGCACTTTTTGCCATGTTGATAGGGTATTTCACGGCGTCCTAAGGATAAGGCCGCTCGAGGCGCTCAGGCAGCGGGCGGCGCCAGCGAAAAGCCCAGGAAGGCGACGTACGAGGTGACTAAGAAAAAGGAGATCGGTGTGTCAGACTTGACTCTCCTCAGCAAAGTGTCCAACGAGGCCATCAACGACAACCTCAAGAAGCGCTTCGAGGGCGCTGAGATCTATACATACATTGGCCATGTGTTGGTCTCGGTCAATCCCTTCCGGGACCTGGGCATCTACACCGACCAGGTGCTGGACAGCTACAGGGGGAAGAACCGTCTGGAGATGCCGCCGCACGTCTTTGCCATCGCCGAGTCGGCCTACTACAACATGAAGGCGTACAGCGACAACCAGTGTGTCATCATCTCGGGCGAGTCAGGAGCCGGCAAGACCGAGGCTGCCAAGCGCATCATGCAGTACATTGCGAGCGTTTCTGGCGAGCAGTCGGGCGACATCAAGAAGATCAAGGAAATGGTGCTGGCAACCAATCCCCTGCTTGAATCTTTCGGAAACGCCAAGACGCTGCGAAACAACAACTCATCGCGATTCGGAAAATACCTCCAGCTGCATTTCAACGCTCAAGGCGAGCCGTGCGGAGCCGACATCACAAACTATCTCCTCGAAGCCACTCGAGTCGTCGGGCAGATTACGAATGAGCGTAACTTTCACATTTTCTACCAATTTACAAAAGCAGCTCCCGCCCAGTACCGAGAACAATTTGGCATTCAGAAGCCCGAGACCTACCTCTATACCAGCCGGTCTAAATGTTTCGACGTTGACGGCATAGACGATGTTGCGGAGTTCCAGGATACGCTCAATGCCATGAAGATTATTGGTTTGAGCCAAGCGGAGCAGGATGAGATATTCCGCATGCTGTCTGCCATTCTGTGGATTGGCAACATTCGGTTCCAGGAAGACCAAGAAGGATACGCCGAGGTAGTTGACAGATCTGTGGTGGATTTTGTGGGATATCTGCTGCAATGTACACCCGAGGACGTCATCAAAGGCATCACCATTCGAATCCTGACGCCCCGCAACGGAGAGGTCATTGAATCGCCCGCAAATCCGGCCCAGGCTATGGCTACTCGAGATGCATTGGCCAAGGCTATCTATAGCAAATTATTCGACTGGATCAGGGTTCGCGTCAACCAGTCTCTCAAGTCTAGACAAGAGACATCCAATACCATCGGTATTCTTGACATCTATGGCTTTGAGATTTTTGAAAACAACAGTTTCGAGCAGCTGTGCATCAACTACGTCAATGAAAAGCTCCAGCAGATCTTCATCCAGCTCACACTGAAAGCCGAACAGGAAGAGTACACACGGGAAAAGATTCAGTGGACGCCGATCAAATATTTTGACAACAAGGTTGTGTGCGACCTCATTGAGCAGATTCGCCCCGTTGGAATCTTTTCTGCTATGAAAGACGCAACCAAGACGGCTCACGCAGACCCCGCTGCTTGCGACAGGACCCTCATGCAGACTATCAACGGCATGTCCCACGCTCACTTGATTCCCCGACAAGGCAGCTTCATCATCAAACATTACGCTGGCGATGTCGGGTACACTGTCGACGGCATCACGGATAAGAACAAGGATCAGCTGCTGAAGGGCTTGCTAAACCTGTTGCAGGGCAGTGGAAACACATTCATCCACACGCTATTCCCTCACCAGGTCGATCAAGATAACCGAAAGCAGCCTCCCACAGCAGGAGACACGATTCGAGCATCAGCCAACCTCTTGGTAGAGACGCTCATGAAATGCCAGCCCTCATATATCCGAACTATCAAGCCTAACGAAAACAAGTCGCCTTCTGAATACAATGGACCCAACGTCCTGCACCAGATCAAGTATCTCGGTCTGCAAGAAAACGTTCGCATTCGAAGAGCTGGATTTGCTTACCGACAAGACTTTGATAAATTCGTCGATCGCTTTTTCTTGCTGTCGCCTGCTACCTCATATGCTGGTGAATACACGTGGCAGGGATCATACGAAGATGCTGTGAAACAGATCCTCAAGGACACGAGCATTCCCAAAGAGGAGTGGCAGATGGGTGTTACAAAGGCCTTCATCAAGTCTCCAGAGACTTTGTTTGCGCTGGAGCATATGAGAGATCGATACTGGCACAACATGGCAACTCGTATTCAACGTATGTGGCGAGCCTATCTTGCGTACCGAGCCGAATCCGCTACGAGAATACAACGTGTCTGGCGAAAGAAGCGCACTGGTGCAGAGTTTCTGCAGCTCCGTGACCAGGGCCACAAGGTGCTTGGAGGACGAAAGGAGAGACGACGAATGAGTCTTCTCGGCTCTCGAAGATTCCTTGGGGACTACCTCGGAATCAATGCCATGAATGGACCCGGGGCTCCCTTGCGGCAAGCAGCCAACATTGGCTCCAACGAGCGTGTTGTATTCTCATGCCGTGCCGAGATTCTCGAGTCCAAGTTTGGCCGATCCAGTAAACCAAGCCCTCGCATCATCATCGTGACAAACTCCAAATTTTACATCATTGCCCAGCTGCTTGTCCAAGGACAGCCGCAGATTCAGGTAGAGAAGGCACTGCCCCTTGGATCTATCAAGTTCTTCGGAGTCTCCTCAGCCCAGGACGACTGGTTCTCACTAGGAATCGGATCTCCGCAGGAGCCTGATCCGCTCATGAACTGCGTATTCAAGACGGAAATGTTCACCCAGCTGCAGCGTGTCATGCCGGGAGGTTTCAACCTCAAGATTGGCGAAACCATTGAATATGCCAAGAAGCCAAACAAGATGCAGCAGATCAAGGTGCTCAAGGATTCCCAGCAGCGGGCTGATTTCTACAAGAGTAGCACAATCCATACTACTCCGGGACAGCCTGCAAGCTCCGTGTCGAAGCCAACGCCCAAGGGCAAGCCTGTGGCAGCGCGCCCCATTACCAGGGGCAAGCTCATCAAGCCGGGTGGCCCGGGAGGACGGCCATCGAGATTGACTGGCAATCGCAATACCCAGCCAAGACCGACAGGCACCGGAACCAGAACTGTTCCTCCGCCACCTGCTGCTCTTGGCCTTGGCAGCGCAGTGTCATCCGCTTCATCAGCAACCCCGTCGGCAAGCACAAGCACATTGAGCTCGGCGACTCACCAGACCATTCCTATTGTAGGGAATACCAACAAACCGGTGAAGCAAGCTGCCGTGGGTCGAGTTGCTCCGCCACCACCTCCCGCCCCTCCTGCTGCTAAGCCCAAGATCATGGCCAAGGTGTTATATGATTTCGCCGGCACAAAGGAAAACGAGCTTTCCATCAAGGCAGGAGACCTACTTGAGGTTGTCCAGAAGGAGAACAATGGTACGTATTATCTAATTCTACGAGTTTCTCAGTGTGAGTAAAATCTTTTATCTAACACATTATTTGCAGGTTGGTGGCTGGCCAAGAATGCTCAAGGACAAGCTTGGGTGCCAGCGGCATATGTAGAAGAGCAAGCTGCCCCTGCTCCTCGGCTACCTCCAGCGCCGCCGTCAGCCAAGGCGAAGCCTGTGCCACCTACAAAACGACCAGCTGCAGGTGGCCGCAAGCCTGTCGATTTAGCCCAGAGAGATTCTGGCATGAGCCTGAACGGCACCGGTGGCGATAGCGGCAGAAGCACGCCGACACCCAGCCTGGGAGGCAGCTTGGCTGATGCTCTCTTGGCACGCAAGAATGCTCTGAACCAAAAGAGAGATGATGAGACTGACGACTGGTGAGATGTTGCGCCGCAATTTTTAGACATGCTTCACGATCTTTCTTTGTCACGAAGGCATATATATTCTTTACAGCTCAGTTTAACTTTTTTGTTATATTCGTTCTTCTTGCTTTCTGACGCAAATATTACGCCTCTATGACTGGAGAAATTATGGCGGATTTTGTTGTATACACACGATGTGTGCGAGTAACTTGGGCCACCTGTCGCACGAGTTCTCGAGTATAGATCCCTGGGAAGCGTGTGTATGTGTCTGGGAGAAGTTCTTTGTTTTCTGTTTTACTTTCTGCGCGTTTTTGGTAGAAGAAGATGGAAGGGTTAAAGGGGGGGAATTACGCGGGACCCTTGCGATTCAGGGCCTGAAATGCTTATTTATACATTTTTAAGAATTCTTGCTTTTAGAGAAAAAGTATCAGATAACATCTATTTTATATGGTATATCGCTTTCTTCGAGATGATTGCTATGGAAAAGATAAAAATCTATTTTTATATGATACAACGCTTTGTCCATGCTTATTCGCTGATTTACAATTTGATTAGCCATCTTTTGATTCTTCTCGTCATGCGGTTATGCATCGTTGTATGACCTAGTTCCAACATTTCTACGCCGTAGCAGCTCGGCAAGCGGAACATCTTCATCCTCCTCTTCCGCCTCCTCGTCAACGCCGTAGTCTCGAAGATACTCGCCATCCGAGTTTGCCCAATTAAAGCGCATACCATTACTGTTATTCGTCTCATCATCATTATAGGCGGCCCTGCGTGAGCCATATTCATCCACCTCTTCCAGCTCCGACATGAGCGCATCTTGTCTTGTCTTCCGTCTCCTCAGGTCCTCATCCTGGCGCCTCTTGAAAGCTTCGATGTGCTCTCCAACGGACAGCCCGTCGTCCTCGAGCTCGAGCTCGTCCTCGTAGTTTCGCCGTGACGTGCCAAAACCTCCAACTGCGCGGCGGAACTTATCGGGATCCAGAGGGGGCCACATGCCTTCTTTGCGATTGAAACCATTTTCTTCCCACGTCCATCCGGTGCCGGACCCGGTCTTGCTGATCTTGGGGTTGCCCGCTAAGGGGAAGAACCACAAGAGGAAGTTGGACGTGCCCATTGCCTGGGCCATGTTGGCGAAGAAGCCAATGTCGTACGGAAATTCCACCTTTTCAAACTGGAGAGGCTCGCCATCTGGGCCCATTATGTCCCACCAGTCCTGCCTTCCACGTCCGATATGAGCCTCGTGGCGGTCGACCTCCCATGCCTCAATTGTAGTCTGGTTTTCTACCCAGCCTTTCAGTGTAGTTATGAGCATAATGCCGAGCGCGAAGGACGTGATGCTGCAGACGAAGCCCGTCATGACAAGGGACATGAGCCCAGGCAGCGTCGGGCCCAGGTGAGCGGGCATTCTGCGAGTCTCCCACAGGGCGTAGAATCGCTGCCACAAGAAGTAGCTCAGCGTCCACAGCGACACGTTTGCGTAGAAGAGAAACCGTAGGAAGTGCGGGAACGTCGTCATGGAGACGCAGTTCTTGGTCCAAGGGCAGTGGTGGTCCATCTTGGGGATGCATCGCTGGCAGTGACGGCAGTGGTGCGCCCGGGGGGGCTTCGGCTCCTGACACTTTTTGCACCATCGGCCGTCTGCCTCGATTACCTGGTCGGGGAAGATGTAGCGGCCGGGGTTAACTGTAACGGCGCGGAAGTACGAGATCCAGAGGCACACCAGCAAGACGTTGAATGTCCAGCTCTCGGTGCGGGACAGCGGACCTGGGTCGAGGGTCGAGTAGTTGAAGAGGACCTGCGAGAAGTAGCTTAGAAAGGCAATGAGCAGGCAGACGGCGGGCACGGCGAGGTTCTGAATGAACGGCACATCGTTGAAACCGGCCATGGTGCTGTGCTGGATATGGGATACATGGTTTGGTGGTTGAGAAAAGAGAGAGAGAGGTGCTGCTGCTCGTATAATTGAAGTTTACCTTGGCGCTGCTTATCAAGATACGAGGTACTTGCCTGCCTTAGCACTGTACTTTAGCACTGCTAAACGTGCACCTACTGGGCGCCCTACTCATTTGTTGTCTTATGTAAGCGCCGCGTACTTACGTTGTTCCCCTGAAGCAGATCACTAAACGCCCATCGAAAGCAATACAGAGACTTGGTTTCAAGTTGCTGGCATTTTCTCTCATCCTGAAGCCAAACGCTATGAGTCTAATGAGCTGCAGAAGAATGATTGATTGATTGTGAACTTCGAATTGAACCGCTTGGGCCAGGAGGTACAAACACACGGCGAGACGGTACCAAACGCTCGGGCTGAGCCACAATTGAGCCATGGGTTGGTCAAGGTTCCCACCTGTACACGTCTCTGCTCTCTGGTATATGCTCCCATTGCCTACATTTTTGCACTCGCACTCGCAATTTCATTCTTTATCTGTATATGAAGTTACTGACTCTTATTTATAGTAGCGTTTTGTCATTTGTGTACATCTCTCACTCATTGGAGCGCCATTCCTTGACCGGCACGTGGTCCCATCCCTACCTACCTATGAAGCGCCAAATACCCATTGGGTGGATTGCTTAAATGCTAACCTTATTCAACAGAGCGACCTCGGCTTTCATCGTTGCTGGTCCTGCTTCTCTCAGGCCTCATTTGCTATGCTCTCAGCGCTGCAGTCAAGTTTATCCCAGGGGCAGATGGACGCTTCGTCTCCGGCAAAGACGAGTCGGTTCTCGGTATTGCCTCTGACGACGCCCTGCTCAAGGGATCCAGCGCCCATCTTCCCAATCGGCCCAGGAGATGGTCTCTTCCGGTCTTGATTCTCGCCATTGTCCTTCGACTGGAAGCATTTCATCTGGTGAACAAACAGCAACAATGTGCTACTCCTGGACTCGAGGTGAGATGACGTCACTGAAGGGGATGAGATGAATATGAGTTGAGATGAGATGGGTGACTGACAGAGCTTTTTGGCGTCGCGATAGTCATTTTTGTGCATCTTCCTTATCGGCTATGAGATCTTCTCCACGCGCCGGCGATGGGGCTTCCCAGTCTCTGAGGACGACGACGATCCCTGGCGCAGCGTATTTGATGATATCTACGACTGGTTCAGCGGACCTCGAGTGGTCATGTTCAACACTGTCATGAGCGCCCTCGTTTTCTCGCTGGGCACTTTCTTCTCAATATCGCAGATCCGGCGCTCAACTTACTTTTGCTTCCACCTCATTGACAGCCGGTTCAACACCGTTACACTGCAACTCCTAGGCCTCGCACTTGATGCTACCATTGTCATCTTGCTCTGGCGATTGTTGGCATGGGCGCGAAGCATCAAGCTGCGGATCCGGATTCTGAGCTCGGTGCTCCTCCTATCAGCTGCCTCGGTGGGAATCTTATGGGCTGTCAACGCCATTTTCAGGGGCACCCATAGAGTAAACGTCTCCTTTGGTTCTCTGTATGGCTTTGATGCCGTAATTGATAGCTTTGCTTTTACTGCGCTCATTACGTCCACCATGTTTTGGATATGCGAGACATCTACTATTACACCTGTTAGCACCTTGACCTTCTTGATAGGCATCTGGAGCTGTTGTGACAGGATTTTCCGTTACGGAGATTGGCTACACCTTTCACGACTCGCTGCGCTGGGGCCACTGTGGATGATTGTTGCCGGTACCATTACTTTCTTGTATCTTCATGATCTCCACTCCGTCTTATTCGTTCGACGGATCATGTTTGCGGTCTTGCTTTTGGCTCTTCTCTTGGCTACAACAATATTCATTCTCATAAAGAAGCCGGAAACCTTTGGCAATGGAATTCATCCTGTCAACGAATTCGTCTACAGAGCTCACGTTGAGCACGACCGCTGGAAGGCACTAGTTAGCGTCAGTACGACGCTCGCAACAGCCGTCACAGTCTACCAGGAGCGGCATAAGGGGAAGTTGCCGCCACCCAATTTTGATGCGTGGTTCAAATATGCGGAAGATGATTCGGTCATGATTGACGGCTGGGACCAGATCGATCGAGATGTTGGCCCCTTCTGGAATGTTCCTCCTGCTGTGCTCCGTAAAAGAGCAGATGAGATGGCGGCGATGCCGGACGTTGCAGCCATTACGGTCAAGGATGGCAAGGTGACTCGAGCAAACACAGGAGATGAGAGTCACGACAAGGATCTAGACGAGCTGGTTCAGATGATTGCAAAGTTTTCCACGCACCTCCCTAACATGGTTCTACCGATCAATCTCTCTCCAGGACCTCGGGTGTTACCACCGTGGGAAGAGGCAAATTCGAAGAGTCGGGCGGCTGAGCTCAGCTCGGTAGCTGATTTACTATCTCGGCGTTCACTCGATGAGGCAATCCACAGCAATAGCAGTGAGACACTGTCAGCAGAACACGAGAAGGAACCGACAGCCGAAACCAGCAATGATGGTAGAAGCAGCAGCAGCAGCAGCATCAACAACAATATTGATCCTCCTATTCCTCCTCAAAGCACAGTATCCGCTGGCGAACTCCGTCAGATGCTAGTCGAAGCATGCCATCCCCTGTCAAAGAGCAGGACCAGGCCTCACTGGAACTTTATGGAATTCTGTTGGTCATGCGCAAAGGATCATTCCTTTGGCCAGCTTCTTACCAACTGGCAAAAGTCATTGGATACGTGCTCCCAGCCTGACCTGCGGCTGCTGCATGGATTCTCCCTCACGGATCCTCGCTGGCCGCCGCTCCGCCGGCTCGCGCCCCTATTCAGCGCGGCCAAGACGGACGAGTTCAGCGACATTGTCATACCGCTTCCCAGGACCAGGCTGGAGGAGCCCGACATCAAGTGGCAATTTACACGACGATACGATAGTCTGGGCTGGAGAGGGGTTCTGGGGGAACACGCAATCAATAGTCAGGCCCTGCGCGGAAGTCACAAATATCGCCTGCTGCATCTCGCCGGCGCGCCGTACCCGCGCGACAGCGTCATCATGGTCCTCCCGACGACAGAGTCCCCCGACAGGTTCGGCTACGAAAGGGTCTCGGCCGCAGAGGCCAACGCCGTGATGCCCTTTAGCCTGGGCGTGACAAACTCTACGACGTGCTCGGAGCACAGCGGCTGCAAGCTCGTCGAGAAGGCCTATGGTATCCGCGATGACGCCGCCGAGCTGCTGGAATACCGCTACGTCCTGCTAGCGGATGAAGACGACGGCCCTCCGCAGCAGTGGCTCCGCACTATACGCTCGAATAGCCTGCCGTTTGTATCAACCATCTTCCGCACATGGTTCACGGAGCGGCTGATGCCGTGGCTACACTTTGTGCCCATCGACCCAAGATACCAGGGCCTGCACTCAACCTTTACCTACTTCTCGGGCACAGAGGGCCGGCCCAAGGTGAATGACAGGGAAGTTCCGATGCCGGGCCGCACGGCGGACGCAGAGTGGATCGTCCAGCAGGGCCAGCGATGGGCGGAAAAGGCACTGCGGGAGAAGGATATGGAGATTTACTTGTTCCGGCTGTTGTTAGAATGGGGGCGCCTGATTGACGATCAGAGGGATGAGATTGGATTCCGCAAGGTTGATAACGGAGGGTTCCAGAACGACAAATGGACTCAACAGCAGCAGGGTGGGGGATAAAAAAAGCCACCTAAGATATAAAGAGATAAAAATCTAAGGGACAAAAAGGAGCCAGGATTACAAATTTTACGTATTTGAGTTTTCTAGATGCAGTGTCGGCTTGAAAAAAGCAGAGTTAGATTGGGTTGGCATGCATCCGTCACATACATCTACCGCGGCAGCGCGCGTTTTGTGACATGGATAGGTGATACCCAGCGTGGATACAGACTGTGCCATGTGCCATGAATCCAGTTGGGCTACACTTCAGACGAAATGCGCTATTATGGATTTGGGTGAAAAAGAGGATCTCTATGCTGTATGATATATGAGTTGCATGAGGAGAGGAGAGAGAAAAAATTGCTAGTACGTTCCTCCTACATATGCCAGGCATGATTGCGGGTTCTTTTTTTCGGTGTTAGATCCACGTGCATGCAGATGCGGTTGGACAGCAGAGCATTTGCCGCCTTTTATGCAGGAAAGCGTTTTAGGAAATGGGGTTTGGTAGGGGTGGGCGCTTGTCGAGTGGGATGTGGTGGGATGTTTTGTTATCACGACTTTTCCCGGCAGATGAGAGCTGTATGTAGGAGGCTGGCGGTGATCGCCTCGTACATCTAGTCATTGGATAGCGAATGCGGCCGACTCATCTCACATGTGAGCTGCGGCCTGAGCTGAGGTGGTATTAGGAATCAGCATGTGGGGTATCGGGACAGGTACAAGAAGTATTCACAACGGGTCGTGATACCTACTAGACGCAGCTGAGTTGCCGCAGGAGTAGGTGACGACGGTGAGTCGCCGCATAGTTCGGTATGGCAGCCACGCCACCGGCGTTTCAGCTGGCCTTGGTCATCGAATCGACATTACACACATATTTCAACGCAAGGTTAGCATGTCGAGGAGAAGAGTGAAAGATTGATGCTGTTGATACGCCGCGATTTCCATTCTGCATCATATGCATCTGTTGTGCTGGTGTAAGACATGTAGCACTTGTTTGAACTAATATTACCGCCATTGGTAGCACATGCATATGCATCATCGACACCTACGAGGTGGTACGTGAGGATGCGGTGGGAGTGTCGCAGGGCGTTCGGTCTGTAAGCGGATTGGCTCGATGCGCAGCTATGTTGGAGGGTTGACGCCAAGGCGTATTGGATCGCGAAAAAGGGGGGATGGGAGAGTGGCGCCAGACTTTGAACTGACAGCACCTTTAGGAGCGAGCCGGGCCGCCGGTCGAGTCTCGGGCGTAGCATTGACCGGGAGAGTGCGTTGTTGACGATATCTTGGCGTCATTAGCACCCAAGACACTGGAGTGGGTGCAGTGCAGCAACGTCAGTGTGCATGCACACGCAGTTGTGAGTAGATGCAGAGGCGAAGCTGAATAGGAGGTCTGAGGGCGGAGACTCAGCAGCAGCGCCGCAGTCACCGAACCTGGTGAGGTAGCCGACAACTGTTAAACAGTGCCTCAAGATGTTATATTCGTACATGGGTACAAACATTCGAAGCCTTAATCGGTATGCGAGGATACCGCTGATACTGAGCCGGTTGAAACAAAACGCACCTGTTTCACATGGAGTACCTGTCAGAGAGCAGAGAGACTATCGGCGGCTCAATTTGCTCCAGCAACGTTACTCGCTAGAACTCATCCAGTGGAGCAATGTTATGAGCCCGACCGAAACTGATGCACAGCCTAAAGACCTGTGGCTGCAAATCCAAGGGAAGAAACAGCTGAGAAGGAACCGATATTGCGACGGATCGAAGCGATATGATGCTGGAGGCGAGTGTGGAGAAGGCGATAGCATTTTTGTAGCAACAGAGAGACACATCACGCCTTGCAGGGGACAGTCGCCGTAGGTGAGGAGTAGGTGACCAAGAATTGCTAGTTTGACTCTGTCTTTTGTTGTTCTTGGCAAAGTCCTGTCTCTGTCGTGTCAACCTGGTATGATCAAGGGCTGGGCCTATTCGCCGGCCCCATATCCGCATATGTAGGTACATTAGCACAGAGTTTCAACCGAGCATCTTGCCGGAGCCAAAAACCCATTACCAGCGGGAATTACTCCGTAGTTCTCCTTGATAAGGTCGCAACTAGATCAGCCGGGCATTAGCTATGAGGCAGTGAATGCATGGGCGTTTTGATAGAGGGCGCTTCACGCGCAGAATTAGCGCGCTCTGTCATTTGCTTGACCATTTTCAGCCGTTCCATCCTGGCAAGGTTGGGCCTTTTTGCTTCTTTCTTTCCCCCCCTCATCATTTTCGGTGTCCCGCTGTGTCTTTGCTTTTCGTTTTCGGTGGCGAGGCGAGCCCCTTATTCCATGCAGCTAGGCCACGCCTAAGGCCCGTCTGTCCGCTAGAAATAGATTACAAGGCATCGTTGTTGCTTTTTGTGGCAATCCGGTGGGATGTCTGCTGGGAGTAGGAGGCACCCCGGGCTTCAGAGAGCGGCACAAGCACAAAGCGGTCTTTTCTCTCCGCGGTCGTCGGCGTAGCTTGAGATTGCAGCGGGAAGTCGAAGCCCCTGTTTGTTGGCTGGCAGCTTCTTATCACCAGACCTGGCTGTCTTTGTTTCAACCCTCTATTTCATGGCCCCCGAGAGGTGGGTAAAGAGGGGTGGGTGTTTGTAATTGATGACAGTCAGAATATACTTGACACTGCTGCCGCTGTTGGAACTGAACTCTGGGTAGCAGAGAGAAGAGAGTGTCATGTTTCTTTTTCTTGTTACTTGCACTCGAAGCCGCAATACCTATAGTAGTACTAGTAGAAGTATGGCAGGACCCGTAGTGTTAGGAATCGATCGAGATGGCTCTTTCCATCCCGCTCTGCGCCCAAACAGGCTACTCCGAGATACTATCATGGCAATTGGAAATGGCATGGAAGCTACACTCGTACGAGCAAGTGCCCCGTACTTGTATCTTGTAGCGCGTGCCGTGCTTGCACGTACCTGCCTTGGCGCTGCTGCTACCCACGGCTACGTGATCGGTACGGAAGATTTGCCTGGCCTGAGCTGGCCTGTGCGGCGTGCCACCCGCGCCTAAGGTGCTTTTGCTGCCGTCCCTTGTACCCAGCAGGTACCAGCCGGGCGCTTGCCATCCCCTCCTTCCCCCAGATTCTCGCTTGCGTCCAAGCGCTGCTGCCAGCCGATCCATCGACAGAAAATTTTCTCTTCGGTGTGATCTGATGCAGCTACTGACGCTGGGCTCCTGATCTGCAGGGCCCTTTTACCTCTTCCCCTCTTCTGGGATTTTGTCCTTTTTTGTGACCACCTATCGTTTCTCGCTTTTCTTTTTTTTCCTGACCCTTCATTTCGCTCCCTTTATACAGCCATTCTTCCTTGTTCCCATTTCGGTTAACTCGCCTCCATCTTCCTATGGCGTTTGTATCTGCTCTGTCGCTGGCCGGCTCTGATTCGTAGCCCTGCTGCCCACCGGTTGAGTCTCAACGCTCGGCCCCAGGACGCATCGAGATGATTACGAACTTCCTCTTTGGTGACGTCTGGTTGTTTGTGTCGTGCTACTAGCAGCAGGTACTACTAGTTAAAAAGCCTCATCGCTCTCTAGCCGCTCTGGCTTCGGCATTAGCCCTACCTAGGTTTAAGACGGAGCAACGCATCGAGTAAGCGAGCCTATGGCAGAAACCCGAATCGTGATGCCGCTGCGAAGTTCCGTGTTCCGCTCATCCGCCCTGGCTGAGCGATTGCGCCGACTGCTGCCGCACATGCTGTTGCGTGCCACGGCTTCCTAGATATGTACTGTAGCACCAGAATCTCGCTGCGATCCCCGCCCGTGCGCCGCGATGCCTTCTGGCGACGTTCAACTTGGCTCGCCTGATGGTGTGGTGGCCTGAGCCTTGACCTTGCCCTCAAACGGGCTTGGTTCTCCGAGCTAGATCCCGAGCAAACCCGCCGCTCACTGGATTCTCGGGTACTAGGCCCCAGGACCGGGCAGGGATATGGTTAAATGCTTCCGGTAGGCCCATTGTCGATATTCTTAGCCCTCCGCCACGACACAGCACAGCGGCTCGTGCTTGTGCGCCGGGCTCCACGCTCCAGGGACTGGCGGCACACGGATGTACTCGGTACGCCACGGCGTGCGTGCTGCGGGCGGATTGCATGCCCAGCGTGGGCGGCGTTCTGCAGCCGGTAGGTACCCAATACTACCACCACTCACCAGCGCCCACCCTTGTCCACCTTGGGGGTGCTGCCAGAGCTCGTCTCATAACATGCCAGACCGAAGCTCTTTTCATCCAACCTCGGCCCTGTCCAGCTTCAAATTCGATTTGCGGCCGGCCTTGGCGTCGCATCGCCGTCCAACCTGCTCTGGCGCCTCTTGCGAACCAAATTGATCCAGACGACTTTGCGCTGAGCTCAGGCCGCGTTTTGGGCCGCTGGGGCTGCAGCCGTTTCTGATCTCCGGCCTTGTCCTCGCCGCTGTTGGCCAGTATCTTATGCAGCCCAGCCCACGACAGGACCCCGCGTTCTTGTTGCGCCTCTTTTCTCCCTCCTGACCCTTTTCTGCCAGCTTTTTTTCTTGAATTTTTTTTTCCCCTTTGGCGGGGTTAAATTGGCCTTTAACGCGCCTCGCAGCCACACACTGCGCAGAGGGAGAGAGGCACATTCGAAGTACACGCATCGAGACGACCAACCAAGGCGAAGAGAGACGAAGAAACAACGGCATCGAGCTTGCGAGTCGCCCGTACCGGCCAAGTATACTTGCTCATCTGGTATTGTTCGCCATTTTTTTTCCAGCCTGTGTCTATTGCCTTCCCCCCTTCCCCCCCCCGTCATCTCTCTGTTCGCATCACATCGTCATACGCCCAGCGCATGCCCACCTATCTCTCTGTTAGATAGCAGGTAGCTTCGGCGGTGGATATTGTACACGGACGCTGTCTGCCCTCTGTCGCTCTGCTGGTCTTGTTGATTTTGCGAGACTAATCGCCCGCAACCTGCCCTCCAGCTCGCTCCAGACCTCGTGCAGTCCGATCGATCATCCCTCGCCAGGCCCGTCGCAGGTGCAAAGCTCTGCCATAGTCTGCGCGGCCGGAGGTGGCCCGTCTCCCCCCGCCTCGTCGCCCAGCCGGCTCAGACTTCACCACCCAGTCTCGCCCTCTCACCTTTCTTCACCTCGCTTCACCTTGCATCGCGCGTCTTGCCCGGGCCCCGCCCCCCGCCAATTATGGGATTTTGATCGTCCGCACCGGTCCGCCGTCCTCCAGCCATGAACTCCGTCCACAGCCTGATTGACGCTCCTCCACCAGCGGCCCAGCTGGGAGCCCAGGCCGGCGTTCACATCCACGACTACGCGCAGGAACAGCCTCACGCGCACAGCCTGCAGCGCCTGGCCTCTCCGCCTCCGGGCCCGGCGTCGGCCCCGGCCGTGGCGGGCCTCTCGCTGTCTCCCACGGCGCCCGCCTCGGCCCCGACGCCAGCTCACACGCCGCGGCCAGATGACCTGCACGCGCGGCATCTGCCTCCGCCGTCCACGCCGTCCATGGCACACTACGTCTCCATCGCCTCGCCGCCGCTGAGACAGGACACGGGCTCGTCAGTCTCCACGCAGGCCACCACGGCTACCCTGGCCTCTACTGAGACCAACAACACATCGTACAGTGCCGACACCTCCCCTAACCCGCACCAGTCCATTTTCTCCCTCAAGGATGGCTCCGACGTCTCTAACAGCCGTCGAACCAGCAGGAGACGTACCGGCCCCCTATCTCAGCAGTCAAGAGAGCGGGCCGCCCTCATCAGAAAGTTAGGAGCCTGCGTCGACTGTCGCCGCAGGAGAGTTGCCGTAAGTCACAGCCATGGCCCCGACCGACCAGCGTCATATGCAGCCGAGGCTGACCCCGTGCTTCTCGCTTTGCAGTGCCACCCAAGCCACCATAACATGACTTGGGAAGACGTCGTAACCAAGTTTCACCACAGGCCGCACAGCCCGGCCGTCCAGGACATTGCGCCCTCGCTGCCCGCCGGCCGGCCTCTCAGCCCCGCAACAAGCCTCAGCACGGCTCAGCCCGTCTTCACTCACGATCCTCAGGAGATGGACGTTGATCCCAGCTCTGCGCCTAGCCACCACCATCAGCCTGGCCGGCCCCCCCTGAGCGAGGCTCGTATCCGCACCCCTCTGCCCGCTGGCCCCAGACTGGAAAAGTCACTTTCCTTGCCGGGCATTGAGAGTCTCAAAAACGAGATGCAGAATAATGCTGCGCGCATGCTCTCTGCCACTACTCGCGGCCGGTACAACTCGGTCCAGGCTCTTTTATTGTTCTGGCAAGATGATGATGAAGCGCTATCGGTCCGGAACGCGGTCGGAGAACTAGCTGACGTCTTTGACAAGTACTATCATTATACGTTTCAAATCCAGGTTATTCCTTCCTCTTCAGAGAGCTGTAAAAGCTCATGGAGATGGCTGTCGCGCACACTCAACGACTTTGCCGAGGAGCGCGATCAGCGTGATGTTCTCAAGATTGTCTATTACATAGGCCACACTTATCTCGATGGAAATCGCGACATGGTTTTGGCAAGGTACGCCTTGGCAAGCTTACGATTGACATGGATGCATTTGCGCTAACTTTACCTCTCCCAATATGTAGCTCAAAAGATGCTGAAAGAGCTTCCACTATTCGTTGGAGCGGCATGCAGCAGATTCTCGAGGAGGCATGCGCGGACACTCTCATCATCATGGATGCCGCGTATTTTCCTCCGGCTAGAATCGTAAGACAGCAAGGCGTACTGGAAATCATCGCGGCGTCTTTATCAGAAGACCATCTCACCGCTCTGGATCGGTGTGCCTTTACCAGGGCTCTCGCTGACCAGCTACGTACGCGTGCAGCGCGCCAGACGCCGCTTTCAGTGGTCGAACTGCACTCGATACTTCTGGCCCTGTACCCCAAGCTGGCTCGGGATCGCACACCTGAGAGAGAGATCATAACGAGCTTTCCCGCCCCACTGCATACCATGATGTCTGGAAATTCAAGGCTGCCTTCGATATTTCTCTCGCCAGTTCAACAGAGCAGCCCTCTACGGAGCAGCTTTTCTTACGAGAATAGCCCCCAGCTACACTTGGCTATCAAACTAAACGACGACAACGTTGACATTGACAGCTGGAACGAATGGCTACGAATGATGCCTGAAGGAATTAAGGATATCAAGATTGATGGTCCGTTTCGGACAACATTCAGGTAGTCATGAATATGGGAGGGATGGCCGCTGCTTGCACGTGGCATGCCATTGCTTCGCCAAACAACACAAACGGCGCAGTGGCTGCCTCAACGTGACCCTACGGGCTGGAGCTAGTCTCACTGTCCCACCGTCATCTGTCTCACTTATTTGCTTTTACTACTCTTTCTTTCTTTCTATTTTATTTTCAAGCCTGAAGCTTCCTCGGGCCAAGACCGGAGGGGATTAACAATGAGGGGAACTGTTTCACTAAAAAACAAGCGTGCGCACTCATATATACAACCATACACCCTGATGAGTCAATGATTAAAGTTTCACATCATGACATTATGTAGCGAAGATCTTGGGATTGGCAATAGCTGACCATGAAAAAGTATTGAACCATTTTTTGAAGAAGCATTGCCATAACAGGCCTTGAGTTCCCCTGTACGTCATTGCGGTTATCGTATGCGTGATTATCACTGCGATGTGCATATTGAAATCTGGAGACGTATGGCCCAAATCAGTAGCGATTGGACCAGCTGTTCATGCGGCTTGCGTACAGTATGTACATATAGGCGTCATATAAGAGAACCCCTGTCTGCCAGTTTTGCGGGTCGCGTCGTTGCCCAGCAACCGGCAGCTTCCCGCCATCCCCACTTCTGCATAACAAAGAATGGCCCCCCAGCCTCCACCACGCTTCCCTGTCACGCCAACATTCACCGCCCGAAAGTCAAGTCAACACTAAGACCCTTAAACTGCGTCTTTTTGTTCAGATTGATCTCAGCGCAAACGGAATACTGCGCGCACAAGGGATAAACCAGTAATCCTAAACCAGTCAACGATGCGCTCCCCACCCGAGCCGCGTCGAGGCAGGGGCAGGCCGGCCAAAAACCCTGATTCAAACTCGAAATCCACCAAAATCGTCACAGCTGCCGCAAAGGCGCGATCCGCTGTTCCGTCAAACCTGACCGCGAACACGAAGAGCACGGCTGCTAAGAGGAAGACGAGGACCGATGACGCGGAGGAAGAACAACAGGCATCTCTGGCCAAGCGGCCGCGGGGGCGGCCTCCTAAGAAACCGGTCGAAGAACATGATAATGGCGCTGCGAAGCCCGCAGGTGCAGCTTCAGCGATGGCGTCTACCGGAGCATCACGAGCCAAAGTAAATGCGAAGAAAGGAGTGTCAGAAATCGCAAAGGAAGAGCCAGCGGCGCCGAAGCCGACGCGAGGCCGGCCGAGAAAAGTTGTATCCAAGCCCGAAGAAAGCGACAAACAGCCTGAGCCGCCGAAGAAGGCGACGCGTGGACGTCCACCAACAGTGATGAAATCAGCCTCAACGACAACAACAACAGGAGCCAATAAGCCGCCGGTCAAGAAGGTGGTAAAGTTCAGAGAACCCGACAAGGAGAATGTAGAGCCCGCTGCAAGTCCACCGGAGCCTGCTCCGACTGGCATGCGTGGTCGTCCAGCACGACGAGGCGGTGCGGCAGCAACCCGGACTACGACAAGACCTGCCGCGAAGCCGTCGAAACCTCAAGGCGACAGCAAGAAGCCGCTCAGCCCCAAGAAGATTACGCAGTTAACTCTTACACAATATGATTCTGAAGATGAGCTGTCATTGGAGAAGCCATTGACAAAGAGTCCAATTAAGCCTCCGTCTAAGAAGTCAGAAATGGCACCGATTGAGATTGAGCCTGAGATGTCAACTGTTGCCGTGAATACCGCCATGTTCGATCTGCCAGAGCTTAATGCAACCCTTTTTGGATCGCCGGCCAGACGACCTACCTCGCCACCTCGAGATACCATAAAGTCTCCAGCCAAGAGGATTGCGATGCCATTGCCAGGATCTGCATTAAAGTTGAGCAATGAACCGGTTGCCCAGACACCTTTCAAGTCTTCTTCGACGCTCCTGCAGTCAGCCGCCAAGCGACCGCAGTCTCCTATGAAGCCTTTTATCTTTTCGGCTCAGAAGCAGCCGGCAAATGAAATACAATCAACAACGAAGCCTTCCATGCTCCAGTCGCCGGCGAAGCGAGCATTCCCAGGCTTCAAATCGCTCTCGGATACTCGCCACCCAGATCTCCCAACTCTGGATGAGTCTCCTATTGCAACTCCATCTCGGCCAGCCAAAGCTTCACAAAAGCTCTTGATTGAAGAAGATGAGCACAAAGATGAATACGAAGATGAACACGAAGATGAAGAGGATGACCCTTTTGCGGTCCCAATTATAGATCTTCGATTTTCCAGGAGTCCATCCACTGCGCCATTCCGACAAGCCGATTTAGTCTCTGCGGAGGAAGAGGCGGGGGAAGAGGTAGAGGCTGACGTGCAACGTGAGGCTGAAATTGACTCTGAGGGAGAGGCAGGAGATGGAGATGAAGTAGAGGATGAGGATGAGGCGCAAGAAGAAGGGGATGAAGCAGAAGCGGAAGTGGACAGAGAGGCGACAGCAGAGGCGGAAGTGGAGGGGGCGCTTGAGATTGAAGAAGAGGGAGTGGAAGAAGAAGAAGAAGAAGAAGAAGAGCTGCAGCCCGCTGCCGATCCAGAAACTCTAGAAGCAGAGGAAGACGCCGGGGAAGAGACCGAAGAAGAGGCAGATGATGCCGCCGAAGACAGTATCATTGTCGCAACAGAAGAGTCTGACAATATACCGACCGAAACTGAGGATATGGATGCAGATGAAGGCGCAGATGAAGAAGACAATGAAGGCCACAATGGGGGTGAGGATGAAGATGAGGACGATTCAGAAGACACAATGGTTCTTGACGACCATGCCACCGAAGAAGAGGAAGAGGAAGAAGATGCTGATTCTTCCCCAAAAGTCGAGACTCCAGCAGATGCCCTCTACCAGCTCCGAGAGAAAGATCTGGATCCCTGTCATGATATGAGCTCAATGGCTGAAGATGCAGATGATACGCTGCCATTTGAGAGACTTGCTGCCACGCCTTCTGTCCTTGAAGAAACAACGCCAAGGACTCGTACCAGTGCCATGAAGGGGTCTCGCAGGTCCACTCTGGGATTCTCATCTCTATCTGACCAGCTCGGGTCTTGGTCAGCTGCAAGCCCTGTCAAACACGCTGTTTCGTTTGCGGAAGAACCTGAGCTATCATACGCTCAGGACCATGAGAACCTTGAAGACGAAATCGCAGAGAATATCGAGGAGCAAGACGTGGATGAGGAGACTATGATTATGGACGAAGATGCAGCTCTTGCTCAAGAGACTAACGAAATGACTCTGTCGGATCCTATGGAGGGCGAAGATACATCTAGTACTCGTCAATCTTTTGATGATAGCCTATCGGATGCTAGCCAGGAGTATGGAGATGAGAACCAAGTCCCAGTTGAGAGCGCTGTGCCTATTCCAGAGCCTCGAGCAGCGCCCGTAACTCCCGTTGGCCGTCCTATGACGCGATCTTTCAACACAACGACCAAGATTCCGACCAAGCCAGCCGTTATTTCGACCCCAAGTCCGTTAAAAAAGAAAAGCTTCAGCGCTTCTCGTGCTGCCCCCAAGCGCCCCGACCAACCGAAACGAGGTGCCCCGGTCCTGTCTTATTCTCCAAAGAAGCAGCAGCAGCCGCTAAGGCGAAGCTCACGGAATATCAGCGCCATTTCTGAGGAGCCTGATCAGAGGATCGAGCCGTCTACGCCAGTAGCGGAAGCAGAAAAGGCTTCAAAGGTGGAAACGCCTGAGCAGAGTGTTGAACCGTCTACACCAGAATCCAAGGCAGATCTATGGGCAAAGATGGGAACACCTGCGCGCACTCCTCGCAAAGACCTCAACTCCAACCTGCTTCGTGGGGCCATTGTCTTTGTCGACGTCCACACAAGCGAAGGCGCGGATGCGAGTGGCATCTTTGTTGAGCTGCTCACCCAGATGGGTGCCCGGTGTCTGCAAAAATGGAGCTGGAACCCCAACAGCGCAAGCAACAGCGAGTCGACCAAAGTGGGCATCACCCACGTCGTCTTCAAAGATGGCAGTAAGCGGACTCTGGAGAAGGTTAGGCAGGCCAACGGCGTGGTTCAGTGCGTGGGTGTGAGCTGGGTCCTGGACTGTGAGCGTGACAACAAGTGGCTTGATGAGTCGCCATACCATATCGACACAAGCTACGTTCCTCGCGGAGGCGCACGCCGCCGGAAGAGCATGGAACCCAAAACTGTCTCTAACCAGAACGGCTCTGCGGTCAGCGGTTCGCCCAAGGGGAGGCGGGAGTCCGCGCCTCCTGCTTCATCTTCTCCCAAGACACCCAATCGTAGGCAGAGCAGCATCTGGATCCACACGCCGTCCGATACTAGCGAGGAGCAGGAGGAGAAGGAAGAGGAGGACATTGAATGGTCCAACATGATTCTAACTCCTGTACCCAAGACGCCGGCTCCAGAAGCGCTTATGAAGTTTGCTACTGAGACACCGTCCAACCTTGAAGATGAGGATGAATATGAGGATGACGAGAGCCCGTCGCTGAGGAGAGAAGAGTTGATGACCCGAACCTGTCCACCCAAGGCACAAAGGTTTGTGGAGCTCGGCGGTGGCATTCTGTCCAGGGACAGTGATGAGAATGTGATGATGCGGCTGATGGCTGCTCGGCGCAAGAGTTTGCAATTTGCTCCCAAAGTGGGCAGCCCCCTGGCCAAGATGTGGCACTAGGGCGGTGGTAGCATATGGCGACAATGGGCGTGGACGGTCGGTGTAAAATCGAAGTCGTTTCATTTTTCAGCTGATGTTTCTTTCTTTGGCTCGGGTTTTGCCCGATGATGAACGTTGACGGCTATTTCATGGATCATGGGGAAACGGACACACAGAACAGAAAACAAACAAACAAACAGATATAGAGACGCTTGCATTGGTTTAGTCACTCACTTTGGAAAAAACAAAAGGGGAAATCTTTATGGCACAAATAAGGCAATGAAATGGGCGATGAGGCGTTTTAAGATGTTGAGATATCACGCATCGCATGGGTATTGTTTGTAAGGGCGTGGCAAGCGGACAGATGTTGGAATTAACAGGCCGCCTTTATTTAGCTGAAGGTTGTGATGAATATAAATGTGAAAAGTACATATAATTTACTTGCTCGCTACTAATCTAGTTGTGATGTAGTCTCCCGTTTAATCCTTTGCCGGCGGGGATGATGTGTAGCTTGGTTTGAATGCCTTTTTTGGGCTTGTTGCTGTAGATGGTCTTGTTGGGAGGGGTTGATTGCGTGCGATGATGACTGCTGTCTTGTGCGTTGATATCGATGTATAGGATATGTTTTTTTCCACCTTTGAGAAACAGAACAAGTCGAGTCATTGCTGTAGCCCGAGATTATGTCAAAGTGCCGGGATATCGAGCATTGTCGAACCGGCGTGTGTATTCAACGCATCCCATCTCGTAATTATATTCTTTTTTTCGTCCAAAGCCGCGATATTAAGTTTACCTATGCATATTTCTAAATTATTCTCTCCTGTTTTCTTTGTTCAGCCCCTCGCCGCAGCCCTCAGCGTAGCAACAGCATCCCCATCGTGCGCCTTCAGCAGCTCCGTCGCCTTGGCCTTTGTCACCTCCAGCTCGTCCACCACGAGGGCCACGTCCGCAGCGTCGACCTTGACGTTCTTCTTAACGGCCGTAGGCGCAGCAGCGGTTGTAGTGGCAGCGGGTTTCTTGGCTTTGTCTTCGCCGAGCTTGAGCATGGCCTGGGAGACGGCCTCGGAGTTGACGTTGTCGTTGGAGGGCGTGGCTGCGGCGTCGGAGGGCGTGTCGAGCGAGGCGAGGGCCGAGGCGGCTTTGCGGTCTTCGGCGTTTGTGGGGAGGGGGGGCTGGTCTGAGGCGTCGGCGGAGGACATTTTGGGGGATTTTTGGGGGTGATGTTGGTGGTTGTGGCGGATATGTTGTTGTTTACTTGAAGTTTGGAGCTTGGGGAGAGGAAAGCGGTTGGTGGTGTAGAAAAGGTACGTAGGGAATGTACCTTGAGCTTGGGCTTTGGGCGAGGAGGGGTCTTTTTTAGGAGGGGTAGATGGAGGAGCTGCAGCTTATATGGATGGATGTAGTGCAAGCTGCCAAGAATAACAACAAAATGCTCTTTTTGTGCCTTGAAAAAATTCTAAGAGTATGAAATGAAATAAAATGAAATGAAATGTATGTAAAAGCATTTTTTCCAAAATCTGAAGGGTTCGTTATCGTTTAGAGATAGTATAGGTACAGGTACTCAAATCATCTACCACTAACCTAGGTACCTAGTGCCTTTCGGCCAGGATGATGATATCCATATAGCTCGTTGCCAACGCCGACCATTGTGTGTTATATATGACATTGTTACTATCTACTATATCTGCTACTACTTCTGTTACTTGTCGACTATATCCATTCGGATTCGTCTTTAGCTCATCTTCGCCTTACCTTTCAACCTTGTGCTCTAGTTAGGTCTCTAATACTGAACCTTGTCTAAATCATGCCAACGTTTTCACTAAAATGACAACTTGAGCACTACTAATTCAATAGCAAAAAGGCAATAATGCTTGAACCAATGATTTCTTCTTTTCGCCTAGAATAACCCCAGATATTCTGTTTCCTTGCCTCCAAGACTTGGATAGCATTCCTAGAACACGTTGGTGGCGGCAGAGTACAATAGGATGACTAACCACTTGACATGGCATGCGGCACCGCCTCTGATTGGCCAATGCAAGGATCATCGTTCCGAAAAAAAAAAGAACGAAAAATTCTAAGAAAGGTACGTACTCAGAGTGGCATTTATGACAGCTGCTTTAAACCCCGAAACCTGGAATGTCCCACTGACTCATATTCATATTAACCGTCCATCTTTCCGTGCTTCTCACAGATTAATTACACCAGAGTCTAGCCTGGGTTCATGCATCTGGCGAGTCGTTGTTCTGACGTTTAGAGACTATTTTGCTGCTGCAAGACAAGTGCATCTAAGTGAGTTTTGATGCTTCCATCTATTCTATTGATATAATCGAGGTTCACAGACCAGCAGTTGGCTGACGCATTCCTGCATCGCAGCAGGGACCAAGACAGGCTTCTGGCTCCAAGTCTCAGCTACTTCTTCTTCCCTCTCTTCCTTCTTCACCCTCATCTTCAGCCCTCTCACTCATCCCACAATGGCTTCCCAAGACGCCTCCTCTCAGCCATGGGATCCCTCCTCCTGGCGCTCAAAGCCCATCAAGCAGTCTCCCACCTACCCGGATCCCTCCAAGCTCAAAAAGGCCACCGCCGAGCTCTCGCGGATGCCGCCGTTGGTTCACCCCAATGAGATCAACGCCCTGAAGGCTCACCTGCGCGAGGTCGCCCAGGGAAACGCCTTTTTGCTGCAGGGCGGCGACTGCGCCGAGCTGTTTGACTACTGCGAGCAGGGCGCCATTGAGTCCAAGATCAAGCTGCTGCTTCAGATGAGTCTGGTGCTCATCTGGGGCACCAACAAGCGTGTCGTTCGCATTGGCCGCATGGCTGGCCAGTACGCCAAGCCGCGGTCGAGCCCGACGGAAATGGTCAACGGCGTGGAGCTGCCCAGCTTCAGAGGAGACATTCTGAACGGCTACCACGTCGACGAGCGTGAGATCGATCCCGATCGTCTCCTCAAGTGAGTCTCCTTTCAACCCATCTACTATCCTTCAGCCTCTAACATGACCGTTTCAAAGAGCGTACCACCACTCTGCTGCTACTCTCAACTACATCCGCACAGCCCTCGCCTCTGGCATCGCCGACTTGCACCGTCCTCTTGACTGGGGCCTGGGCCATGTCCGTGACCCAGCTCTCAAGGAGAAGTATTCAAAAATCGCTTCCAGCATCCAGCAGACGCTGCGCTTTCTGCAAGTCATCAACGCCCGCCCCGGTGAGCTCGAGACCGTCGAGCTCTACACCAGCCACGAGGGCCTCCTGCTTGAATACGAGCAGCCCCTGACGCGCCTCCTCGAGAAGCCCACTCATCCGGGCGTCAGCAGACCCGGCACTCCCCCAAGCTCATCACCAACCATCAAGCCCGTTCAGGCCGGCAGCGAATCCAAGGAGTACTACGACACATCCGCCCACTTCGTCTGGATCGGTGACCGCACCCGCCAGCTCGACCACGCCCACGTCGAGTTCTTCCGCGGCATCGCAAACCCCATCGGCATCAAGGTTGGCCCCTCCACCCCAACCGAAGACATCCTCGCCCTGCTCCGCGCGCTCAACCCGTCCTGTGAGCCCGGCAAGATCACCCTCATCACCCGCTACGGCGCCGGAAAAGTCGCCGAGCTGCTCCCCAAGCACATCCGCGCCGTCGAGGACTCGGAGCACCGCAGATGCGTCGTCTGGCAGTGCGACCCCATGCACGGCAACACCCTCTCCACCCCGACCGGCATCAAGACCCGCCGCTTCAACGACATCTACAGCGAGCTCGAGCAGTCGCTGCGCATCCACAAGGAGGAGGGCAGCTACCTCGGCGGCGTGCACCTGGAGCTTACCGGCGAGGCGGTTACGGAGTGTCTGGGCGGCAGCGAGGGTCTTGATGAGGATGATCTCTCGACCAATTACACGTCTTTCTGCGATCCGAGACTGAATGAGAAGCAGGCTCTTGAGCTGGCTTTCTTGGTGGCGGATCACTACTCCCGGGAGCATAAGAAATGAGAAACGAAAAGGAAACGGAACAAAATGGAACACCGAGATCGATTAAAAAATGGTACGGTGAGAGATGGCAATGTATACGAAATATATATGCATGGTTTTCATGAGCATTTTTCATACCTGAAAATGAAGGGAAAAGATCGAATAAAAAATAAGGAATCTGTACACCAGGCGGACGAGATTATGTCCGCTTTTCTTTGTATATAGGCAGGCTGGCGAACAAACTGGTCACGCCATACCACGGAGCATGAAATGAGACGAAAAGACAAAATACGTGACGGAAACGAATCTGCGATGCATAGGTATATTGAAATTCATCATGGGAAACACGAATTCAACTTCATTCTTCGAGCGTAATCATCATTGTGCGTGCTAAAAGACTAGGACTGCACTGCGAGTGTGAACGTGTACAATTGTCTACATATGTGCTTATTTCTTACTTCAAGTAGATAGTCTGCGCACCCTCATACGCATCACCCTTTTCCAGCTTCTGCCATGAGCTCACCGCGCCAGCCTCCGCGCAGACCATGTTCTTCCAGCCGTCCTTGGGCTCGAAATCGCCCATGCTAGCGGCCTTGTCGACCCAGGGGTTCCAGACAACCACGTCTTCGAGGTTGTCGCGCACAATGCGGAACTTGGCCGCACCGCCCTCGCTGATGACGACGGGGTGGCTGGGGCCCTTGACAGGAGTGTAGACGCGGTCGGTCTCGCCGGAGAAGGCGACTGCGTCGGAGGATTGGGTCTTTGCCTTTGCGGCATCTACCTTGTCGACGTAGGGAGAGTCTTCGAGGCCGGCGATTTGGACGGAAGAGATGTCCTGAACGTTCTCAAGTCAGCAATTTGTTGGCACATTGCAAAGAGCATTCTTGTGCATAATTTATTACCTTGATTCTGAAATACGTGTGCAATAGTGTCTGGAACTCGAATGGCACATCGCCCTCGTTCGTAATCACCAGCGCCGTCTTCAGGCTCTCGCGGTCAAGCGTGACGCTGTACAGGAGACCAAACTTGTATGGCCACAGCTGGCGAGCGGCATCGTCAAGGTTCTCGGATGACAGGCCAAAGTCGAGCTTGACGCTGTCAGAGGATGATTCGCTGGTGGACTTGCCGAGGAACTCCCAGCGGGAGTTGCGGGCGAATCCGTGCTGGGGCAGCTTGGAAGTGGCTTCGTGGTCGGGAGCAGTGCCAAAGACCTAGAGACAGCAATTAGAAATAGAAACACGTAGAAACTGTATCTTGCGTGCATATAGATATAAGAGAAGAGGGAAAGAATATGAATTGTAGCTCGTCTTCTCAGCTTCGAATTAGGGAGCAACATACCGGGAAAACCAGGGGAATGCCTCCCCGCACAGCCTTTGTTCCGTCCAGCTTTGCGCCCTCGCTCAGCCACAGCTTCTCGTCGCCAGAAGCATCCTTCCAGCTCAGCACAGTAGCGCCATACAGAAGAATCTCGATGCTCTCGCCGGAGGGGAGCGATGCGGAAACGCGGGAGTTGCCGTGTGAGATGGTAACCTGAGCTTGCGGCTGCAGGCCAGGAGTGGCCGCTAGAGCCGAGGGTTTGTTGGGGCGGTCGACCATGATGATGCGGTTGTGAATTGTAAGTTTAAAAGATTTGTATCGAGCTGTCGATCGAGAGTGATGATGGATGGAGATGCGGATGGAGATAGTAGATGGTAAAACGCAGGGCTTCGAAGTGGGCAATTCTGGGCGCAAATAAATCAGCACGAGATTTCTCAACTATTCGAGGAAGAGACAGCAAAACAACAGCAATTTAACAGCGCTCTTACCCGCTAACGCAATCAACTGCACTGTACAAAGACGAGATGGAAAAGATGGGAGATGGAAGAAGCTCCCGGAAGACGAAGCTGAAAAGGACGAGTGACTGCATCGGCATTAGCTCCATATGGCGGGGTAGCTGTTGCAGTGTTGCAATTGCACCCCTCGGCCTCCACTTAGTACTCGGTACTCACTGATCCATATTAAATGACGTTAATCTTGAGGTACAGCTACTTGCCGTGATGAGCACGTTGCGAATCGTGTAAGAGGACAGGCCTCTGTTTTGCAATCAACTTGAAACACAGTCACAACAGCCAGCGAAACTCGTCACATTCTCACGATGCAAGCGATTACTGCATGAAAGCCGTCCCTCGTATTTCAGAGGCGGTGTTGGTGATGTGCTGTTACACCCTCTTCTAGCAATACAGCTGTACCGGATGTCAAACCTTCACTTGTACATGCGCACTAACATGAACAAACAGGATAGAATAGCAAGATATAGGCAGTAACAATATATAATGAGTGGGGTTTCGACTGTATATCAAATCCAGTCGTCATCGCCCTCTAACCCCATTCGTCTGTTCTATCTAGTTATTGCCTTTTGGTATCATGATATCATGACACGCATACGCCTTCAAGGGCAACGCTCATTCTCCTAGCCCTTCCTAGCTATGAAAATGCGTATAACAACTGGGTATATATAAGTTACCCCATTCAACGTGGAGGGGTCCCCAAAGAGCAGGGAAACAAGAAGGAAAGAAAAGAGTAAAAAAGGTAAGAATATGAACCACTGCAAACGGGTGCAGTAAGAATGTGCAAGAAGGATTAGATAGCCATCACGCCATACGGTGGGATCTATGCCCTATGTGGTGCATGCTATTCATCCCCGAGCAGTCTCTTCGTCTATGCCCGTAAACATACCCTTGTTGGCATCGCTACCCTCGCTCGTGCTGCCGTTGTGGTGCTCTGCGTTGGCCTTCTCATTCTCATCAAGCTCACTCACAGCGATAAGAAGCTCTCCATTCTTGCCATATCGCCGAGGCTCGACTCTTGCCTGGTGGACAACGTCAAAGGCTCCGCGGAAGCCTTTGACTTTTTGAAAGATGGTATCCATCTCTTCGAGGGAGCGGTAGGCTGTCTCAGGGAAGAAAAAGTAGACGCAAGGAACCATAAAGGCATTAAGGACGGCAAATACGACATATGTCTTCCACTTGATGTTGGTGAATGCGACGGGGGTGATCATGACAACCTAGTGAAGGAATGTTAGCTTTGCATAGCAATCATTGATATAAATCGAAAACCGTACCAAAAAGTTGAAGATCCAGTTGGATGAAGTGGACAGAGCGTTGGCTGGAGCACGAGTTCGTAGAGGGGTGATCTCAGCCGGGTATAGCCAAGTCATTCCTAGCCATCCAATAGCAAAGAAAGTGTTGAAAACGAATAAGAAGACGATGCCTGCAATCTGGAAAGGCTTTTCATTCGGGCGAGAGTTGACGCCGGCAAGAATGGCCATGGTGGCAGCTTGACCAGCGGCACCAAAGAGCATGAGCTTTCGGCGTCCAACACGCTCGACGAGGAAGACAGCGGGCCAAGAAGCGATGAAGTACTCGGTACCATTGAGGGCTGCGAGAAGGCGAGACATGAAGGGAGACATGCCGAGGTCAGAGTAGATCTTGGCGGCATAGTAGGTGATGAGGTTGATACCAGAAATCTGCTGGAACATTTGGTTGACGTAGGCGATGATTGTGCGGTGAAGAGTGCGGTTGTGGTCAGCATGGAACAGCTCGCCATAAGTGCCCTTGCTCATCTCCATGGCAGTATCCTTGATGGCTTGGAATTCGTTGTCAACATGCTTGTCTCCAATGTCAACGTCTGAAACAGCAGCGATGACTTCTCTAGCCTCATCTTCGCGACCCTTGAGAATGAGCCATCGAGGCGACTCAGGTAGGCCGAGGACAAAGGCAAGAATGAAGATGCAGAAGACAATCTGGAATGCTAGGGGGAATCGCCAAGCAACCGAGCCGGGGGCAAAAGACAAGCCAAGATCGATCCAATAAGAAATCATGATGCCGCCCGTGATGAGGGCACCTTCAATCATGACGAGCTTTCCTCTCTTGTGGGCGGAACACGTCTCAGACTGCCACATGGGTACCGTTGATGTGTTACCGCCGTTGCCAAGACCTGTTATGATACGACCAATGATAAAATGTTCCAGAGTGAAAGCAGAAGCCTGCAAGATGGCGCCGACAATCATGATGGAAGTACCGAGAAAGATCATTTTCCGGCGGCCGAGGTAGTTACCGATGAAGATGGTGATGATGGCGCCGATGAAGCATCCCAGATTGTACGATGCCACAGCAATACCCTGGTAAGTAGAGCGTTTGGACGCATCAGAGGGATCCGTAGCAAGATCTGGATTAATGTCGGGGAACTGGTTCAGGAAGATGGGCAGCGTCAGGATACCTCCCATGACACCTTGATCTGTGAATTGTTAGACAACAATGCAATCGCTTATGAGCCGTAGTCTTTCTAGGCTTACCGTAACCAAACAAGAGAAAGTCGCAGCCAGCAATAGTGCCAATGGCCCAGTTGAGGGCTTGGCCTCTGAGGCCAAAATATTTCCCCATGATGGCAGCTTTAATCTCTTGATGTTGCTGCCGTGATAAGCTCTTCTCTTCTTTATTCCTTCTTTATACCTAGAACGTGCTCTCTCGTCCTTGTGAGGATAGAGGAAAAGAGGAAGGAAGCAAATGAGGATCCTGGGCTCAGTGAGACAAGATCAGCACCCTTCGAGGAGGGAGCTGCAAGGCCCTTTTTAAGTCACATCGCGCACACATGCTGAATGACAAACCGGGTCACTGACATGGGAGTACAAAGTACGAGCCTCGAGCAAGATGGATGGCCCCGTCCACAGAAAAAAAACTGGGGGCGCCGAGTCTCTTGGATCTCCATGGCCGTTCCCGGGAGTGAGAAGATGAAGTGAGTAGGCATTCCGTATTAGTCGTCTCGATGGAGCAATTGAGCAAGCCGGCCGAGTGGCGCTTTGCTCCCCCATGGGCGTGTTTTGCACTAAAGATTTAGTCCATCTCCCGCCTTGTCGAGTCGGAGCCGGCAACGTGCGAGGAGTGCAGCCGGTCTCAGGCGATTTCGTATGGAGATGGGAATGGAATTACAGGCCAAGCGCGTGGAGAAGAAGATGAGGCGGCGATCTTGTCCAGGCTGGCGAAATGCATTTTGCGCATGGGAATATCAGTCCACCGCCTTGCACGTGCGAGAGATGCCAGATGACGTTGCTTCAGTCGCTCCTGCCGCTCCTGCTTCAGTGTGTATCACCACCTGGACGCTTGATTACCTACTGAGGCAGGTAATTCATAAAAGAGTTCTACAGCACTTTCCCCACCACCTACACGATCACAGAGCGTCGAGAGGAAAGTAAGAAGAAAAAAGACTTGCACTCGTGCTCTATCCTCTCCAAGTATTCGCACCGAAGATGGAGTAACCACTGCCTTTGTTCGTTTTAGCCGCTGCCCGCTAGCAGTTCTAGTGCTGCAATAGGCTGAACAAATCCACTCAAAGTTCTCCGTCCTTACCTCTCGTCTTATACACTGAGTCGTATAATTCAGTTCTAATGGCCATTTCTAGTAGCTACCATTCATACCGTACAAGCCAAATCGTCTATTGCTAGTCTGTATGTATTCATATTTGATCAAATAATGGGCGTAGAAAAACCGTCTTCACCGTGGTAGAGTCCTGCTGCCAAAGCCATCCGGCCAACCCTCGATGGGATAAAAGCCGCTGCTGGGAATAAAAACTGGCGATAGCACACACTCGCGGAGAACCGTGGGGAAATAGCGACGTCATCCGCCGAATCAGATTCAAGCTTAATAGTTCAGATGGTGGATCTCGGTGGGAATCAAAGGAGCCTTGGCACGCGATTTCTGACAAGGGACACCGCAAAAAGAGGACAAAAACGCATCACAACATGCAGAATGGAGGATCAGCATCGGCCACCTCCTCATTCATGTGAGGTACCGAAAAGAATTAGCCTTCCATACGGCAGCCAGTTTCAGCGTCGAGGGCGCAACTGTCGCCGGTGGCGTGTACCAGCTAGGAAACCCGACTTTCTATCTTAGGCTTAAACTTCGTGGCCCCTTGCTAGAGCATCTGTTTTAAATCTTTCCGGTAAGCCTAGCACGCTGACTTGGTGTGTACGGGAGGTCGGGGCGGATCGGTCAGCAGAGAAGAGGAGAAGAAGAAAATGCTGCATCGGAAAAAGCTAGCAAGGCTCAGGCACATCTGGCTTCCAGGCGCTAGCTGATCGGTGCATGCTAGCTCGCGTAATATCGCCGCCTTCTCCTGATGGAGTGCAGGGCGAACCGCTAGATCGGCCAGTTTTGAGACTACAGCGCAGATGCCTCAACGCCGGGCAAGTCACTTCACGACATGTTGTGATGAATCAATCTCCAAGTGTGAAGAAAAGCCATCATCAGATCACTTTACACTTTGCGCTGAGGAGAGAAACGTGCAAAATCCGGGGGAGGGTCCATCGCTCCAGTCTCGAATCATTCCCCCCGCGTCCCAATTTTGTTGTCTTATCTCGCGTGCTCCCCAGAAAAATCATCCCCAGATTTCCCCAGACAGCCACCACTGAATCTATCACCCTTTCCTCATTTTCAGTTCTGGATATGCCCAAAGAAGTGATCCGAGACGCACGAGCAGCATGAAAAACCTGGGGTAAATGAGGTCAAGCCTTCAGTGAATCGGGCGCAAAAGGGTCCGGACTGTTCTATGCAGAAAAGATC